TTAGTTGGTGCAGTATGATTGCTCAGGAGCGTCTAAAACGGATTACCGAATTTGTTAGTGAGATGTCTCTTGCTGCTGCATGCCATCTTCCATCAATGTCCAGAATGAATGATCAAATGAATGGCTCTGTTTCTTCACCTCATAGCAACCCTGATGATTGGATGGCTTCTGCAATACCTGTTGATGGAGTCATGGCACTCACGGCTGCTGCTGCAGGATTGATATCCGATAGTGACATTGCGAGTTTTGCAGAACCTCAATCTCCAGATAGTGTTGTCACCGGTGATACTTCAGATGTAAGTCAGATCAAGGAAATAGAAAGAGATGGAAGAAAAGTTTTCCATTGTTGCGATGAGAATTCTTCTGAAGTATTTGAGAAGAACTTGGGTACCCCTGAAAGAACATCTCAAAGCTATGAGAATGGCCTTGCTTCTCCAGATATCACATGTGCTGATCCTAGGACCCAACCGATAGAACGTATTGAAAGCTGTGAGTCTGTGTTCAGGTGAGTTAACACAATTGTGGTTATCTTCCGAAAACATTTCAAGTCATATGGCTGCCTTATTGCCAATTAAAGTTATGATTCAGTTCTTTACCAGTAGAATCTCAGATTTACCTTTTTTATATACGGCAGTTCAGCTAGAAGTGCGTTGTCAGATGAGGTTGATGATTTATCAAACAGCGAAACTGATTTCGGAGATGATTTAATACTGGAATGGGCTAAGGTAAGGATATCACTAGAAGGTTCACCATTTAGTTTCTCTGTTATCTCTGGTTCATTGTTCTTATATGCTGTTATATGGTACCTTGACAGGAACACAACAATGATTCGTTGCAACTAATTTGCGGGTACCACTCATTGGCAATTCCTTCCCGTGGAAGTGAAGTAGTTTTCCACCCGCTGGACCATTTACAATCCATTGAGTATACACGTCCTCCTATTTCAGCTCTAGGAGTGTCAGAAGAATACATCTGCTCTTCTGATTCTTCCGGGGTATATTTTATGTCCGAAATTATCCTTTTGTTGTCTTGTCTCTAGTTTGTAATCTCATCTCATCTCAACCACTTTTTTCTTGTTTGCCAAAGATAAATGCAAGATTGGCAGCTGCTGAGGAGGCCATGGGTCTCTCGATGTGGACAACGGCAACAGTTTGTCGTATACTCTCTCTTGAAACTGTACGGTCTCTTCACAACATCCTTTCTTTTCTTTTGATGGTTCAGTGTCAGTTTTGGAACAACATAGATAAAATGGTGCTATTTTCCGTTGGATGCAATGTCCATCTCTTCTTTGTGCCTTGAGTTAGTGTTTTCAAAGGTAACAAATATCTGAAGCTTCAAAGTTTTTTCATCCTTTCAGATTATGTCACTGCTTGCTGGAGTATTATTAGAGAAGCAAATTGTGGTAATCTGCCCAAATCTGGTTAGTTAAAGTCTCTCCTCTGTTTGTAAAGTCATCTTCAATCCCTTGGGGGGAGATTGAAATGGAAATGGTCGCTTCAACTAACCGTCGACACTATTGCAGGGTGTTTTGTCAGCAATAGTACTGTCTCTAGTCCCAATGATTCGGCCGTTTCAGTGGCAGAGTTTATTGCTTCCGGTAAGTATGACATGAGTCGGAAAAAACAATTGATACAATCAAATTGTAGATACCTTTTTGTAACTTGTCTCGGTTGTCTTCAGGTTCTACCTGGAAGGATGTTTGATTTCCTAGAGGCACCGGTTCCGTTCCTTGTAAGTTTATTTTTCATATGAAGTAACTCATGCCATGTTCTTAAGATCTAGTAGATGAATACTTATTTGGAGGAGTTGAATGTTCATCAGTCTATAATAAACCATCAAAATCCCGAATTGAGTGGATGTAGGATCGTAAATCATAAACTATAATCTGTCGCATCTCGCTCACACGGTCCACGTTTGTGCCACCTGGCAGGTCGGTATACACAGTAAACCTATTGATTGGAAGGTCAAGACGTCTAATCTTATTCTAGTGAACATCCTCAACAATCAGGTTTCATAAAAGTTTCTTGTTTCTTTCTTTCTGTCAAGGATCCAAAACCCATAAAACCGACAATTCTCAAGGACTAATAACTACTGTATGTTTCTTCAGGTGAAAATCTGTAACATGCCAGCATTGCCTCAACGTAGAGAACTTATGGCTCAGTTGGCTCCAATCCATGCCACACTGGCTCAACATAGCTCGACCGCTAGAAGACACCCGGTTTATAAATGCAATGAAGTGCAAGTAAGTAGTTACCAAATGCATGGCCTAAAACTATACCAACACTGAAATTACCTAACCCGATTTCATCATGGCCGACTGTTTCTCAGGCAGAAGCCGCGACTAAATTCTTGAGAGTAATGAGAGATTACATGGAGTCTCTTTGCTCAGATTTACATTCTCACACCATAACAAGCGTTCAATCCAATAGCGACAGGGTACTTGCTCTTATAGGGACTCTCCTCAAAAGTGTAACAAGAACAACTTCCTCGTAATCTCTCACTAACAATGTAAATCTTTGTTTCTCAGGTTTCTCTACTTTTGAAGGACAGTTTTATCGATTCATTTCCTGGTAGAGACAGACCCTTCGTTAAGGTACAAGAGTCCTAATCCCGATCTCCGATATTCTGATTGGAATCCATAGGCTTACAAGCTTCTTTTCATTTTGTTCTGGTGGTTTTTTCAGTTACTTGTAGACACGCAACTGTTCAGCGTTCTATCAGACTCGCGGCTATCGAGCTTTGAGAACGAGCGTCTCTAAAGCTCATTATGTCATCAAACTTGTACCATACAAACTCAAGAAACCAACCAAAGTCAAATCATACGAAAACAAAAGCAACCAAAAAGAGGGCAGAAGACTATTTTACAACTCAGGTTTGACTGCATTAGAAAAAGTAAGAAAAACGAAAAAACAGAGACATGCTTATCGTGTCTGGATCTCTCTGATCCTTTTTATCATTAACAAACTTGTTTCTTGCTCTTGTAAATTAATCACCGCTCAACAGAAGCTTTTGTTTGTTAAAGTTGTACAGAACACTTGAAAAATCCTTTTTGCTTAATTCAAGTGCTTCATTTGATGTTTTGTTTCACAATAGTTCTCAGAAGAGACGATATGATGCTACATTTTGATGCAATTTTGTTCGTTTTATGGTATTTTAAACTCGTAAAAAAAAATATATATCATTGTGCTAGGAAAAGGTCCATCTAACTACGCAAATTACTATCATATTCGAAGTTTGTTAAACTGGATAAATAAAATACATACATTCTCTGGCAGAATGTGAGCAAGCCTTTGGACATACAAAAAAAAAAGAAGGGAGGGGATTCATGATCATTACTTCTATAGAAGAAGAGAGAGATGAAAAATATATTTTACAAAATGAGTAGAATATAAGCAAATTTTAAGTACATTTTAAGCAAATTTTAAGCAAAATATATGTGAACCATAAGTAAAATGTAATAAATATGACAAAATATCATTGTGATTTACTAATTTAATAAATTTATCATTGATTTTTTTTTGAGAATAGCTATATAAGTATTGTTCAAACAACCAAAGCCGCCACCGTCTAACAAGAGTGTAAGTGAAAATGTTGTGTTGTTGTTGTTTGTGTTATATTATTGATTTAGAAACAAGGGTGGAAATGGAGAGACACAGGCCGAGAAGACCCAAACACCATTGTAGGAGCAATGGTTGTCCAACTACAGCTTCAGTGAGCTCAGTCTCCCTGTGAACGGTGGTCTGGCGGCTGCTCTCGTTGCTCTGACTGGGGAGGGGTTTGATAAGAACAGCATCTTCTACGCGCTTCCTCCTCCATTCCCTTTGCCACCACCTCCGCCAGTTCCATGGACTCTTTGATGTATGTCTTGATGAATAAAGAAGTCGTTGGCCGAGTCTTTAGCGTTTGTTTCATGTTATCGCTTTAGTTAAGTTGCAAGAATAAGTCTCCCTAGTTTGTAGGAGACGTTAGATGTAGTTGCAGGTTTCTAGGAAGTTTGTTTTAAGTTGTTAGATCTCAGTCTATTTAATCTTTGAGTTGTAACTTGTAACCTTTGTTTAATAAATCGAAATATTCAGTTTCAAAGTAGAATCATTAATAGCTTATAAGAGTTTTACTGGATATACGACGACCATGAGATCCAGCTGGAATCTTGCAGCATAATTTCTCTAATAATAACCCTTAAATGTTAAACAATTGCCCCCCTGTTTGTAGTAACTTAGAGATGCACAATGCTCATTGCATGCCTTTACGGTGCTACATGGTCCTTCTTCTACACATAATCCCGAATCCTTGCCTATTTAGCTCATCAAAGAGTTAGCAATGTTATTAATGCAAATATAAATATGAGTATAATTCAGTAATGAATATCACAGATCTTGTGTATCATACCATTATGTAATGGGTTTCCTTAACAAACATTGACTGTAAAATTTGTTCACCGGATTTACTATTGATATAAATGCTTCGTATGATTTTTTGTATAAATGAATCTTCCTATTAAGTAATGATTTTCCCATAAAAAATATTTGACTGCAATTAAATTTGTTCAACGGCTTTATTATCTTCCATATAAAGTAATAAGTTTTTTGAATAACTTATTGCGGAATCTAGTTGATAAGATTTGAGACTTGAATTATTCCCTAATCTAAACGTTTATTGCATTACATCAAGAATGATATCCGCCACTAAAATCGCGTAGCTAGCATTAACACCACTAGAATCACATTCAATGCAAGTACTAAGTAGAGTAATTTGGTGACCATATACTTGGCTACAAAAACTGGATATGACCAGAGTGCAAATAATTTCCTACTTGACCAAGAGCAATGGAAGTAGCCCAAACTAGAAACTATTCCCATTCACAAAATCGACACAGAAACATGAATAAGTGTTCTGAATAAGGTTCCTTTTGTTATACTAAAGTGTGCCATGACAGGATCATTTTACATAATACAAAGAAATGGTCGTTGAGAAATTTGAAGTATTTGGAAACACATTAATTATTTTTTGACGTCATTCTCTTCTTCTTCTTCATCTTCTTTAGCAAAGATGGTCTCAGGCTGTGTCTCAGAGTAAGCAGGTGCAATAAACTTGGGATCTTTAACAGCAACTTCTGCGTATTTCAATATCGCCTCTCTTGGATCTTCCTCCATCCAAGTCTCTTTTATCATCCCACCTTGCTGCGAAACACACACACACACACAAGGACAAAATTTCAACACACGCGCACACACAAGAATCGAAAAACCAAAATAGATACTATCTGAAGCTTCATACCTTGAGAAGATACTGTGTTAACAAGCCACTACCAGTAGTCCCAACTCTTCCACCATGACCAGGACCTGTCATGGGAAGCTCAGGCTTGTGGGACATAGCAGGATCCTTCAATGCCTTTTCTCTTTGTCGTTTGCGGCTTGGTGGGTCTCTGAACAATGGCAATGCATGAGGATTGTGGATGACTGGTTCTGGTTGGTAATCATCAACAGATTTCTTCCTTGGTGCACGTGCAACGCAGACACATGCGCCTCTCTCGCTCTGAGTTGGATCGTAAAGAACGTGAGTCCCTCCTTGGCTTTTGTCTCCGGATGTTGCAAATATCTACCAATAACAATATAAACCACTTTAATGCCAAGTCGAGAAATCAGATTTTTCGAGGAATGGAACAGTTGTGTTGTTGTTGTTCTTGTTTACCTGATTCAACCTTGGGTGCCAAGCGCATTGCACCACGCTGCAAGTTGGTGATATTCCGACTTTTTGAACAATCTCGAGTTTGGTGCGGTCGTAAAAGCAGAGCAAGCCTCCTGTTGTGCTGTCTTTCTCAACTGACGTGCCAGTGAGAATGATTTGTTCATCTGGACTAAAGGCAACGTTGGTTTGGGCATAACTATTAGGGAGACCCTCAAACGTCTTTAGAGCTTCTTTCATCTGCCGTAAGTCCCAGACCTGATCAATATTCAAGAAAGAGTTTTCAGTTTCCATTGCGGAGCAAACTGGTCAAAAGCAGGATGATATGATTTAAGGTTTACCTTTAGAGAAGCATCAAAACTTCTTGACAATAAAATTCTCCCATCGCTAGAGAACTTAACAGAGGTTATATCATCAGTGTGGGCATTCCCAACATTGACATCTGGTCGGCTTCCCCATCCCGACTTAAGACTCCAGATCTGGTTTGATAAACAGCAAAGATATAAGACCATTTTTATCTAAAAAGGGAGAAAAAAAAGACCATTCAACTACGCAAATACAATCACATTCGAAGTTTGTTAAACTAGATAAAACACATAAATTCTCTGACACAATGTGAGCAAGCCTCTGGGACATAATGAAAAAGAAGAGAGGAGAATCATTACTTGTATAGATCCATCTCCTATGCCACCAGCGATACGCTTTCCTTCACGATCCCAAGCACAGGTTGTAACCGGGATCCTCCCCGGTCTAGAAGGCTTCGGCTTAATAACCTGTCCAAGATACAGTTAAAAATTGATGTCATTTGCATGCTATAATAATCAAACCAAGATTCTCATTTTAAAATATGTGAATATAGAGACAGGGAAAGAAAGAACTACCTGCGTTTGGCTTAGGAAGTTATTAACATCCCATATACGCAGAGACCCGTCTTCCGACGAAGTCAGAATCGTTTCCTTGGTCCTCGGATGCCATTCTCCGCAAGTTAATCCGCAAATGTGTCCCTTGGTGTTCTTCAGATCACGGATGTACATATCCCCTTTCATGAACTCACCAAGGGTGAGACCATCACGATCAAAAATCTGAAACTCAAACGAACAAACAAGTGTGAGCAATTCATAGTCATAGACACATAGTTGAAACAGAATCGTAGAGTCAAGAGTCAAGAGCCAAGGGCCAAGTAACGTTTTTTAATCAAGAAACCATATCTACCTTAGCTTGTGCAGAGCCAGTAACGCATAGGAATTGACCAGAAGAGGGACTCCAGCTCAAGCTGCGAACTTGGTGACCTTCAGATGGCTCGATCTGCCTAAAAGACTGAAGCCTCGAATTCATGCCTTGGAAATCGAACATACGAACAGTGTAGTCATAGCTTCCCGAAAGAACTCTAGCTCCGGCACTATCAACAGCCAGGCATGTAACTACCTGTTCCACCAAACATTCAGTTTTGAGAATATTATCAAAATCTCCATTCCATCAAACTACTTCAAAGATAAACACTCGAGCTCGTTGTTTAGCATTAGCATATAATACCTTGGTATGGCCCTTGAGCTGAATCTCGTTGCTCAATGGGATCTTGTACCGATTCTCCTCCTTGTCATAAACATCGTCCTCGTCCTCATCTTCGTCGGAATCTACATCAGAGGTAGCAGCCGGAGGAGGCGGTGGGCCAATCATATCCTCATCAGAATCGTTACCGTTGTCGGGTCTCCTTGGTGGCGGCGGTGGTCCCATTATATCTCTGTCATCTTCCTCCTCTTCCTCTTGCGCCGGAGGAGGCGGTGGTGGTCCTATGGCTACATCATCTTCGGAAGGATCTCGAATGGAGCTAGATTTAGCACCATCGCTGCTGTTAGGGTTACGGTTTGGACCGCGAACAGTTCGGAGCCAGGTTCCAGAGGAGGAAGACAGAGACGGGAATCCGGATTCGGCTTTACCAGAATTAGATTTCTTCGTGGCGGAATCCGACGAAACTCCGTCGTCTAAGCTAGCATCGGTGCGGCGAGTTGCGTTGTGAATGGCTTCGATTGGCGCCGAAACCTTCGATGTCTTACCAAACGAAAGAGGAAAATGAGCTCGTAGACCTTCCAATTCATCATCCATTGCTTATCCCCTTGGACTTCTTCTTCTACTACTCAATTTAATTCTTCTCAGAAATTTGATTTGGGATAATTCTTCATATACAACGTCCGGTGACCTCGCCGCCTTGGAAATTACCGGCGAGAAAAGATGGTGACGGTTAAGTCTATAGACGAAACCATATTGGGCCTTCGAATAAATGTTTCTTCTAATTAAACCATTATAAATTGGGCCTCACTGAAACTCCCATTATATACCCTTTTTAATACAGTAATTGCTAATTTTTCCAATTTCCATTTCCACTGCTTCTTTAACTACTCACATTTCCAACGTATTTCTCTCATATTTTTTGTACTTCTTTATTGTATAACACACTAGTAGAGTACCCGCACGTTTGTGCGGTGTGACGTTGTTGTTTTGTGTAGAAAATTTAAACCCTAAATCCGAACCCGACAAAAAACCCTAATCAAAAAATTTAAAAACCCAAACTTTTTTAATAGGTCTAAACATGAAAATCCGAAATCAAAAAAATCCCGAAAACCCTGACTGAACAAAAAAAATCTGGAAACTTTTTCACCCGGAACCCGACCCCAATACCTAATCAAAATTTTAAAATACTCAATTTTTTTAATATATCTAAACCCGAAAACCAGAAATCTAAAAAATCCGGAAAACCCTAAACTGAAAAAAAAAATTGAACCTAACCCGAACAGAAATTTTCAAAGAAACCCGAACAATTTCTATATCTCTATATATATCTCTATAAAATTATGTCTCAGATTTTCACCCAAACCCGAACTTGTCTATAAAAACCCGAAAATCCAAAAAGCATATTCTATTGATTTGGAATTATCGTTAGATTATGTTAAGTTTTTTTTTTGCAGATTTTTAAGAGATGGAAAACGGAAGTTTTCTAAACCATCGGTTTATTTTAAGTTATTATTCTTGTATCCAAACAATTTTTTCCATTTATTCTTCTATCCAAATAGATTTTTCTCTTATTCTTATATCCAAACAACTTTTGTTTCCATTTATTCTTCTATCCAAATAGATGTTTCTCTAATTCTTGTATCCAAACATTAGAATGTACTTCTCAATTAATAATATAAAGATAAGTTTTGTCTTAATTATTTGATACAACATATAATTCGACATACAGTATATAATTGAAATGTTGAAATATATTTTCTCTTCTTCTTCATTTTCTTTTCTTTTCATAACACTACTTCACAATTCTGATTGGTTCTTCTTCTCTTTGTGTTTTTATCACAATCACGTATGTGATATGCATTTTTTTTGTGGGTTTCCTTTCATTGTTTGGTAGCCATGGATAGAGATTAGCGTTGTGATCGGGATATGTTCCCTTTCTTTTTTTTTTTTTGAACGACTTTTTCATTAAATGCCCGGACCGGGTTTAACATAAGTTTGGTACAGAGTTAATGTGATTCTTCGCTGCCTTAGCGAGAGAGTCAGCTTTCGAATTCTGGGATCTAGGAATGAAAATGAAAGAGATCGAAACGAAGAGAGAAGCAAGAGCGTTAATGTCGAAAAGAAGACCGTAGATCTCTTTGACAGGCTCCTGTAGTGTTAGGGCTAGGACGAGGTCCTGAGCGTCGGATTTGAGAGTCAGATGGGTGAATCCTTTCTCGAGTGCATTGTTGAGAGCAGATCTGATCGAGATTGCTTCTGCCATGAGGGAGGACGATACATATCTTTCGGCTGATTGTCCTTCTCCTATCTCTGTGCCGGAGCTGTCGAGGAAGATCCATCCTGATCTGGCGATCCCGGAATCGATACTCCAAGCACCGTCTGTGAAGCACGTCACATCGTATTCTCCGATTGCACGTCACATCGTATTCTCCGATTGCATGTGGCTTTTGCTTTCGTAGCCGGGGTTTGGTGGGTTCGATGGCGTATTGGGCATTTTGCCAATCTCTTGCTTCGGTTAGGGCTTTTAGAATAGTGGATTCGGGTGCGAAGGTTCTTTCTTCAAAGATTAGGTAGTTTCGGACTGTCCAAATGGACCAGATAAGCCACGGGAAGATGGGTCCTTGGCTAATTCCTGTGGGTGGGAGGCAGATCATGGCTTTTGAGGTCGCGAGGGTGTTTGTGAAACTGGTCAGCAGGGAGGGGATTATATGAGTTTTGAGAGGGAGAAGTTCCCAAACTCTTTGGGCGAATGGGCAGTGAAGGAATAGATGCTCAGCAGTTTCAAGCTCTCCACACTGTACGCAGCAGGCGTTGTCCGGGATTCCTCTACTTAGGAGGTTGTCTCCAAGTGGTAGAGCTTTTTGGACTATCTTCCACATGAAGACCTTCATCTTTGGGGAGAAATTTCCGTTCCAGATATCGAAATTCCAGCTAATTTGCTCTTGTGGTTGCATCTCTCCAATATCTTTTGCTTCCAAAGCAGTATAGTACCCTGTCTTGACAGTGTACACTCCAGTCTTTGTCGGCAGCTAGATGTAACAATCCTTGCCTCCGCTTCTGCTTGGTCTCAGCTTGAGGATCTCGGGGCAATGTTGAGGTATGACTTCATTGATTTTGTTTTGATCCCAGTCTTGTCCAGAACTTGTTAGGAGGTCAGAGACTACAAGGTTTTGTCTTGATCTCTTGTAGGACCTACTGGACAGGTTGGTGTGGTGAGGCTGAGCCAAGGATCATTCCAAAGCGAGGTAGAGCGTCCATTGCCGATTGCTTTTCCTAGCTTCTGGAGCAGAAGGTCTCTGCCTATAAGGATTCCTCTCCATCTGTGAGATGTTGAGGAGGGAAGGAACACGTTTAAGAAGTGGCGGTCTCTGCAGTATTTTCCTTGGAGAACTCGTGAGAGGAGGCAATTGGGTTGGTTGAGGATTCTCCAGCTCAATTTCGCGAGGAAGGCATCGTTGTAGCTCTGAATGTCTCGGAAGCCTAAACCACCGTCTCGTTTTGATCTGGTAAGTTTATCCCAAGAGAGCCAGCACATTTTCCTTTCTCCTATCTTAGAATCCCACCAGAAACGAGTTAAAGCCGATTGTATTCTCTTGCATAAGCCTGCAGGGAGTTTGAAGCACGACATGGAGTAGGTGGGCATAGCTGACAAGACGGACTTGAGCATAGTCAACTTCCCTGCACTTGAGAGGAATCTGGAGGAGTAGTGGACTGATCGTTGGTGGATGCGGTCTACAATCATAGTGAAGGGGTCTTTTTTCTTTCTTCCAAAGCTTTCTGGTAGGCCAAGGTACTTTCCTTTACCTTCTTCCTTCTCTATTCCTAGAGTGAGTTTGACTCTCTCTTATTTCCGATGGGGTTTTGCTCGAGAAAGTTATAGATGATTTTAGGGGATTGATCATCTGACCTGATGCTTTTTCATACTTTTGGAGGATTGTCATAAGAGATTCACAGCTTTGTTGACTTGTTTTGCAGAAAAACATGGTGGCATCAGCAAAGAGGAGGTGGTTGAGTCGAGGGCTTCCTCTGGATACTCTGATTCCAGGGAGCTTGCCGATATCTTGGGCTTGTCGACATAGGCCAGACAGGACCTCACCGCAGAGGATGAAAATGAAGGGTGACAGGGGGTCTCCCTGTCTTATACCTCGTTGGGGGATGACCGAGCCTTGAGCTGCTCCATTCACCAGAAAAGAGTAGGAAACCATGGAGATACAATGGAGAATCAGATTTATCCATCTTGCGTGAAAGCCAAAGCGCTCCAGTACCGTTGCTATGAAGCTCCACTCCACCCTGTCGTAGGCTTTGCTCATATCAGTCTTCACCGCCATAGAGCAATGCTTCGTTGCTCCTGAGCCTTTGAGGTAATGTAGAACTTCATGTGTGATTAATACATTATCTGAAATTGCTCTTCCCGGAACATAAGCTGTTTGTGTTTCTGAGATGATGGATGGGAGGATTGGTTGGAGTCGCATGATCAAGATTTTGGAGATAATCTTGTAAAAGACGTTGCAAAGAGCGATGGGGCGATATTCTGCAACTGATTTGGGGCTGGGGATCTTCGGTATGAGTCTCACATGGGTTCTGTTGATAGATCTTGGCACTATACCGGAGGTAAATATTTCCTTGATCTCTGTCGTTACTCTCTCTTTGACACTTGACCAGTTTGACTGGAAAAAGCTTGCAGAGAATCCGTCTGGACCGGGGGCTTTGTCGGCATGGATAGAGAAGAGTGCTTCTCTAATTTCCTCCGTGGTCGGGGTCGCAATCAGGGTTTCACTAGTTTCAGGGGAGATGCAGGGGGTTAGAGCGTGAGCCACTATTTCTACGCATTCAGAGGATTTTGTGATGAAGAGATCCTGGAAGTAGGCGTTTATAACTTCAACAATATCTGATTCTTCAAAGACAGGTAAGCCTTCTTTATTCTCTAGAATAGAAAACCGGTTTATAGCTCTTCGGCCTCTAGTAATTGCGTGGAAATACGCCGAGTTTTTGTCTCCCAGGGTTAGCCAAAGGTTTCTACTTCGTTGCCTCCAATATTCCTCTTCTTTCTTGTAGGCTTCTTTTAGCTTCAAGTTGATACTGTCTAGTAGGCTTTAGTCATGTACCGTAGAGCTCATTGCCTTCTCTAGCTTTGCTTTTTCATCTTGAATCGCTTTCTGGCTATTTGTGTGGTGCTTGCGGTTCCACAGGGAGATAGCTGATCGGCATTTAGCTAGCCTCTGCTCCACAGTATCTTCATTTGCTGCATTCCAGGCGTAGTCTACTAACTTAGAGATTTCTTCGTTTGATCTCATGCTTCTATCATACCTGAAGATGCCACGCTTCTTTTTCAGGTTTGGCTCAAGGATCGAGAGCAAAGGACGGTGATCTGATCCTTCAAAGTCTAGGTAGTAGCATCTACTAGAGGGAAATCTCTCAGCCCACATGCTATTTGATAGGGCTCGGTCAAGACGACAATGGACCAGGTGGGTATATCTCATTCCTCTCCACGAGAACGAGTTACCTGAGTGCTGGATATCGTAGAGGTCATTCTGGGAGATGAAAGCTCTGAAGTCGCAGAAGGATCCTTCTGTTCTTGCCGGTCCGCCGTTTTTCTCGCTATTTTCGATGATGTCGTTGAAATCTCCAGTCAGGAACCACGGTTCTTCTCTGGAGAAAGCGAGGTTTGTTATTTCATTCCAGACGTTTCTCCTTTTTGTATGATCGGGTTCTCCGTAAACGAATGTGGCAGCAAAGGTTTTGTTCTTGTAGGAGATTGAAGTATCTATGAAATTGTTGCAGGAGAGGAGGACTTCGAGGTCTATGTCGTTTCTCCAGAAGAGAGCTAATCCTCCGCCTCCGGGGCTGTGTGGTGGAACAAAGAAGCGAGACTCCAAGTTAAGGGATGATAGCAGGTTTGTGATGATATCCTCTGGATTTTTTGTCTCCATTAGGAAAATTATATCTGGAGCGTGCTTCTTTCTTAGCTCCTCGAGTCTGTGAACTGTCATGGAATTCCCCAAACCACAACAGTTCCAGCTCAGAATTGTTAAGCAAGAGGACTTCGCGGAATCCGAAAATCCGCTCTGTCTCTTGACTTCTCAGGGTTTGCTGTGTTTTGCGCAGGGTTTGGTGGCATTGGAGGAGGTGTTGCTGAAGATCTTCCTTCTACTTGTTGTTGTGTTTGTCGGGTGATTGCTCGGTTGTTATGCCTGGTGCCATTGTTGTGTGTACTTGGAGATGCTCTCTGGTAACTTATTTTAGAGAGAGGTGAGATTCGCATCATTGGAAAGCTTTTTTGGTTCTTTGTTTTCCTTCTGCTGGGGCCAGCTGATGTGGATATTTGATTTTTGGTTGGGGGTCGACCTCTTTTCCTCTTGTTGTTGGTTAGGACTAACTCCATCTCTGGTTCTCCAATGGGGTTTAAAGTATCTCCGGCATCGATATTGCCAAAGGGCATTTGCTCCACTTGTCCCGCCTCAGTTGGAGGTATGTAATCAAGCTGTTCAGGCAAGGGATGAGCTTGATTTGAAGGAGCATTGTAGAGGAAAGCAGCTGTTTCTCCTCCCAGTCCCTGTAAATCTCCTTCTAGGACGCGTTTCCTTCTTGCAGCGCTTTCGATTGGGTCTCCACAGTTGATGTAGCGGACATCAATGTCATGCAAGTCTTGGAGAATTTCCTCCTCTGTTTGGATTCTCGGCGGTGGGGTTGGGAAGTCGTCTTGTTCCAGGTTTCTTCCAACCGGAACAGATCTCCTCAGACTTGGGCTATAGTTATCTTCCATAGTCTCCGTTCTTTGAATAACTTTTTCTCTCCAGACGTGGTGTGTAGGTTGACTTCTAGGGGAGCGACGATTTCTTCTATGGGCTTCCTCTGGGGAATCTTTGGAGGATCCGTGCCTTGCACTTCCTGAGTCAGAGTGCCTGAGCGAGTCTCGGCGCTGCCTTTGGTAGGGTGGAGAGGGGTTTGGGTGCCCGCGGTTGTGGCGTGGAGGAAGTCTGTGATGCTCTCTGTGAGAATTCGATCTGGGGGGGGTTTGAGGGTGAGAGCTTTGTCTCGTTGCTGACCGGGTTCCAGAGTTGGCTTCCGTTCTTCTATGAGGCAGGTTAGGGGCGTGGTCCCTGGAGCTAGTAAAGAAGGGCGGTTTCAGGTGGTTTGGTTTTTCTATCTCCCTCTCCTTCTCCTTCTCTTTCTGCAGCCGCAGGGCAGATCTAGGGTTTGTAGGGCACTCCCTTTCTTCATGGGTTAATTTTAGGCAGTAGGTGCAGTGTTTATCAAGCTTGTGGTATTCCAGAGTTACCAGAGCTTTGTAGCCGCCTTCAAACTCCACTATGGCCTCTTTAGTGATGGGGTTTAGGCCGTTGATGTCCACTCGGATTTTTGCTGCAGTAGAGGTAAGTTCAAAGGAATCGAGCGTGCCTAGCTTTTCTCCAATGCTGCGAAGAAGCTCACTCTTCCAGTAGTGTAGTGGGAGGCCTCTGAGGGAGATCCAGAAGGGGATCTGTGACGGGAAGGTCGGAGAGATAATCGGCTTCCATTTCTCGAGGATGAGCATCCAGCGAGAGTATTGGTAGGGGCGGTTTTCCAGGACCTTCTTTAGGTCTTCATCGTAATCAAAGCGGAATTGGAAGCAGCCGTGTCCCAGGTCAGAGCCGGTCACGTTGCCTCGAAGTTCCCATTTGTTGGCAAAGTAGGGAAGCATTGATTTCATTCGTTGTTCTTCAGGGTTGGTGAGACGGCCGATGAGCGTAAGGGCATTCTTTCGGACTAGATCTGAGGTATCCATGGCTGGAGCTCGTATCCGGAGTCGAGGGGGGGAAGGTTCAAAGAGCGCAAGCCCTTTGCCCTTCTCTGCAGAGGTAAACCGTCTTGACATTGTGCAGTTGTCGGTTTAAGAGGAGAAAGGGTACTGAGGAGTGTCTAGAGCGAAGACAAAGGCGAGAAGAGCAAGGTTTAGGGCTTACCAGCGGGATGTTCCCTTTCTTATGTGTAAATTGTAATAATATTATACAGTTTATTTTTCTGACACATGCTTTTTTTTTTGTTTTATTTTCTGATTTTGAATGAATCCCAGAGACATTATTTTACATCCAAAATCGAATTAAAGGCAAGAAATGAAATAATAGAATGAATCTAGTTGAGAGATCATGATTAGTATATATGAATATTTATGATTAGATACATGGAGAAAATTGAACAAGTAAAAATGTCAAAAGTGGATGCCGAGGCGGTGGATCTCAAAACGGAAGACAGGATTGAAAGTGAGAGTACGATGAGCCAAACTTCGAGTGTCTTCTCTTGAGCATTCATTTGATATTCTCACCAGTTCCCAAAACGCTCCTCCGCTTATCACCTCCTTCGCATTCACCTCTTTTCACAACCAAAACATAAACACATTTAGGATATAAGTATGATGATCATCACATGTTTTGTCCACATCACACATGCATGCAGTGAAAGGAAGGCACCACTAACTATGCTGGGCCAAATGGCATAAAGCGAGCTCTATGTGGCGCCTCATTGGTGCAGCTTCATCGTTTTCATGTTGTACAATCCATGCGCGGAAGCGCTCCGTCTTCTATTAGCAGCGATCTTCCACTCTTCACACCTGACAATTCATACACTCATTTATATTTCTTCTAAATAAGAGGAGAATTACCGACACCTGACCCCTTTCTATTATTTGTTTACCTTGAGAGGTTGCTTGGATTCACACTTGGCAAAGTTTGCAATTCCCCGAGCCACATGAGCAAGAACATCTGGCTGTCCGCATCTAACCACAGCATGAATTCGGATGTTTATATCATCTGACTCGATTTCGATTTTGATTTCAATATTTTGTTTTCATTAAACGTTGAGAAACAAGAAGTGGATATACAATTTTCAATTTCTTTTTGATAAAGTACAATTTTCAATTTCAATATTTTGTTTTCATTAAACGTTGATTGATATTTATACACTACGAGATATGAGATTTATCCATTTACGTCCCAGAAAATATGATTTATTATGATTTATGCATATTAATAAAAAACTGTTTGCATTAGATTTCTGAAAATATAGTCTTGTGATGTGATTCTAATCTTAAAATCGCGTAGCTAGCATTAATACCACTAGAATCACATTCAATGCAAGTCGAGTCATTTAGCTCAAACTTGTGCCATGATATGATCATTTTACATAATACAAAGAAATGGTCGTTGAGAAATCTGAAGTATTTTGGAAACTCCCATTATATACCCTTTAATAATTGCTAATTTTTCCAATTTCCAATTCCACTGCTTTTTTAACCACTCGCATTTCCAACGTATTTCTCTCATATTTTTTTACTTCTTCATTGTATAACAACATAAGTGTTGTCTTAATTTTTTGATACTATAACATAATTCGACATACAGTACTGTATATATTAAAATGTTGAAAGATATTTTACTATTCAGTAAACCGTATTATTGTAGAAATTTCCATACAAAAACAAAAATCCGGGGGTCCTATAAATAAGAGGTATTTCTACTCCAACTGAAACAACCAAAACCATTCAGATAGCTTCCGAGACATCAACAATAGCTCAGAGCAAAAATGTAAATTTTCGTTCAAATCTCTCTCTCTCTGTCTCTTTTCGGATTTTTAGTTTTTTCTTTCTTTCTTATGCAACAGGGAAAATGGTAGCAAGAAGGTGTTGAAGCCCATGGATTCGGAGCAATTGAGAGAGTACGGACATCGAATGGTGGATTTCATTGCTGATTACTACAAAACCATCGAAACTTTCCCTGTTCTTAGCCAAGTTCAGGTCATTTCTTCTTTCCCTGGGTAAATCAGTCTGTTCCACTCTGTGTAGAACTCGGATTGTGAGAGTTAGGTTTCACTAAAAAAATTCAGTCTTTTTTGCTCGTAGATGCTGTGAGAGAGAGAGCTACTTTCTGTGAAATTTGCTATATTTCCACGCCAAATTGGCATTTCTCTAGAGGCTAATCATCACATTTTGGGTCTGTTATTGTGTTTTGAATCTCTCTGGTTTATTTACATTGTTTAGTTTTACTTATGTTTGATGCAGCCTGGTTATCTTCATAACCTTTTGCCTGATTCCGCACCAGACCACCCTGAAACTCTGGAACAAGTTCTTGATGGTGAATTAATTAACTGATGAATACCCATTTTCCTGTTGCTGAACAAGTTCTGATTTGAGATTGCTTTTTGTTGCTGTAGATGTTAAGACAAAGATATTTCCTGGAGTAACACATTGGCAAAGCCCGAGTTTCTTTGCTTATTACCCGTCAAACAGCAGTGTTGCTGGTTTCTTGGGTGAGATGTTGAGTGCCGGTCTTGGAATTGTTGGCTTCAGTTGGATATCTTCTCCAGCTGCCACAGAGCTCGAAATGATTGTGCTTGATTGGTTTGCCAAATTACTCAACCTACCTGACCAGTTTCTATCCAAAGGTACTACAATTGCTATAAAACATAAATTGATCTTAGCAGAAGAAATTTCCTTTAGCTAAGTGTTGGGGTTAAGTTGTGTTGTTTTAGGAAATGGAGGTGGAGTTATCCAAGGAACAGCTAGTGAAGCTATTCTTGTTGTTCTTATCGCTGCTCGTGACAATGTTTTAAGAAGCGTTGGCAAAAAAGCGCTTGAGAAGCTCGTTGTCTATTTCTCTGACCAGACACATTCAGCTTTGCAGAAAGCTTGCCAGGTCACAAATTAATTTGATCAAACAAGTTTTTGTTATATAAAAAAGAGCTCATTCTTGTTTCTTTGTTGTTGTTGACAGATTACTGGAATCCATCCAGAAAATTGCAGGGTGCTGAAAACAGATTCTTCTACAAATTACGCTCTTCTTCCAGAATTGCTTGAAGAAGCTGTTTCTAAGGATCTTGAAGCTGGATTGATTCCTTTCTTCGTATGTGCTAATGTAAGCACTAGCCTCTTACTCACTTAATGTACTTACCTCTTCAAGCATGAGAGATCCTTCTCTGAAACATTCATTTATTTCCACAGGTCGGAACCACTTCTTCAGCAGCAGTTGATCCATTAGCTGCACTAGGAAAGATCGCCAAGGTTTGTTAATTTAAGGAATAATCAAGAAACTAACTGATGCTATATGTATATATCTGATTGATTACTTCATTTTCTCAGAGCAATGAGATGTGGTTTCACGTGGATGCAGCGTACGCTGGAAGTGCTTGCATATGTCCAGAGTATCGACAATACATTGATGGTGTTGAAACTGCAGACTCTTTTAACTTGAATGCTCACAAATGGTTCCTCACTAATTTTGATTGTTCCCTACTTTGGGTCAAGGTATTCATATTTATACCTCAACTTTCAAATCTCACTCTTCTCCTTTCTTTCTTTCTTTCTTTCTTTCTTTGTTCACGTATTTGAGAAAAACAGGATCAAGATTCTCTCACTCAAGCTCTTTCAACAAATCCAGAGTTTCTCAGAAACAAAGTAAGTAAGAAAGATTTTGTGCTTCTTTCTTCTACGAATCTATGATTAGATTTATCCACCTTACTTTGTTTTGTTGTTGCCAGGCCTCTCAGGCAAACCTGGTTGTTGATTACAAAGATTGGCAAGTCCCTCTCGGACGAAGATTCAGGTTCTTGGCTTTTTGTGGGGAATCAATTTAAACTTTTGAAAGAGCATTTGCATATATTACAATCCAAGTTTTTTTGTTTGTTGACAGATCATTGAAACTATGGATGGTTTTAAGGCTATATGGAGCTGAGACCTTGAAGAGCTATATAAGAAACCATATCAAACTTGCTAAAGATTTCGAACAACTTGTCTCTCAAGATCCTAACTTTGAGGTTTATAACTCTAAAACTTTCTCCAACATGCAAGATTCTTGACAAGGAGATATAAAAAACAATACACTGTTCTTTGTTAATTTGCAGGTGATCACTCCTCGGATCTTTTCTCTCGTCTGTTTCCGTATCGTTCCTACGGATAACGATGAAAACAAGTGTAATAACCGAAACCGCGAGCTCCTAGAGGCAGTGAATTCCTCAGGGAAACTCTTCATTTCTCACACTGTGAGTGTGACCTCTCTCTGTTTTTCTCTTGTCTCTTCTTGTTTGGTAATAATAATGACGTAAATATATGTATGGCTTTGCGTGGGAAACAGGCTTTGTCGGGAAAAATCATACTACGTTGCGCCATAGGAGCGCCATTGACAGAGGAGAAGCACGTGAAGGAGGCATGGAAGGTTATTCAGGAAGCAGCTTCTTACTTGATTCACAAGTAAATAAGAGGTTTCGATTGATATAGAAAAAAATAAACCAAAGTTGGACTTACCAACTTCAGTTTGATTCTGTAACCATATTACATTGTGTGATTGTGTGTGTATTTTATCAATTTCTTTTCCCACTTGTACACTATAATCTATTGTGGTTTACTACACCTACACGTAACCAATGGCAATAGGCTTATTGTAAGCATATAACAAAATCTACTAAACACATGTACAAGTTGATTAGTTTCTATTAATGTCCTTGTTATGAGTTGACCGATTTCAAATTGTGGTCGTGACTAGTGAGAGCGTATGAGTTGCAAATGAAAAACACTCTAAATCTGAAATGTGTTAATACTATATGTTCCTATCTCATCACACACGTCATATAAATTTGAAGAAATGAATTGAATGTTTATCGTTTTTTTTTGTTTTTTTTGGTTCAAGGACTTTGCTTGTTGTTCTTCTTCTTCTATGAAGGAGGAGATTTACAACATACAAAAGTCCTTCGACATTTTGTCGATGGTAACAAATCAAACAAGAGAATGGAAATGTTCTTATTCAATAAATGATAATTATTTGAATGAATAAATAATTGGACAACTATTACTATTTAAAGCCATATAATCTCTGTCTTAGGATCAAAAGCCTCAACTGCATCTAGGTATATAATCTGGTGTGTGTTATGTTTCTGAGAGAGGGAGAGAGAGAGGGTTTCAGATTGATATGTATTAAGAGGAGTAGAGGACAAAGCAAAGCCAAATTCCACCTACATTTTGCGATTCAATCCCACTCTTGTCTCAATCTCTCTGTTGTGACGCCATTGTCACAGTTGGAAAAACCTCTTCTCTCTCTCTCTCTCTCTCTCTTCTTTTCTGTGGCGAGGAGAGAGAGAAGGAAAGAAATAGGAAGCGAACATTGCCTTTGATCACAGGTTTCTTTAATTTTAGTTTCTAGTGTTTTGTCTTCTTCTGTCTTCTCTAGATAACATCGATGTTGTTTGGGAACAGAACAAAAGTCTCAATTTTGTTTTTTTTTTAAATACCATTTTTCTGATATTTTTCTTCAACGTGTTAGACTCTGATGAAAACTCGTTTTGTTAACATGTGCGATGTGTCTTTCAGAGTCTGCGTTTCTCTCTTCCACCATCGTGACTCTGCTCTCATAGACATGTTCTCGCGCTTCCTCTTAAAATAGTGAAAAATGCTCTTTCTCTGCTCGAAATTTCTTCGTCTCGTCAATGCTGTTTAGCTCCGAAGCTCAATCTCTGTTATCTCTAATTATTTAATTCGATTATGGGTTTCACTCTCTTGAGAGCTCTTCGTGATTTACCAGTAGTGGAATCGTCTTCCATCTTCATCAACTTGACTCTTTTCTTAGTATTCATATTCGCAATCTCCGCAAGACGCTTACTTTCGTGTCTCCGTCGACGTCGCTTCTTCAAACACGATGCCGTAGGAAACTCGAGCTCCGTCAATGTTGGTGCTTCCGGAGAAACCCGTGAGGTTGAAATCACCGTTGGATATAAATTCTCGGTGTTTTGCTGTTTCTTCGTCTTAATCGTGCAAGTTTCAGTGTTAGCGTTCGATGTTCTCGGAGTGATTAAGAAAAGTCGTGAGATTTATGATATTTTCTCGCCGGCCACACAGATTCTAGCTTGGTTGGTGTTATGCACATCAGTTGTTCGATGTAATTACACCTCTGCAGAAAAATTCCCTTTCTTGTTGAGGCTATGGTGGATTGTGGAATTCTTCATCTGTGTATGGGCTTTGTTTATAGACTCGAGAGAGCTTGTTGTGAACGGCTCAAGCCATTTGTCTTCACACGTTGTTGGGAACTTTGTTGCAGCTCCTGCTCTGGCTTTCCTCTGCTTCCTTGCTTTCAGAGGTGTTTCAGGTCTGCGAGTTGTTAACAGTTTCAATCTTCTTGACCCTTTGCTCGTTGAAGAAGAGGAAGAAGAAGAAGAAGCAGGGTGTCTCAGTGTTACTTCTTATAGTGACGCCGGATTGTTCAGCCTTGCTACGCTTTCGTGGCTGAACCCTCTTCTCTCACTTGGCGCCAAGAGGCCTTTGGATCTCAAGGACATTCCTCTGCTCGCTCCGAAAGACAGGGCAAAGACGAATTACAAAGTCTTGAACTTTAAATGGGAGAAGTTAAAGGCAGAGAGTCCCTCGAAACCACCTTCTCTTGCTTGGGCGATCTTGAAATCTTTCTGGAAAGAAGCTGCTTGTAATGCAGTCTTTGCCGGTTTGAACACTCTTGTTTCTTACGTGGGTCCTTATTTGGTGAATGACTTTGTTAACTATTTGGGTGGGAAAGAGACTTACCCTCATGAAGGCTACATCCTCGCTGGGATCTTCTTTGCTGCAAAGCTCGCAGAGACTCTAACCACTCGGCAGTGGTATCTTGGTGTGGATATCTTGGGGATGCATGTGAGATCAGCTCTAACGGCTATGGTGTACAGAAAAGGGCTAAAACTCTCGAGTTTAACCAAACAGAACCACACGAGCGGTGAGATTGTGAACTACATGGCCGTTGATGTGCAGAGAGTGGGCGATTACTCGTGGTACCTCCATGATATGTGGATGCTTCCTCTACAGATTGTACTTGCTCTCGGGATTTTGTACAGGAGTGTTGGACTGGCAGCTGTAGCCACGTTGGTGGCCACTATTTTCTCTATTATTGCCACTATCCCACTGGCGAAAATCCAAGAGGAGTATCAGGACAAACTGATGTCTGCAAAAGATGAGCGAATGAGGAAGACTTCCGAGTGTTTGAGGAACATGAGGATTCTGAAACTGCAGGCTTGGGAGGATAGGTACCGGCTTGTACTCGAGGGAATGAGGAGTACAGAGTTCAAATGGCTTCGCAAGGCTTTGTACTCGCAAGCGTTTATCACATTTATATTCTGGAGCTCGCCGATATTTGTAGCTGCAATCACATTTGCTACAGCTATAGGCTTAGGAACTCAGCTTACTGCAGGTGGTGTTCTCTCAGCGCTTGCAACATTCAGGATTCTTCAGGAGCCGCTAAGGAATTTCCCTGATCTGGTGTCTATGATGGCTCAGACTAAAGTATCTCTTGATCGAATATCGGGATTTCTGCAAGAGGAGGAGCTGCAAGAAGATGCTACGATAATCCTTTCTCAAGGTGTTTCTGAAACATCTGTGGAGATCAAAGACGGCTGTTTCTCGTGGGATCCTTCGTGGGTTAGGCCAACTTTGTTTGGAATTCATTTGAATGTTAAGAGAGGAATGCGAGTAGCTGTCTGTGGAGTCGTTGGTTCTGGGAAGTCAAGTTTTCTTTCTTGTATACTTGGAGAAATCCCTAAAATCTCGGGTGAAGTAAGTGAAATACTTGAACAACTTTCAAAAACATGCGTCTGTCTTCAATTTTTTTCAGGCCTAAAGCTTTCTTTCCTCTCAGCAAATTTCACGAGTTGTACACTGAAATACACAGGTCAGAATATGCGGTAGTGCGGCTTATGTTTCACAGTCCGCATGGATTCAGTCAGGGAATATAGAAGAAAATATTCTCTTTGGCAGTCCAATGGATAAGCCCAAGTACAAGAACGTTATACATGCTTGTACATTGAAACGAGACTTGGAGCTCTTCTCACATGGCGATCAGACCATTATCGGTGACAGAGGCATAAACCTCAGCGGTGGTCAGAAGCAGAGAGTTCAGCTCGCAAGAGCGCTATACCAGGATGCTGATGTATATCTGCTCGACGACCCTTTTAGCGCTGTTGATGCTCACACTGGCTCCGAACTCTTCAAGGTTCACTTTCTCTTTTCTTCTTTTTTTATCCATAGAATCAAACTACTATATTTATTATACACTTTCTGGTATGTATGTCTCCTTACTTCACAAGCTTTAGTTAAAGCTTGCATTTGCATGTCTACAGGAATACATATTGACGGCTCTGGCAGACAAGACTGTAATATTTGTAACTCATCAGGTCGAGTTTCTTCCAGCCACAGATCTTATATTGGTGAGAACTTCTTAGGCATGGCTCTTATCTTATACCATTGAGTTGTATTCACGTTAAGACACCAAGAAAGTGCTTCATGAACTTTTTTGTTTATCTGCAGGTTCTTAGAGATGGCCAAATTATACAGTCAGGGAAGTATGAGGAACTGCTACAAGCAGGAACCGATTTCCTATCACTTGTGTCTGCTCATCATGAAGCTATTGAAGCAATGGACATTCCCAGCCACTCATCAGAGGACTCTGACAGCAATCAGGTGCTAGACCAGTCATTGCCACACAATCCAAAATCCAACGCTTCCTCGAGCAACATTGAGATTCTGGCCAAGGAGGTCCAAGAAGGGCCATCGGGGTCTAACCAAAAAGCCATCAAAGAGAAAAAGAAAGCAAAACGGATGAGGAAGAAACAGCTGGTGCAGGAAGAGGAACGTGTGCGGGGACGAGTCAATATGAAGGTGTACTGGTCATATATGGCTGCAGCCTATAAAGGGATGTTGATTCCACTCATAATCATTGCACAGTCGCTGTTTCAGTTCCTTCAGATTGCAAGTAACTGGTGGATGGCCTGGGCAAATCCGCAAACAGAGGGAGACCAAGCTAAAGTGAGCTCCGCGGTCCTTCTCATCGTGTTTATTGCGCTAGCTCTTGGTAGCTCAGTGTTTATCTTTGTCCGAGCTGTTCTGGTCGCCACATTTGGCCTTGCAGCTGCCCAGAAGCTGTTTCTGAACATGCTCAGGAGTGTTTTTCGCGCACCAATGTCGTTTTTTGACTCGACTCCTGCTGGAAGGATCTTAAATCGGGTTGGTTCTTTTTACAATGTATCAAACTGTGACTATAACGTCATCTCTTCATGCCATGGTATTTCTTATTGCTAGTGCGTACCTTTCAGGTATCTATCGATCAAAGTGTAGTGGATCTTGATATTCCTTTTAGGCTCGGAGGATTTGCTTCAACAACAATACAGCTCATCGGCATTGTTGGTGTGATGACAAACGTTACATGGCAAGTGTTTCTTCTTATAATTCCAACTGGCATTGCTTGCTTGTGGATGCAGGTGATTTCCGTTAATTTCTTAAGATTCCTTTTATGGTGTTTTCATTACTTCAGGGGTAAAAGAAATTCAATAGCGAAGATTTTACATCTTTCTTTTTTTTTTTTGTTTTTTTTTAAGATTTTACATCTTTCTCTTTGCATTACGTTTTAAAAGCAAGTATTTTTTCACTGAAAAACGCAGAAATACTACATGGCTTCGTCTAGAGAGCTGGTTCGGATTGTGAGCATACAGAAGTCTCCAATTATCCATCTTTTTGGTGAGTCAATAGCGGGTGCAGCAACAATCAGAGGGTTTGGCCAAGAAAAGCGTTTCATGAAGAGAAACCTCTATTTACTGGACTGCTTTGCCCGCCCTTTCTTCTGCAGCATTGCTGCAATTGAGTGGCTCTGTTTACGCATGGAGCTACTCTCTACTTTCGTGTTTGCCTTCTGCATGATCCTTCTTGTTAGCTTCCCACATGGAACAATCGATCCAAGTAAGTCTCTCATCCTCTCTGCAATTCTTGCCATTTTAGAAACTCGTTAGAAAACTATCTGTTGTGTTGACCGAGTTCATAATTTACCTTTGTACTATAGGCATGGCTGGCCTTGCAGTAACCTATGGCCTTAATTTAAACGCTCGCCTTTCCCGGTGGATACTTAGCTTCTGTAAGCTTGAGAACAAAATCATCTCCATCGAAAGAATCTATCAGTACAGTCAAATTCCCAGTGAAGCTCCTGCATTCATCGAGGACGCTCACCCTCCTTCCTCGTGGCCAGAAAATGGAACCATTGAGATCAACAATTTGAAGGTTCATCAAATATTTTCCTTCTGTTACACTTGTTTTGCATAGCTATTTATTCATACTCTCCTTATTTTGTATAAAGGTTCGATATGGAGAGAATCTACCAACTGTTCTTCATGGAATCAACTGTGTGTTCCCTGGTGGCAAGAAGATTGGGATTGTGGGGCGCACTGGAAGTGGCAAATCAACTCTGATCCAAGCGCTATTCCGGCTGATAGAGCCATATGCAGGGCAGATCATCATTGACGGCATCGATATCTCCTCCATTGGTCTTCACGATCTCCGTAGCCGTCTCAGTATCATTCCCCAAGACCCTACCTTGTTTGAAGGCACTATCCGGGGAAACCTTGACCCTCTTGAAGAACACACTGATCAAGAAGTTTGGCAGGTAAAATTGAACTGATATTTAATCTCAGTCTTATTTGAAAACCTTTATACAATCCTTAACGTGTTGAGATCCTGTTTTTGAGTCTTTGTTTGCAGGCTCTAGATAAGTCACAACTGGGGGACATAGTTCGCGCCAAAGATCAGAAGCTCGATACTCCAGGTATATAGCTGATACTGCAGTAGTGATGTTTCCACCATAAATCCTGTATGAAAAAAAAAACTGTTTTGATACGTTGATTTGAACTGTTACTGCAGTGTTAGAAAATGGAGATAATTGGAGCGTGGGACAGAGGCAGCTGGTGTCACTGGGGCGTGCATTGCTCAAACAAGCGAGAATTCTTGTGCTTGATGAAGCAACTGCTTCGGTTGACTCAGCCACTGATAATCTCATCCAGAAGATTCTAAGAACAGAGTTTGAAGATTGCACTGTCTGTACTATCGCACATCGAATCCCGACTGTGATCGATAGTGACATGGTTCTCGTTCTAAGCGATGGTGCGTATATACACATACTCACAAATTGGATGATCATACACATACACATACTTCTATTATTTATGGTTCTCTGTTTCCTTCATCCTAAAAACTTGGATGATCATTTTGCAGGTCTTGTTGCGGAATTCGACACACCAACACGACTTCTAGAAGATAAATCATCCATGTTCCTGAGATTGGTCACTGAATACTCCTCGAGATCCAGCGGCATTCCTGACTTCTGATCGTTCAAGATTACGACCATAAGTGAACACAATCTTCTCCGAGCTAAGGCTGCTCTCGCTGCAAATCTCAGACAAATCAGAAAAGCTGTCTGGGAAACACAGGACTCAAAATCCTGTCAGCACAACAAATAAAGAGCAAGGATGGATTCAAGACCACTGGCAAAAACCAAATGACATATTTAAGGATTGGAGGGCTCGCATTTTTGTTAGTTACAGTTTTTTAGTTTAGGCTTTTTGGATCAGGTGTATGTAGAGACTGCTTCTTTCTTGCCGTAGAAGCAAAAAGAACACTGGCCCAAATTAGTTTAGTTTTGTAGCTTTATTCACGTACCCAAATGAACGAACCTACTGTAAGTTACGATCTGATATATGAGATAATGTCGTTTCATTTCAACTGTACTTTCCTTATTAGTTTATTACAACACAAAACTAAGGTAATATGATACAACACAGAACGACGTGGTTTCATTATAGGGTGTTTCCTTGTTTGGAGCCCAGAAAGTGTGTTATGGCCCAGCCCATTTCCTTGTATCCTCGCGACGCCAAAATCCTTGTATTCCATTTCTCTCTCTCTCTCTCTCTCTCATCTGTGTTTTGTTGTCTCTCTGAATCGATCGTTTGTAACTGAGGACGAGGATGCAGGCAGTTTCCAGGAGATTAGTCCAACGGCCTCTCGCCGGAGGAGCTTCGATCTATTCATCACCTTCTCTCAGATCGCTCTATGGAGTCTCAGATCACCGTTAAGTTTCTGCAATTGGTTTTCTTCGATTCGCATTTCTAGGTTGCTTATGAGCCCCGTGCTAATACGATATATATGGTTTTTCTGCTGGTTTTTGTGGTCATTCTTCAGTTAATGGGACTGATAATCGTCGCTACTCGTCTTCCCTCGCTACTAAGGGCGTTGGACACCTCGCTCGCAAGGGTACTGGTGGGAGATCTTCCGTTAGGTATTGCTCCATTTCTCTCTACGTTTTCTCTTCTAGGGTTTTGGTTTCTATGGAAATGCTGGAGATAAATTCTCTTAGGAACAAGAAATGTTATTGATGTCTTAGGATAATGCAAACTTAGCCTGTACATCTTTGTTTAGTTTTAAGCTCAGAGGATATCTGCTGTGATATTAGCTGGATTTTATGGAGAAATGTATTATCTCTTAGGTGTTTGCAGTAGCTTTGGTATAGCGAATTTTTGTCAAGTTTACTTTCAGAGCTTACTGTTTCGAGAGAAATATGAAAATCTTAACTTGTCCTTTGCTTTGCCAGTGGCATTGTAGCTACGGTATTTGGAGCCACCGGATTTCTGGGTCGTTATCTTGTGCAGCAGCTAGGTGAGTTGAGTATTTACATTGTGTTTCCTTTAACATTTGTTGGTTTTCTTATCACTTGCTAAGTTCAAATGATTCTCTTCTTCCAGCGAAAATGGGATCACAAGTGCTAGTTCCTTTCCGAGGCTCGGAGGACTCTCCTCGACATCTCAAGTTGATGGGAGATTTAGGACAGGTAATACGTTCTTCTGTTTAACACATGCTTTGAAGGTGTTGACGTGTTGTCACAAGACACATTTTCTGGAAAATTGTGCTTCGTATCGTCGATTTTGAGGTGTGTTTGTCGTCTTTATATTTCAGGTAGTACCGATGAAGTTTGATCCAAGAGACGAAGACTCGATTAAGGCTGTCATGGCAAAGGCTAATGTCGTCATCAATCTAATTGGTACTTGTCTTGTCTATATTATTTTGTTCCAACGATTTGAAGTTTATGCTTTTGAAAACCAACACTGTTCTTTTACTTTTTGGATGATATTTGTTCTAATCCTCAGGAAGGGAGTACGAGACCAGGAATTTCAGTTTCGAAGAAGCTAATCATCATATGGCTGAGAAGCTTGCACTGGTATGTGTTTGAATCCTGACGAGTTGTCTCCAATGTTTTTACTCCTCATACTGTGGTGTACTTCTAAAATGAGCTACACATTTTTAACCTGCATAATGATACAATCTGCTATGGCATGCTCTCTCGGTTATGTCTAATTAGGTTGGGGCTTGGTGGATTTGTTTTTTCAGGTGGCCAAGGAACATGGTGGGATAATGAGATTTATTCAAGTGTCTTGTCTGGGAGCTTCTGTGTCATCTCCTTCAAGAATGCAGAGGGCAAAAGCTGCTGCTGAGGAAGCTATCTTGAGCGCGCTGCCTGAGGTAAGCTTTCAGCACACAGAACACTTCTGTAATTACCATCGTATTAATTTTTATTCATTGCTGTCATGAGCCTACTTATCTTTGGATATAAGGCGGATCCTTTAGATTTTTTGTGTGTGTAAAACTGGAGTAACAGTATATGATGTTACTATCACATTCTAAAATTTCATAAATTTTGTAAATAACAATGTACCTGGGAATGCTTACATATGCATATTGTCATCAGCCTGCTGCTTCTACACAGTTCCTAATGTATATTTGTTTCCTAGGCCACAGTCATGAGACCTGCGACTATGATTGGTACAGAGGACAGAATCTTAAACCCATGGGCACAGTTCGTTAAAAAATATGGTTTCCTCCCGCTCATAGGTGGTGGGACCACCAAGTACGTCCTAAACCTTTGTGGAATTCTTTTTTCACGGCAACTTGCTAGTTGCAATGTGGATCCCATTTCTTTCTCTAACTATGACTTTATCGCAGATTCCAGCCCGTATATGTGGTTGATGTTGCTGCTGCGATCATTGCAGCTCTAAAGGATGATGGCTCCAGCATGGGGAAAACCTATGAACTGGGTGGTCCAGATGTCTTTAACGCTCGTGATTTGGTAAATTCTAATGGTCCTTGATTCTCTCTGTCACTGTTGTAGCTCAGTGGGCTTGATTTTCAAGTGTTCCTTGCAGGCAGAGATCATGTTTGATATGATTCGTGAAACGCCTCGATATGTCAAGCTTCCATCTCCAATTGCTAAGGTAATAGATCAAATCATTCACCGTTTATAATAGAAATTCCAGCGACTTTTTTGTGCGTATCTGAAACGAATCTTTAACTACAGAACTCTAAGTTGTTAGGATTCTTTTTTTTGCTTTTAAAGTGATAATAATTTCACATGTCACAATTTGTTCCAGGCAATGGCAGGTCCTCGGGATTTCATGGTGAACAAAGTCCCATTCCCTCTACCCTCTCCACAGATCTTCAATCTTGATCAAATCAATGCGTTTTCAACCGATACTGTGGTATCTGACAAGGGTTAGTCATCTTTTTCACAGAAGTGTAATGATTTCTGTTTATCTTAAGGCGTTTGAGTCTGACTCTTTACTATTCGACAATGGCTATTTCAGCCTTGACGTTTCAGGATTTGGACCTTGTCCCTCATAAATTGAAGGGATATCCGGTCGAGTTTCTCATCCAATATCGCAAAGGTGGTCCTAATTTCGGTTCTACTGTCAGTGAAAAGATACCAACAGACTTCTACAATTGATGTTGCTTCCGCTCAAAGGTCATTTCTTGGACCAATTTTTCTCATGCAAGTGTCACAATGAAAATCGCGGAAACTAGATTTGGTTTGTTGATGCCTTTCATTTACTTATGTCAATAATAAACTTGTCCTCCTCTTTGGTGTGTTCTGGAAAAAAAGTATAACCCATCAACATGGTCATAAGTTCTATAGAGGGGACGTTTATCTTTCTTGAAGGGACGATTTGGTCCCTTAGGAATTATGAAGTTTCTGGTTCGTTTCAAACTTCATTTGCTATGTACTTTCGTCTTGTATGTTTTACTTGCGCCACAAACGTTTCAACTTGTATCTGTATGCAATCGAGTTTAAATTTAACACATAAATTTGAAGCACGCCACCTCTCAACCAAGTAAAAAAGGCGTGCTTCACATACTTCGACTCGATTATCTGCCGAGTATGAAACATTTGAAAATTCTAGGGTGGGTAAACGAATCTAGTTATATGCAAATTGTAGAATATAGCACTTTGCTTCTAGGCAAGTAAAGAACATTAGGAAACCCCAAGAACCAAGCAAAGCATATGAAGTTAATATCATGTCGTCGAAGGAATAGGACAGACTCATTTTGCATTTATCCAAAAGAAATGGAAGGTGAAGAAGAAGATTATCCCGGTCCTGAATCAGGCATCAACTTGAACGGGAGAAATGTTGGAGCGGTGATGGTAGCGCCTAGAGATGTAGACGTAGCGAGTCAAAGTGGTTGCAGGATCAACATTTATGTGAACAGCAACGTTCAAGGGACTTGCGGTTCTGCTTTGTTTGGTAGTAAAGTCAAGCTAAGAGATCCTGGCGTTCATCTTCATATCGAAAACGTTAAAATGACCCGCGACGACGACGAATGTAGACAAAAGGAGATGAGGTTAATTAAGATTGGGTTTTCTTTGGTCTGCCTCTTTAACATCTTTTTAGGACTCGTTTTCTTGCTCTTCTATTGGCTCCGGAAGAATTAATTAGATCTCCCCATCAAACCGAAGGTATTGGTAGATTTATTCGAAAAAGTTGATATCAATAAGGGTAAAAAGGAAACACGCATTATATTGTATGATTTACATTTTTCTAGATTGTATTGAAGGTTCATGTTATATATCCGACAATGTAAATTCCCAATCCCATGTATTCTAGTGGAGCAAACGTGACGAATAAAGTAATGTAAGGTTAACTACGTACCAATCACAAACTCAACTACCGTATTAGAACATGCATTTGCACATTCACCCATTGGATGATAAGATGAGAGGAGCATGGTTCATTTGTTTTAGTTGATTCAAGAATCTTTCAAGAAAATATATTTTGTCAGTTCGGAAGTTGGCAAATATTCAATCCCAACTTTTGCAAATCACCTTGACATATCCACCAATTGTAACAGATTATTGAAGAATCAAAAGTGAAATTTTTTATTTTTGTTGTTGGAAAGGAAGTTAATGCTAGGCCATTACTCTCGTCAATAATTAAAAGAAATAACTACGTTTCATGCAAGCACTTGGTGCTATACATGTGAGTTGTGCATTGGGGAGCACAAACTTCCCCACTCCCGCAGGCCACGTTTGTCCCTTGAACTTTTCTGTTATATTTTCATATTTTTTTATTGGCTCCTTTCCTATGACTATAACTCTATAAGTGATATATCAAATCGAAGTTTTGCATGCGAATTTCTCTCATACTCGATCTTACATATCTATACGAACATTTCATATTGGAAATTGTTTTTGGTCTTCGTTCCATCTACTTACTGTAATCATCAGTTGGACATTATAATAGATATGCATGGTCCCAAAGACAAAAAGGATTCCTACTGATTATGTCTAACCTTTGAATTTAAAGTAAAATAACCAAGTTCAAAATTGAATGATCAAGAATTATTTACTCATTAATTAGCGGGGGAAAAGCTAAATAATCGGCTTGAACTTGAAGTAATCATGTTACAACGTGTATTGGTCTAGTTTACCATCAAATTCTGTGATTTGTGCTCTTTCCAACGTAACCATTCAAATGAGTACACGTGGAGCCATATACCCACACGCTCGTCGCAATCACACGTTACGGACGAAGATTTTTCAGTCAAGAGTCCAAACGAGTTATCAAGGCTTACGTCATCGACCCTTGTAGCCGACATGTCAGCAGAGAAATATCCTACGTGGAAAGGTCCCACTGGTCACCGACAAGTAGAAGAAGAAGAACTGACGGCGCAGATTTAGCTGTCCGACTAACGTGCGCTCACAATTACATATACTTAACTCTTGTCTCTCTCTCTCTCTCCCTCTCAACGACGGTGATGAGACCAACTCAAAACCTGGTGAAAATCCGTCGATCTTGCTCTTTCCATCTCAAAAAAAATCTTCCCTTTCACACACCTTTAGATCAAAACCTGCTATATCTATCTTCCTTGTAGCTCCGTCGCTCGCGGATCCTTGTTCTGCATCCTCAAATCTGCTTTGTTTTCTAAGCTTTGAGTTTTCTCTTTCTTCTGAGCTTCGATTTACTTAGTCCTTTCCCGGAATTCGCTTTCTAGATATCTTCTTTTCAGTGATAGGACCTGGTTTAGGGTGTTTTGAGTTTGTTCTATGGTGTCAATGCTGTGATCTGGAAACACTCTATATGACTCCGAGGGTTGCTATGAGGCGTCGCTCTGCAGAAGTTGCTACCACAGAGCCAACAGAGAAAGGAAATGGGAAGAATCAGACTAATCGAATCTGTTTATTGGTTTCTCTATCACTCTTCTTCTGGGCATTGTTGCTCTACTTCCATTTCGTCGTCATCGGGAGCAGCAGCATCGAGAAGCAGATCCAATTGCAACCTAGCTATGCCCAATCTCAACCATCATCGATCTCTCTCCGTGTAGATAAATTCCCTCTCGAGCCTCCCGAAGAGCCTCTAGTGAAACCTATACTCCCTCCTGCCCCAGTAGCCAACTCTACATCCACCTTTGAGCCGCCTCCTCGAATCGTCGAGGAGTTTCCGTTTGTGAGAGCGTTGAAGACAATCGACAACAAGAGTGATCCGTGCGGAGGCAAGTACATATACGTTCACGATCTTCCCTCCAAGTTCAACGAGGATATGCTTAGAGACTGCAAGAAGCTTAGCCAGTGGACCAACATGTGCAAGTTCACCACCAATGCCGGCCTTGGTCCGCCGCTCGAGAATGTCGAAGGTGTCTTCTCCGATCAAGGCTGGTACGCGACCAACCAGTTTGCCGTTGACGTGATCTTCAGCAACAGGATGAAGCAGTACAAATGCTTGACCAACGATTCTTCTCTCGCCGCTGCAATCTTCGTGCCCTTCTACGCTGGATTCGACGTCGCTAGGTACTTGTGGGGATACAACATCTCCACCAGGGACGCTGCTTCGCTCGAGCTGGTCGATTGGCTCATGAAGCGGCCTGAGTGGGAGATAATGAGAGGGAAAGACCATTTCCTTGTGGCTGGGAGGATTACTTGGGATTTCAGGAGATTGTCTGAGGAGGAAACCGATTGGGGCAACAAGCTTCTCTTCTTGCCAGCTGCCAAGAACATGTCTATGCTTGTCGTTGAGTCGAGCCCCTGGAACGCTAACGACTTCGGGATCCCGTACCCGACCTACTTCCATCCGGCGAAAGACTCGGAGGTGTTCGAGTGGCAAGAGCGGATGAGGAACCTCGAGAGGAAGTGGCTTTTCTCCTTTGCTGGAGCTCCACGACCCGACAACCCCAAGTCCATCAGAGGCCAGATCATCGACCAGTGTCGGAACTCGAATGTTGGGAAGCTGTTGGAGTGCGATTTCGGGGAGAGCAAGTGTCATGCGCCGAGCAGCATCATGCAAATGTTTCAAGGCTCTCTCTTCTGTCTGCAGCCGCAGGGAGACTCTTACACAAGAAGATCGGCTTTTGACTCGATGCTCGCCGGTTGCATACCGGTCTTCTTCCACCCGGGCTCAGCCTACACTCAGTACACGTGGCATCTCCCCAAGAACTACACAACCTACTCTGTTTTCATCCCCGAGGACGACATTCGCAAGAGGAACATGAGCATCGAAGAGCGGCTCCTCCAGATTCCGCAGGAGCAGGTCAAGATCATGAGAGAGAACGTCATAAACCTCATCCCGGGGCTGATCTACGCAGACCCGAGGTCAGAGCTGGAGACGCTCAAGGATGCGTTTGACGTGTCGGTGCAGGCTGTGATAGACAAGGTGACTCGGTTGAGGAAGAACATGATCGAGGGTCGAACCGAGTATGACTACTTCGTGGAGGAGAACAGCTGGAAGTATGCGTTGCTGGAGGAAGGACAACGGGAAGCCGGTGGCCATGTTTGGGACCCGTTCTTCTCGAAACCGAAGCCAGGAGAAGATAGCAGCAGCAGCGGCGACGGCGGTGGAGGCACGACCATCTCCGCGGATGCAGCTAAGAACTCATGGAAGAGTGAACAGAGAGATAAGACGCAATGAGAAGAGCGAAAAATCACATTTTGGGATACAGTTTTTTCGGTTATTTTTATACGAACAAGAAGAAATGATTAATTTTTGTTGTATTGGTGTCAAATGTAGTTTCTCCAGGTCCAAGTTCATAGAGATAAGTTTGTTGTTTGAGATTCTTTTCGTTTTTTGTTGTTGTATCAGTAAACACAAAGATTAATAATAAGAAGTTGCCCTCATCAAGTTTCAACTGAAATCAGTGCTTATATTTAAAATGATGAAGTTCTTAGGGTTTAGAAGAAGTAGAACCTAAACAAAAGTATGTCGATTTGGAGTGCAATCTTTATTTGTTTAATCGGATGGAATGTATACTTTATTGTGAAATGTGTATAGTAGCTCCTTTGAGGTGAATGACAAAACAGTTGACAGATGAAATTTACCATTGAATGAATAAAGACTTGTGAGTCGTTGAAGAATAGATATACCATCGTATGGTACTAATCAGATGCTTGCTAAACATAGTTCGCAGCGAAGCGCAGCGTTCTTCCTCTTCTTTAACTCTTCTCTGGCTCTTCTGGTTTGGAATGTTTGAAGTCGGAAGGAGCAACAATGTCAGAGACGTTGATTCTCAGGGTTTGTTGGGGTCCTTCGTTGGAAGGGACGTGGACAAGTGCGTCCATTATCAGAATATCCCAGTCCCTCTCTTGCAAGAACCCAAACAAGCTATCTTCTGTTCCAAGAAACAAAAAGAAAACAGGATCCAACGAGTGAGAAAAACGGCAAACGCAGAAACCTTGCATGCAAGTAGTGAGAGAAATGGTGCGTTTTGACCTCCATAGCGAACAGCTTTGAGATGCAAGATTCCGGTGCCTTGTGGTCCAATCACAGGAAAGGAACAAGACACTGAGTGCCTTTGCTGAGAGACAGCTAGTGATGCATTGTACCATGGCCCTTTCTCAATTGGCTCCCCGATGGCTTCGATCATAGCCTTGTTATTCATCACCTTCTCCATCGCCTTTCTGAAAATTAAGCATTTAAAGACCTTTTTTTAGTGTAATCACCAATGTGTCATGAAAAAATGGAAATAAGGATACATCATCGGTTTGCACAACTTTAATCCACGAGTTGGCTTCTTTTTCTTGTCTTTCGATAGTGATGCTTATATTCAATTAAATATCCTCTAATTCTGTTGTGCAACTATAAACATTCAACTCAGTCCCTCAGACATAAAGCCTTATCACAACAATTCAGAATCAGGACAAAACCGAATCGCAAATCAACTATCAATGAAATTACGCATAGTATGTGCATTGCAGTAGCTAAACTTGAATGCAAAAGTAATGCACTTTCTTATATGAAAACGATGAACTGAATCACCTGCTACATCCGCGATAGATAGAAAGGTCATCGAGAGCACTCAAAGCAACACCACCAGTCACTGTAATCAAGACAAAAGACACTGCTTTCCGACCAAAAGAGCCCAATGTCCCATCTTTCGTTGGTTTAGCGTCCGAGCTGTTCCAAAATTTGGAAAAAAGAACATTTCTTCAGCATATTTTAACTAGTAAGGATCATAGATAACAGAAATGATGATGCGTCTCCAAATATCGATTCGAGTCCATGGAAAGTCAACTCGATGTTTCTAAATGGCGGTGGATCTTTCTAGTAAAAGGGAAAGTGTACAGGGTTTCTAAGGTGCTCGACGATCGGATTACAATTGCAACATCGCAACCCGACACAACATGTTGTAATCTCGATCAAAGCAGAAATTGCAAATTCATGGTCAAAATAAAACTAACATGAAAAGCAAAATCAATCACAAGGGAAATTGGAGTCTGGATCAACATTTCGAGTACCTTGAGGGTGAGGATCGTTTGAAGAATGAGGTGAGCCGCCTCGCGAACATTTTCTCAGGTGAATTTTCGGGGATTTTGACCCGACTCGCTGATTCGACCCGGAGCTGCTCGGTGGGGGAAAGATCTGTAGGGTTTTGGGTTTTGGGTTTTGCAGCCACCATTTACATTTTTCTTTTTGTTTAAATTACCTTTTTGGTGAAAAAAATAAATGTTGTTTAACCAAATTTACTATCAAATGAGTATCTATAAATAAATAAACGAAAAGAACTAAATAAACATAACTTTGATATTTTTTCAGCTAAGCCTAAAAACTGTTAAATCAAATCTCTAACTGAATTTTCAATGATCTTTGCACAATCCATCAGATTGCATTGCAAGTTTTGAATTAATCCTTAATAAGCACCTGGGCTGCAATATAACTCAAAGCCCATGTGTAGCCCACAATACAACTTTTTGACCAATTAGAACATTCCACGTAGGACAAATAGTGGACCCAATGCACACGCGCTGATGAGTGATCATATCTCTCCTCTTTTAACACAGCCACCTTCAGCCTTCAGAATCCTTGAGAGAGAGCGATCACGCCGGTTCAAGGATCCCGATTTTCCCGCCAATACCGGTGGAAAGATACCTTCGAACCTTCTTCGCTTCTCCAACCTTCTTCTCCTGGTTTTTGGATTTTTCATGAGTTTTTAGGTGAGAATTTCGATTTCGGCATTTGATAATCTCTATGTTGAAGCATAACTGGCGATGTCTTGGGTGATTGGTGGATTTAGATTCGATTGGTTTTAGTGTTTGTTTTTTATACTATTTTGGTTGGATAGTGTGTTTTGCTTTGCCGATGTTTCGCCACCCTCATATAACGTTTTTAGCTTCTTCCCTCGATTCCGGTTTTCCAATTTTCTTCATTTTTAATTTGCGAAAGTGGAAAACTTTAACTGATGCTGTTGCGTTCCCATCTGCAATTTGGAGATTTTTCATGTGTTGCAAACCTGATTGGGTTTTGCTTGATGAATTGCTTCATTGCTTACGATCTGATTAATTGTTGCAGATGCTCCACTCATTTGGCAACTTGAAGAAGCGTGAATTCTGATTTCACAGACTTTCCGCAAAGGTTTTGACTAATTCAGAACTTGAGAGTGATCATGATTCATGTGCAGACTCTTATGTATCTTAATCACTTTGATTTTTCTTATAGAAGAACAATGTCGACTCGGCCGTTGAGATCGATTCCGATGGAGCTGAGTAACTTTGCACACACTTGTTCAATACCATCACCACTCCCTTCAGTGGCAGCAAACGTTTCAGAACACAATCAACTCATGGGAAGGCCCTATCATTTGCCCGCTGGAGGAGCGGTTGGTCATTCATATTCAAATGATCTCCATAATGAGAAACACATTGGAAGCAGTGACACACCTTTCACCTCTGAGATATTAGATTGGGATCCAGCTTCAATCCTCGATCCTTTTGATTTTCCTTTGGATTTGTCCATTCAAAGCAATCAAGTAGAGAATGGTGGCATCATCGCAGCATCTGATGGCATTCACAAACAAAGCGACTTGCCAGAATTTGATGACGAATTGATTTCTGATGAGAATCCTCTCATGTCTACTTACTGGAACGATCTTCTCCTTGACACAAGTTCCACCTCTGCTTCTTCACAGGTTGTTAATCTTGTTCCGTTTTCTACTTTTCGACGTTTCTGTAATCTGTAGCGAAGGTCAGAACAGATAGACTCATGTTTTATTATAAGGATTTTGTTTCAGGTCAAGAAACCAACTATGGAATCGCATATTCAACAACCTCCACAAGTTGTTCTTCAGCAGCCTTCTCCTTGTGTTGAATCGCGACCTCTTGTTAGGACAGTATCCTCAAACAGCAACAACAACAGTTGCAACAGTAATAATGCAGCAGCTAAGGGACGTATGCGTTGGACGCCAGAACTTCACGAGGCTTTTGTTGAAGCTGTTAATCAGCTTGGTGGCAATGACAGTAAGCATCTTCTCTCTGCTTTTCGTTTTTTAAGATCTTCGACTTTGAAAAAGAGTCAACGTATGTGCTGATTCAATGTCTTGTATTACACAGAAGCAACACCTAAGGGTGTGCTGAAGCTCATGAAAGTCCAAGGCTTGACTATATATCATGTCAAAAGTCATTTGCAGGTTTTCTTTCTTCCTAGCGTTTGTTTCATGCTAATTCTACAGAATAGTGTGTTGATGAAAGTCTTTACTAAAATGCAGAAATATAGGACAGCTACATATATTCCAGAACCATCACAAGGTAGATACTCACTCCCCTCTTTTATGATTAGTATTCGTATGCTTCTAAATGAGGAAACTCTTGTATCATGTTAACTTATATCTTACAAATTCAATAAGCAGGTTCGCCGGAGACAAAGTTGACACCGATTGAGCATACTGCACCTCTTGATACTAAACGGTGGGGTCTTTGTAACATCATAATTCAATAGCGTAACACAAATTACTAGTGGTATCACGTCTTACAGATTGTCAATGATTTTGCAGTGGGATAGATATCACCGAGACTCTGCGAATTCAGATGGAACTTCAGAAGAAACTGCATGAGCAGCTTGAGGTACAACGATGAACATATGTCTTAGCTTTACGTTGTGATCTGTCTTTGTTTTGGCAGTCCTTGGAGTTGCAACCAGTTTTTTTTTTTAAAAATGGGTTGATTTGATGTGCTTTCAGATTCAAAGAAACCTGCAACTTCGGATAGAAGAACAGGGAAAAGCCATTATCAAGATGTTTGAGAAGCAAAATATGGGTTTTGGCAAACTGGAACAAGAAGACGAAACAAGTGCGCAAACGTCTGAAACTGGTTCAGTGGAATCAGATTCCCCGCGATCAAAGCGTCCGAGAAACGATCAAGGAAGGAAAGGTTTCCTGGGATGATATGATACATCATAAAACTGTGTTTTGGTGAACTTGTAGAGTTTGACTTATTAGAGCAAGAGCTTTCTGTCTTCGCCAGGCCTTCTCTTTTTCAAAACTATTTTTCTGATTCTCAGCTTTCTAGGAAGAAACAACAAATAAAGAGCAATTAGTTTGGTAGATATTTTTTTTTCTAGTTTTGGTGAGTAAAAACTAAATTTTATTTCCAGCTTCTTCCTATATATTTGCGTTTTTTTTGTTTTGGATTACGTATACATACATCAACTCATGTAAGATGTTAAATCGAAAGCATAAATCAATTCCGATACAAAATGATACAGATCAACTGATAAACATAGCGAGGTTGAAAGGTTGTATTGTTTGCTTACATGATATATTTTGTCCCACATCGACAACTTGGTGAAGTGTAGGCTATAATCTTCGGCTATAAATTGGAAGGAGAGGTTAATGGGCAATTCATACCTTTCTCGGCCTTTTGGCTAAGATCAAGTGTAGTATCTGTTCTTATCAGTTTAATATCTGATATGTGGGCCATCGGTCCACACGATATTAACTCTATTTTTTAAGGGAGAAAGCCCATGAAGATAGCTTGCTATCTGGGCTTTCGCGAGTCGCCCATGCGTTGCACTACTGCACGGGCCTGGCTCAGCCCGCCAATTTGAAGTCAAATTTTCTAACTCTTCACTTTTGGCTATATGTGTTTTTATCTTTTTGGTTTGTTGTTGTCGTCCAGTTTAATCACACTCTTAAAAAGTAAAAACGAACAAAATTACGCAAGTGATACAGTTGTCCCTTGAAAACATTTAATTCTCATGTAAATGTAAATCGATTTACATCACTAAGGTTTTAAATCTACTATCGAGGAGGAACATCTTGTGTCCGCTACATTTTTGCAATATCACCAATTGAAAGGATCATTTTTTCGTGTAACCTGTTGTCACTAGACCTAAATATTCATGTAGTTAGCTAGTAACACATTACAATTACAAAAAAGTTTGGTTTTACTCTCATATGATACTTAAAGAAAACAAATCATCAATAGTTTCAAGGCCAAGAGATTGAAGTTGAATATGAATAAATCTGTAATTTTTATACTTTTATAGAAATGGAAGGAGTATTTTATTTTGATTGCATTTGTATGAAAAATCTATACAGTTATGTACTTGAATGGAATTTTCTTATAATAATAAATGAAAAGAACAAAATATTTTTAAGAAATATCATTTGAGATTCCGAGTGTCTGGACTTTGGAAAGTAGAGGAGGCTCGTTTGAGATTAAAAACCCTAGACTCGATCAACGTTGCGACTTTTCTCTCTTTCTCTCTCTCTTTTCCTTCTCTCCTTCTCTTTCAGCTAAACGATCGGTTCTTCGTCGCTGCTTTTCGTAGACAAATCGAAGGATGAGAGGATTGGTGAACAAGCTCGTATCCAGATCTCTCTCCGTCGCCGGGAAATGGCAGCAGCAACAACTTCGCCGTCTCAACATCCACGAGTATCAGGTTCGTCTCTTCATTTCGATTTTGAAGATTCTAATCTTCTGCACAGTTGCATAGATTCTCGTTTCGAGTGTGTGCAATTGCGAATTTGAGTACGATCTGTCTCATTGTCTTTTGTTTTGGGGTTGATCCAGTGATTGATTTACGTTATCAAGCGATAACCTAACGGAAGCTAGAATTGCGGCTATCTAGGTTTTACATTTTTAATGTTAGCAGTAGTCGACGAGCTTGTCTTCATCAATCGTCTGGGTTTAGAGAGGACTGTAATACGGTGGTCTTATTGTGTTCGCTTTGTGATACTTGCAGGGAGCTGAGTTGATGGGAAAATTCGGAGTTAATGTGCCAAAGGGAGTCGCAGTTTCTTCCTTGGATGAAGTGAAAAAGGCTATCCAAGACGTTTTCCCTAACGAAAGCGAGGTAATATCTGCAGACATTTGGCTACTATAAAAGTCTATATTTGCATTGTACTCTCTATTAGTAGTTGAAGAGTGCCTTTCTCGTGATACAGTTGGTCGTTAAGAGCCAGATTTTGGCCGGTGGAAGAGGTCTTGGAACATTCAAGAGTGGCCTTAAGGGTGGTGTTCACATTGTTGGCCGTGATAAGGTTGAAGATATTGCTGGTACTGTGCTCTGTTTCTTTTTTGTGATCTTCTTCAAGAGCTGCTTTTTTTTTTTTTTTTTCTCTCTTAGAGTTTGTTGATTCAGTTCAGTTTTTTAATCATTTGTAGGGAAGATGCTAGGACAAGTACTCGTCACCAAGCAAACTGGTCCTCAGGGAAAAGTAGTTAGCAAGGTTTGTAATCTTCTATTCATGAAGCTCATAATTCTTGTGACTGCTTAAGCATTTGTATTTATTCATTGTTTTCCTCGGCTGTTAACTTCTTTGTATCTTATTTTGGAGCAGGTTTACTTGTGTGAGAAATTATCACTCGTCAATGAGATGTACTTTTCCATAATTCTGGACCGTAAATCTGCTGGACCGGTATGCTAATCATATAATATAGCTATTTGCTATCCATTTCTCTACTTTTAGACATGAATTGATGTTGCTCACACTTGTCAGTGATCTCTATAACACTTACCTTGCCTATTTCAGTTGATAATTGCCTGTAAAAAGGGTGGTACCAGCATTGAAGATCTTGCTGAGAAGTTCCCTGACATGATCATTAAGGTTTTGACTCTTTGATTCGTATTTGATTACTAGAAGTTGTTTTACTTAGGTCCTTGTTTCATGCAGGGGATGTATTGCTCTGTAAGTAATCCTTTCTGACCCTCATTTCATGGTTGTCTGTAGGTACCAGTTGATGTAGTTGCAGGAATTACCGATGAAGATGCTGCTAAGGTTGTGGATGGTCTGGCTCCGAAAGCTGCTGACAGAAAAGAGTCTATTGAACAAGTGAAGAAGCTTTACGAACTCTTCCGCAAGTCTGACTGCACAATGTTGGAAGTGAGTGCTCTTTCACTGTCTTGTTTATCCACACTCTTTGTTCGTTGTTCAACATATTGTGCTTGCTGAAACCCTAAATTTCTCTGTCAGATCAACCCCCTAGCTGAGACATCCACTAACCAATTGGTAGCTGCTGATGCCAAACTGAACTTTGATGACAACGCTGCTTTCCGACAAAAAGAGGTGTTCGCCCTTCGTGATGCAACACAAGAGGATCCACGAGAGGTATGGTCTATTCTTTGTCTCTTGCACCATGCTTAAGGATGTTTAACTCATTTTTGGATAAAATAGCTGCTTTACAGTTGGTTTAGATGGTTAGTTTAGTCGTTGTTAGTTAGTTAAGCTGTTAAAAACTAGTACTCTTTTCTACATAAGGTAATGTGTATATGACAATTAAGCTTAATGAAAGCAGAAAGGTTACTATTTTTTCGTTTTCTTCAACCTCTAGCTTTCTGTTACACATTGATTCTATCATCAAAAGTTGATAAAGGAAAGTGTGTTTGGTTATGGTAGGTGGCAGCTGCAAAAGTTGACCTGAACTACATAGGATTGGATGGAGAGATTGGTTGCATGGTGAATGGTGCTGGATTGGCCATGGCAACCATGGACATCATTAAATTGCACGGTGGAACTCCTGCCAATTTCCTTGACGTTGGTGGAAACGCTTCTGAACACCAGGTAATAAAAACCTGTTTTCTTCATTGTTTCTGGTTACTATCAAAGTTGCGGATTGAAACTGAAGGTTGCTTTGCCAAATAAAAAAAAAGGTGGTGGAGGCGTTTAAGATACTGACATCGGACGAGAAGGTGAAAGCAATATTGGTGAACATATTCGGTGGGATAATGAAATGTGATGTGATTGCTAGTGGAATTGTGAACGCTGCAAAAGAGGTGAGAAAATGAAGCATACACATATAATATGTTTCATGAAAGCTCTTTACTTGATATATGGACTGAGTTTGTGTGTGAAACAGGTGTCACTGAAGGTACCAGTGGTGGTTCGTCTGGAAGGTACAAATGTGGAACAGGGAAAGAGAATACTCAAGGAGAGTGGAATGAAGCTCATAACAGCCGATGATCTCGATGATGCAGCAGAGAAAGCTGTTAAAGCATTAGCTAATTAGGGGCTATGTGACTACTACTACTACTACTCTCTCTCTCTCTCTCTCTCTCTCTATATACAAAATGCTTTTTTTGGTGGTTTTTTTCTTCTTCTGTGGATCGTCGATTCTCAACCATTTTGATGGTCGACAACAAACAATTGTTGCGGATATAATTGCAGAAACAGATCAATAATCAACTACTGCTCTCTTGTCTTATTTTTTTGTGTGTGATCCAAAGAAATATTAATCGGAATCCTCAATATCTCCTTGTATAATAATCCTATTGTATTAATAAAAATCTGGCCATGTAATGCAAACAACTGAGAGGCAGATGCAAAGATGGCTCCAAATCATTCCTCAGAGACCATCTTAACGACAACTTCTGCAGGACCAGAACCGATTCGCGTCTTCTTGCAACAATCCATCAGGAAGGACATTAAGAAGATGGATGATAAAAGGAGGTTGCTTCAAACAGGGGAGGAGGAAACACATATATATAGCGAATAATAATAGTACAAGAATGAACACTAAACATCTAATATTGCCATTGGTATGTTCAAGGAAAGTTGGCCATGTGGCAGCAAAGTCTCTCTCCTTTCAAAAATCATCTCTGTTGTCGAACTGAGGCATAGATCTGACGGAACCAGTCTCGGACATAAAATCGGACATGTTGTCCACGTCACATCTTATCGTCGATCTCGTTGATCCTCCGCTAACGTTATCTTTCGTCTTCTTCTTCCTCCTCGATTTCTTCGGCACTTCCGGTAACATTCCTGTAGTGTTGTTAGGCCACGGAGAAAAACTGTCTTGTTGTTGTTGATCAGACACTTCCTTTGACCTCCTTGAGGACGATGTGCCTTTGTTCGAAGACCGGCGTTTTGTTTTGTCCGATGATCTTTCCTTTGTAGGAGAGCCTTTCTCCGACGCCGCTTTTCTCGTTGATTTTGGTAGTTTTGGCAAATCTCTGGTCCGACCTCCACATTCCGACATGCATCCCACGGAGGAATCATCTTCTCCGCCGCCTCCTTGTCCTGATTCAAATCCCCCGCCAGATTTGAACTCGTTCATCTTTTGAAAATACACACGCACACATGACACATTAATTAAAAGTTAAAACCAAATGAACAAAAAAGAAAGAGAAGCACTCGATAAAGAAATTAAATACCCAGCTTGGTGCGGTGGCAGTAGTGGCGGATGGTCCGTCCCAGCCAATATGGGCAACATGCTTTACGTCCGTTGGATTCCCTATCTGTATTTCTTCTTCTTTTCCACTACTTTCTACCATTGTTTTATCCAACACATGCAACAACAACAACAAAAATAACAATTAATTACTCATCATATTAGAATCAATTATCTCTCTATTCACGCACACTTCTATAATTTTATCATCACCATGCATACAAACTTTCGACGTGGTAATCTAGACAAGATTGACCACATAGTACATATTTCAATACTGAATTCGATTTACTTTCTTCGTATATATATATACAAACTATATAAATCAAAGAAGAGAGGGCCACTGGATTACCAAATACTTGCGAGATGTATCGGAGGCCTTTCAAGAGGCTTTTCATCTTGTTGCTTGTCATTGTAAGTTGCATAGATCTCTTCGTGTATAACGAAGAAACAAAATATGCTACTAATCGCGAAAGAATCTGAACAAATTTAAAGAACGTTCCGTTGCATGCAAGAAGAACGTTTTTCTAATCGCAAAATGCTGGTTTTTGAAAAACTCGCTTCTCTTAGAAACAAGAAGTTGGCGGCAATCAAATTGGAGTAAAACGATGGAAAGGTATAACAAATTTCGCATAGATATTGTTCAAAGACTCAAGAAATACTTTATGGAGACAAATAAGGACGCATCTCAGAAAGGTGTTGGTTTATCTTTTAGCGGATTCTCCTATCAAAAAGAACGAACTCAAAAAAAAAAAAAAATTAAGTGTTTAATAAAATAAAACTATATGTGCATTCACCTAAAAATCCTCGAAATTCAAGAGGAAGAAAAAACAAAGGTTCATCAAACAAAGAAATTAAGAAAGAAAACAAAATCAAGGAAACTAAGAAGGATGGTGGAGAGAGCATATAGATGATTCGACAAAAACGAGTGGAAAATGTTTATTTTAAACCATGATTTTCGTTTGACCTGATGGTTAAGATTATTTTACTTATTAATTACAGAGTACAATCAAATTTGGAATTCGTATATTGTTTAACGTTTTTGTATGTTCCATCAAAATGGATATATAATCAGTTAATCTCTATGAACTTCTATGTTTATAATATAATTATTTTAAAGAACATCATTTTATAGTGTAATGTTTATACTTTTGTCTCTATGTATAACAAAAGTGTGGAGTGTTAAAAAGTTTAAATGGACCAAAATGATTAAGAGAACCCAGCTTTGATAATCTTTTGCATGCTCGTAATCTTTTGACTAACAGAAAACATTGGATCACAAATTCACACGTTAAAATTGTTTAGCTTTCAATTTTTTCAGTCCGAGATCCGAGTACGCACGATGATATTTCGTTTTTGTAAGACAATAAAAAGGACAAATTTGAAAAATATAGTATTATCAACAGAAAAAATACAAAAAATATGTTAGAGAAAGGTAACTCGCGCGTTCTAGTGAATTACAAAAGTGTGGAAAGGAAAAGTATCACGAAGTTCATTTTTGTGACTCAAAAACGGCACACATGTTAATCATAAAATACACAAACTTAAGAAGATGACAGATAACAAAAGAAGAAAAGAATCATGAGAGCTTTCTCTTCCAGAAACTTGATGAACAACTTTCCGATAAAACAAAAAAACCGTGTTGATATCTCTCAGTATATAAAGTGGATGGAGGCTTTAAGCAAATCTTTATTGCCTATTAGCCTGCAAGAAACAATACATCGTATAAATTTTCCTATCCATTAGTACAAAAAATGTTATAAATGCATGTATAAGAATTTAGAGAAACCTTTTTAAGGAATTTTTCATGGATCTTCAACGCTTCTTTACAGGCTTTTTTCGCATCAAGATTACCTGCAATGTCTCCTAATATCTGCAACATAAATTTGAAGTTACAGAGTTTGGTTTTGACGCTTTGAGAGGCAAAAGAGAGAGAGAGAGACCTGAACAACGTCGTCTAGGCCTTTAGCTTCCTTCAGGAGACGTTTGTTCTTTGTCTGGAGAACGCTTGCGACCACGAAAACAGCAAGCGTATTGCCATGTTGCTCATTCTGTCCGTTGTGGAGGTACTTCCTCTCAAACTTGCCATACCGTTTGCGTAACTTGGGATCGTCTGCTGCGTTGTTCCGGTCTTCTAGTTCCTCGTATGTTGCAAACATGGTTGGATTGTACTCCATAGCCCACATCATCTGCAACCATAATCCATACCACACTCATTAGCCAAGCAAGAGAAGAAATACAGGAATTGGATATTATAAAAAGAAAGCAGTTTAATTTGTTACCTCCCAAAGGTACAAAGCGTCGAGGAAGGAGAATTCTCTCCTGAAAAGAACCATCAACATCCGAATAGCAAACAGATACTCCCCACCATCGAGATCCTCTGTCACGCTAACTCATTTTAGCTCACCAACAACAAGACGAAACTATGCATGTGTAACAGCACAAAAATCTTACCTAGATGTTGGTGGAGCCGAGGATCAACTGTTTTAATGACCTGTGAGAGCACACCTAGCTGAGTCTGGACACCCATTGACGTTGCTGTTGCCCTGAAATTTTCTCTCTGAAATTCAAGAAAACAGTGAATACATGAACGATCTGGTGATGACAAAACAACATGAGAGAAGTAATGTCACAGGTTATTAATATTATTACCAGTCTTCGCATGGCACGCTCAAAGCACCAGAAAGCATCGGCTTCATCGTCAAAGAGGATTATCATTGGGGAACATATATCATTCATTCCTACACGACCGAGTAAGCAAAGTGGATCAGTTCGGTTCTTTTTCCCTATCATTCCGAGAAAGCAAGTAGAATTACCTTGAACATAACCGATATCAAGATTCAACCACGTATATATGGCAAGAACATCCCATAGTTTCGACTGATTTCGATCATTCTCATAAAAGGAGAGATACCGATCTGTTCTAGCAACGTCAAGGCCTGCCACAAAAGTTTCACCATTAGCAGCGCTAATCTATGTATGACGTTTATAACAAGGCAATCATACTTCATACATACCGATCTGATGCAGTGAGAGCATCCACTGGAGCACTCTCTCGTTAGTAATGGCGTTTTTGACAACCCATCCTTGATTTTCTACGGAAGATTCATCTATTGGATTCCCATTTTCTGAAACCACAGCCATCGTGATGAACTTGCCGCTGCCAATGACAGGAACCATTTTCTTACATTCTTCTTTCCACGCACCGTACTGCTCCCTTAAGTGATCAATACATTTAATTAAATTAGCCCCATAGACCTACCAAAAGAAGTAAACTAGTTGAGCTTTAGAGCTTATATGATTGAAGAGTACCTTCTTCGATTCCTCAGCTTGCTCCTTTCCTCAAAAGTGCTGTCTGGATCGTAGCATCCTAACAGAAACTCCCAAACCGCGCCTTTGATCGAAGGATGAATTCCCTGAGACACACAGAAACCAATTGTGAACAACAAGTGTAGAGATGAAAACAAAACAAGAATGTAGAGTAGGTAGACTCACTCCACGCTGGATACGCCTAAGCACTTTTTCCATATCCAAATGACCATCTTCAGTAAACGCAGCGTGCCATCTCCTAGCACTTAGAGTTTTTCCAGCCTATTATCAACATAGAGATTAGAGATTAGAGAACATCAACAGGTGGATGGTTAAAAAAGAAGAAAACAAAACAAAAGGCACAAACAAACCCTTGATTTAAAACGGGTCCTTGGAACATCTGCTTGACATTCTGGTCTTACTGGAAAGAAACCTTGCAAATCTTCTCCTCCGGATTTCCACATGAATCCGCAGCAAATCATTCAACTTTCCTTCTTCCTTTTTGCTTTTTGTCAAACCAAACTTATACGCATATCAGACACCCATTCATTCATTCATGGATTCACCGGGACACTAGAGAAAGAAAAAAACCCCAAAAAGAAATCTTAGATATATTATTGACAAGATGGAGAACAAAAATGAAACAAAAACACGACAGACAAGAACCAGGTCTATCATTTTTCAACGGAGAAGCTTCCGTGTTTCAATTTTATCTTAGAATCGTAGTCATCGTCATCACCACAAGAACATTACAAATTCAACATCACAGCATTATTTTAGAGCATCCTGATTCCGACATTCCAAAGATTTTCAATCAATTACGAAGAATCCGAGAAAATTTGTTATACGTACAGTCCAGATTATGCAGATTGAGATCCTAAACAGACGGACTCTCGACAATCTTCAGACACATGCTGCCTTTCGTGTCTTCTCCGATTTTCCTTGATCTTTCTATTTCCAAGGACTCTCTGTCTGCCTTTCATGTCTTATTAACCAAACCGTGCCTAATTTATGAGTTCCGGTTCTTTCTTTATTAAACCGATAAGTCCATCGGTTCCGGTTAGGAAACGGATTTCCCATGAAAAGAATGAACTCATGTAAAAGCCTAAGAATCTCAACATCTTCGAATTTAGACAAACAAACAGAACATTGCAAAACCTTGTTTCAATCCTTGTGGCTTACAAAATTGTCTGTTAATAATAATAATAATAAAAAAATGGATAGGAGTTTTAATTTAGTGGTTCACATGTTTTCTAACAACTGTATCATGCTTCACATCGTTATTATCTTTGAAACCATCTTATATCTCATTATGAAGTTTTCTCTTCTCTTCCACATAAACAAAACAGAAATTGAAAACATCTAAACCAAATTCATCAAACAATTAATTGCCCCACCCTTACATTATCATTTTCTAGTGTTAGCCCATATATATTAATAACAATATTGACAAATTTTGAGATTTTCTTAAATAATGATTATCAAGTAAAAATAAATTGAACTAATAAAAAAAACTAATAACATATTATTTCAAAAATTTCTTTTCGCCACATTATGCACCTCATCTGTACATGACTGGATGGGAACACCTTGTGACGACCTCGAAATGCCGATGAGTCGGTGGCATATGCTCATTTTGCTGATTGTGTTGAGCTGCAACCTCAGGTTCTCTCCAATTCCTTGATAATTGAGTTGAATTGAAATCACCGAATCACTGCCTCTTGTCTGGTTTTGTGTTAAGCTTAAAAGGTTGAAAGTGAGGAAAAACAATTGGGACACGGAGACTTACCAGTTTGATGAAGTGCTTACCGAAGTTGCTTCCGAGAAGCGAGTCTACCAAGTGGTTGTCAAGCCTATTGTAGAGTGTTCTTGAGGGTTACAATGGAACTGTGGTGAAGCTAACGACTGCTTCCCTCTACGTCTATTCAAGATCATGTTGTATTTTTTGTTTTATTGTGGTTTTAATCAAGTTACGTACTTACGTTGTATGTTATTTCGTTTTAATGATAATAAACTAGTTTTGTCTACGTAATTTATTTCTTAAACCATATAGAAAAAAACATGCATTCGTCGTTTTGATGTTTTAGGTCCGTTCACACTTCAGTATCATATATTATCGCAGCAAATACCATTGCCAATTGTCAGGGCAGGGGGCTCTACTTTTGCGTAGGCTATTTCCTACAAGTGCTTGTTGTAATTTGTAAATTATCTATTTCACAAATTTATCTTAACAAGGTACGAAAAGCCTCTTCTCCCATGTCTAAACTCCATTTCAGACTCAACAAGCCTCTTTCATCACAGAAAAGAAAGTGGATACAGGTCGGAGGACTTATCACACGATTGTAGAGAGCCTTCCTCGACAAGTAACGGAGATAATTATATTATTGAGAGAGAGAGAGAGAGTGAGACTTTGTATTGAAATGAAATCATATATAGTCTGTTCATCATAAAAGCGTAATCTCCAAGCAAGAAATGTTAAACTTTTGCTGATATATATTTTTTAGCAGGTTTCTGGTTCTTCCTGCTTTGGCCTCACTTCAAGTTTTGGCGGCAGAAGTTTCAGAAAGCTTCCCTGAACCACCGGAGGAGCAGGAGGAGGTCTATCATAAGCCGATCTCGTTGTTGTTTCCGACGAATCCGATGTCTCTGATGATCCACTATCTATATTAGTAAAACATGATCCAGATTATTCATCTTTCAACATCTTTACTTTGAAAATAGGCACACAAATTTTAAGGTGAGTACCGAAGAGTGATTTGACCATTGGTCGCTTTAACTTGTTCTTCTTCTTTAACTCCGCTGCAATTACCACATTAATTAAAGAATTCATTAGTAAGCTATAATTGCAAATCAAAGACAAGAAGCAGAGTGTGTTATACCCATTCCAGGAACTTGGTAATCATTAACGATCTCGAAGTTCTTGTAAGTGTACCCTACAAAGTTTATGTCCTTTGACGACAACATCTGCAAATGTAAAACCGGAATCCCATTATTACTAAACATAGATAAATCTTGAATCTTTCTTTCTAGAGTAGTAAAAGGAAAAGAAAAAAAAGGATTTGCCTTCCTCCATGGGCCAGACTTGGATGATGTCTGAGTTTGTGTTTCGGACTGCATCATTACCAAGTCAAAGATCCGTTATTTTTCTTGTTTAAGTCTAAATGATCAAATATTACAAAATGATGAGTAAACTATTAAATATTACCTCGTCAAACTTCTCAAAATTCTGAGTGTCTAAATCGTCATTGACCTCTGGAACAAAAGCTGCATCCATATCGAATATTGTATCCCAATCAACAGTTTGAAACCATGGATGAGCCTGCAAATATTAAATGGGACAAAAAAAACAAGGTCTTATAGCCAAACTCAGGCTACATAAAAAAAAAAAAACAGAGGAAAAGGACACACCATACAACACCTTTATTTCATCAGCACCTTTGGAACCAAGCCTTCGTCTCACACTGCACAAGAGGCTGTTGATCAGATCTTTTGCATCCTTCGACAAGATCGCTTCCTCTGGAAACTTCAAATGGCTTTTCCAGTTTACTATCTACAAGAGTTTGATGTCACTGCAAGCTAAAATTCCCATTCTTTTGGATTTTTCTTGTATATATAGATTATATTTACCTTTCTACAGGTTGACATAGGATCATCTGAATAAAACGGAGGATATCCTACAAGCATCTCATACATGATAGCTCCAAGAGACCACCTACATTAGAGAGCATTTTATTTAGCAAACTTCATTAGCTTCCTCTGCAAGTTACAGGTTTAGACTGTGGAGCTAAAACCCATCAACATGCAAATGTTAGGGAGGAGACAACAAAACCATGATTGACTAGCATTTACTCTATCAAGCAAAAGAAGAAGAGAGCCACAAATGCTTACCAGTCACACTCCATTCCATAGCCTTTCTTCAACAGGACTTCTGGAGCTATGTAATCTGGTGTGCCAACTGTGGAATAAGCCTGTCCTTATTCATGGGTTAATATTAGAGAAACAAAGAAGCAATGTTTTTGATCCAAAATCTACAAAAGGTGAATTAGGAAGGCTTACAAGCGTTCTCCTGTTCCTCTGCCAGTGTTCAAGCTGTTCCTGCTGTGTTCGTTTTGGAGCAGCTGATCCAGGCTCTTTCTCTGTGGATCCATTCGGATTGTTTGAAAAATCGTTTTCACCAATGGCACTGCAGTCCAAAGGCTTACACAATCCAAAATCTGACAGTCTCAGATGCCCATATCTGTCCAGCAGCAAGTTGTCCGGTTTGATATCCCTGAGTAAAAGCAAAAGAAACAAGATAAGGCTCATCCAAGATCGATACAAGAATGGGTACGTGTTTTGGTTGACTCTCTCCTCACAGTCACAGAACCTGTGGATGTAATTGTGCCTGTGGATGGACTCGATGGCAAGAACTGTCTCAGCGACATAGAACTTGGCCTCATCGTCTGACAGAGTGTCTTTGCGCATCAGCAGAGTCATCATATCCCCACCAGGCAAATACTCCATGACAAGGTAAAGATGGTCATCATCTTGAAACGAACAGTATAGCTTCACTATGTAGTTACTGTCCACTTCCGCAAGTAGGTTCCTCTCTGCTCTCACATGCTCAACCTTTAAACACAAAAGAACAAGAGTTAGAAGATAAGAGTCACAGACAAGAGCGCAAGAAAGTAGCAGCATCCGTGTCATCACCTGGCCTCTGCGAAGCATCTCGGCCTTCTTGAGCTTTTTCATTGCATAAACTTGACCTGTCGTCTTTTCTCTACAAACTCTAACCTAAGAGAAATAATAACAACAAACACTTGAACAAGCACCTTCACCAATAAAACGTGTCTCCCAAGAAAAGATGCATACCTCTCCAAAAGCACCTTTCCCAATCATTGTAAGCAAATCGAAATCAGCAACGCCAAGCTTATGCCGTTGAAGGCGCATGTACTCTGTCTCCTTCTTCTCCAGAAACTTTAGAAGATTGTTTTGATCTTCTTCAGACACATCAGCATCTGCCAGCTTCTGCTCTAGCATGCTTCGCCTGTTTATGTATATATATATATATATATATATATATATATATGTAGAATACCAAAGACTAAATAAATATTCACGCAACATTTTGGTTGAGAAGAAGAAGAATGTACCTTTCTTTTCTCTCTTGGAGAATCTTCATCTGCTCTTTGTAATGATTCTCAATGTACTGTTTAGCTGCTGCGACTTTCTGTTTGGTAGTGTTTGAAACAGCTTCTTCATCTGTTTCCACGTTCTGCTGCTCATCGGCAGAGACATTACTACCTTCCCCACCTGAGGCATCTTTGTATCTCGACCCTCCTCGCATCTGCCTCTTCTGAAACCAACCCTTTGCTGAATCCATATATCTTTATCTATACTCTCGATCTTTACCAAGACCACACACACAGATTAAATTAAATACTCAGTTTGATCATCTTTGGATTGAACACACGTCTCATCAATGAATCCTTCTGCAAGAAAACAGAATTTCAAAATCAGCATGTACATCACTAGAATCCAAAAACGTGATTTAACCGGAAACTGGGAGGATCAAAAACACCTACAGAATCGAAAAGCGATCAATCTTAACGTCAAACGTGATAGGAAGAAAAACAAATCTCAAATCGGAAAGGAGAAAGAGAGGACAAGAGAGGAATCGAAAGAGCGTGAATCTCTCTGGATCCCATGAATTTTGTATGGTTTTAACACGATTCATTCACCAATATTTTTGTCAATAATAAATATGCTCATTTAGATCAATCTCTCTGCCTTGAGCGTTTTATTTCATGCACACTTGTTCTTTTTCTTTCTTTTTTAGTTAATACTGTATATAATTATAACGCAAGTAATGTAGTGGACTCTTGTTATTTGACCTTCACTCTTTTTTACGAAGAGAATAATATTTGTTTCTTCTTTTACTACTAATATTTCAAAGGATTCGATGTTACAGGCATTAAGCTTTGCATGCTTACATTATATATTTTGTATTTAATTCACATAGGACTGGATATACGACCATGGAGATCGGCTGTCCTCTTGCAGCAACAGTAATAAGAAGTCCCTTTTCGTACACAAATGCCACCATGTTTGTAAACATATGGCATCGAGTTACAGTAATCATTGCATGCCTTTTCGGTGGTACATGGTCCTTCTGGTTGACACAATACTTCATTGCCTATTCAATTAGCTCGTCAAAGTTAGAAATAATTAATTCAGTAATGAATATGTATATTGCGTCTAATGGCTTTGACTCAATCAGTTACAAATAATTTGTTTTACCTGAAATCATGGGCATAGAGATGAGAGCAAAGACCATCACCAAAGATAATAAAAGAGATGAAACTTTCTTGGTTGCCATTAGTTATGTTTATAGGTTGGAACAACTCTTCGTCTGGGATATCCTTCATAAGAGCAAAATGTACCAAAATAAAAATAAAACTCAAAATCAGCATTTGAAGAAATTATAGTGGAACACTTTGATAAAACAATTTTTTTTAGCCTTCTTCAACAGAAAACTTGCAAATTAACATACATATACAAGTATATAGCCTGATTACCTTTCGTTTTACAAAAAAAAATATACTTTGCTGCTCCTGCTTATTATGAACTGACTGTATGTATATATATATATATATATATATATATAATCAAATCTTGTATTTCTGTGTAATGGGTTTCCTTAACAAAAACTGACTGTAAATTTGTTCAACGGAGTATAAAGTTTTTGTATGGTTTCTTTTTTATAAATAAGTTTGACTGTGAATTTGTTTAATGTAATGAATTTTCTATTATGTGATGATTTTTTCCATAACAAATCATTTGACTGTAAATATGTTATGTAATGATAAGTTTTTCTATCATGTAATGATTTTTCCATAACAAAAAACATTTGACTGTAAAATTGTTTAACGGGTTTCGTATTATACAATGAATGCTTTTGACTTTTGAGTTTGACTCACTCTTGTACTAACTGCTGACACAAATACTGAAATCACTTTTTCTGCTCCATTTATGCTAAACAACAAATCAGACACAAAATCGACAATCCTCGAACAAGTGAGATGTAAAACCTCAGTTACTCGGTCTCATCATTGGGAAAGTGGGCAATCTCAGCACAGCTTCTTCTGTCTCCATCGGGTCCGATCTCAGGATCTACGAGAACCAAAACAAAGATATGTTAAGGAAACCATTGGACTCCAGAATCAGTCTTGTTCATAGACGAATGGTACAAACAGATGTTAAATCAACACTCCAAAAGATTAGAAAAAATAATAATCAACGTCTCCATGTCCACATGTGCAAATAATCTTCAAAATGATGTCAGCTTTGAAATAATTCGGAATAAAAGATATTGGCGTTTGATCTGAAGCACCAGTTCTATGGATTTCTAGATTAGCAAATGCTCATCAGATCTTATCATAATTTGAACACTCATTTTTGATCCAAGTCCAACAAACCTTATTACTTCATTTCTGTTAAGGTGATAATTCGAATTCGAAATCTAAATCAGTGATCTTTAGCTCAAAATGTACTGTACGGAGCAGAGAGAAAGAGATCCTTACGGGGTCCTGAAGAACAGGTTTGGTGTCGTCGACGGCAGGTCTGAAAGCAGGTTTAACAGTTTTCTCTTTGCTTTGAAGAAAACTCGCCGGCGTGTCTGCTGATTTCCCCATCGAATTTCTCCTTTTCGCCGGAGATCGAATTTCGGGACGATCAATTCACCTTCGATCGAGTTTCGAGATCGTCGTCGTGACTTTTTGGACACGTGACGGGACACGTGACAATATTTGGGACGCTTTTAATAGTGGATCCGTATTGGGCTTTAAATAAAGCCCATCATTATAACTCGAGAACTTTCTTATATACATCGACGAAAACCTCCCTCCACCTCTGCTCATCTAAAACCCTAATCGTATCATCGTCGCAGAAAAATCAGAAGCAGGAACCATCTCCGAGGTAATGTCTTGTATTGTGAATCTCAGTCTGCTTTGTTACTTTGTCTTCTTTTTGGTCTGCTCTAATGTTCAATTTTATGCTGCTTATGGCTTAATAGGAATCAAACGACCATGTATCTGCAGTGCTATATCAACGAGAAGGGTGAGAAGGTCTACACTACCAAGGTACCTTGTCTTTACTCTTCTGTATGCTTATTTACTATGTATAATCTTGTTCTTGTTTTAGATTCTGAAAGAAAATCTCTGTTTTCGTTAGAGATTGTATCATTTATAACTGGTGGTATTTCTGAGTGGAGTTTCTGGTGTTATAGGTCATTTGATAGGTAATTTGATAGATATCCCTGGATAGAACCTTAGAAGAGAGCAATTAGGTTAAAACGATACAAGTAGCGGGCTTTTGGTTGCTTAATCTCAATTTAGCAGATATAAAAGCATGTTTAGTTCATCATCCTATACGCCTATGGAACTTGTTTTAACATATGGAGCTTGGTTTCTTTTGTTTTAGCTCACTGTTGTTTACAAACTGTGTTGTTGCTTGATGCTTTAACATCAATCAATTTCCTTGTGCAGAAGGAATCACCGCTCGGGTTAGCCACAGAGTCTGCTCATCCAGGTGAGGCTAGCTTTCTTTGAGTTGTTTTATAGTTTGATTCTTTCATTGAAACCTTTCTAGTTTTGATAAACCAAATATTTTTGTTGTTGCAGCCCGATTCTCCCCAGATGATAAATATTCAAAGCAGAGAGTGTTGTTGAAGAAGCGATTTGGTCTCTTGCCGACCCAAAATGCACCTGTCAAGTACTGAAGTGAAGGCTAAACACTTGCTCTGTTGGTTTTGATTTTCGTTTATTGCTAATGTTGTCTCTCTTAATGAAAGGTTGACTTGAACCGTCTTTGTATTGTCACCTAATAGTGCGTTAACAGCTATTTGCTTATCTTCGTTTGCCTTAGTATTTGATATTATCGTTTTACTTTTGAATCAAAATCGGTTGATAAAACCACACAACATAGACGAGAACATTACAGTTACCTTCTGGAATTCACTAGCTACCAAACGAAATAGCATCATCTACTTCATATACGATATACAGTATATGGTTGCATCAATAATAATAAGCTTAGTCCATGTCAAAGCTAATCAATCTCTGAAATTTTGGCGCATTTTACTTGTAAACGTGCTCTCTTGTTGCTTCTAATCAAACTTGAAGGACCATCTCGCTTCCACCTTTTTTCTTTACCCGAAACTGTAGTCTCGTCACATGCAGCATATGACTTGATCCTAACAGCTCGAAATTGCTCTGCGGTGGTGTCAGGCCTCAAAGGCAGCAACTCTGGCGGTTGGCTAGTTCCGCAGATACGCCCAAAATAGTAGAGAGGCTCGACATAACAGGACGAAGAAACCACAATACCTTTCATGCTCTTTGGCTTGACAAGTTTGATCAAGTCTCCAATCTCTTCGTAGCATGAGTGATCAGAGTAGTGCACCGAATACATATAGTCGTGGTACTGATGCACCGCCGCTTTTGAGTCTTTCAGAGCCGGAACGGTTTCATACTTGCTTCTAGTATTAGTAGTAGCGGTAAGAAGAGAGCCAGAGAGTTTGCCATCTCCTTTGAAAGGTCTCTTCAGCCATGGGAGACCTGAAGGCATGATGCCGATGGTTGGGCACGTCATGTTCAGCCCCTCGAGAGTCTGAATGCTAAAACTATAACGAGGAACGGCTCGCACCCTTGTACGAGACGTATCCGTTGTGAAAACGTCTTGGAAACCAAGAAGGTGCATGGTGCGGAGTCGCTCTGGCCAAACCCAAATCTATGGACAAACAATAAATCACAAGACACATCAATTGTGGGATTTAAAGAGCACAGGACTTGTCTCATCGCAGGATTTCAACAGCAAAACAAAGCAAAGGATCACTATTTAGGCAGATATCAACACAAATTGAGTATTGAGGAAATAAGAAACCTTGATATTGAGAATGCGGGAAACAAGTAGAAGCAGCTCTTCCTTGCCCAAAGAGTCAATTCCAATGACGATATCATGCGAAGGATGAGAGGCGATTATATCAGCAACCTGCAGAGAAGGAGAGATTAGGAATATGAATGTTGTAATAGGAAAATGTACAGTTATGATTGTGGAAGACGAACCAGATGAGCAGCGACTTGACGGGGAGGAAAACTGTAAATGGGATTGCAGTAGGTGTTATCCAAGTACAGAATGTCGACTGGGAATTCGTTTACAGCGCCGGCGAGACTAGTCCTCGCTTCCTCTGCTGCATCCCGTTCCCATCGGAAGTCTCCCGTGTAGAGAAAACATCCGAAATCTCCCCGGAACATGAACATCACCGACCCTGTATCCACCAGATTCCATCAATTCGAAATTCTACCCAGAGATTAAGTCTAATAAATCAATGATTACATGATTATATCATACCAGGACAGTGGTGGGCATCGATGGCCATGAAATGGAGGCGGACGGTGGAGCCGGAGGAAGGAGAGCGGAGGGAGAGAGATTGCCAGGAAGAGAGAGGGACGACGCGAAGCAAGGAGAGGTCGAAGCCGGGGAATCGGGAGGGAAACAAAGAGGCGGTGGTGCGGGAACAGTAGAGAGGACCCTGAGACCACTCTCCGGAGAGGCCACGAGTATGGTCGGAGTGCATATGAGTCAAGAAGTAGGCCTGACTTCCATTTCTCCACCGGTCCACCGATATCAGTCCGCTCTCCATTTCTCTCCCTCTCTCCGATCTGATAGTTCCCGGCAAACGGCTTCCTTCTTTTGACATCATTAATTTATTTGATTATAAATTTATAATCCACGTTTGGGCCTATTTTGGGCTTTGGACCATATACATATTTTAACTCTAGCCCGCCTACGAAAAGTTTGCACCTCGTTCGTTTTTAGCAGTTGCGTTCGTGTTTGTTCTGCGAGAAGAAAAAGATGAAGAGAATCGCAAATCCGGAATCCTCCTCCTCCTCTGGAGCAAAGAAGCGCCGGCGAGAGAAAGAGGAGGAAGAGATTGGTTGTAGTCACGCTGCAAATGAAGATAGAGGAAAATTATCTGAGGATCAATGTCATCCTCTCCGTGAGTTGAATCTTTTGATTTCGTTACCAATTATCTAGAGATTGTATTGTTTGTAGCTCTAACACCGGATTATATTATTTACTCTGTGGTAAATCAGAGGATGAACTTACCTTTAGCGATACTTCTGTGGCGCTTCGGATGATGCGAGCTCAGTTTCCTCGTATTGAACAGGTTTCGATTCCGACCAATCTGTTATTGAATCAATTTGGACATTCTCAATACTCTGAAAATTGCTTGTTGATGATATATTTCTAAAAAAGCTGTCCCTTTCAATTGTCTCTCTTCATCTGTCTCGCAGTCTTCGGTGCCTCCATTCATATTACAGTCGCAATTATACAGTAGCGTCAACGACAGAACCCAAGTGGATAGAGAACTAGAGGTTTGTTTCCAACCATATGAAATGAAATTCCGCATTGGGCCTAATCGAACTATCTATAATCTCTGTACTGTGTCATAGAATTCGTAATTTTGGGTTGTAACAAAAGTTGCCATTTTTAGGCTTCCTTAGACTTGTTTGGAATGATTAAAATTTCGATTTGGTGCAGAGTTTACGGAGGGAGAAAGTTGTTCGTGTTTTCAAACTCAACACAGGACAAGATGATCATGCGATAATCTTTTTGGATGACTACCTTAACCAGGTTGGCATTTCAAAAAAGGCTTATGTTGGTATTCCAAATTAATATTGTGTTGTTTAGCTAATCAACATATTTTTAAGGTTGATCGAATAGAGAAGAGGATGGAAGAGAAGAAACAGAGCGATGTTGAAGTTTTCAAGTGGTTCAAAGAGCATGTCATTGATTCAAGACTTGAACCCGGTATTCGACATGATGAGCTTGTGCGTCATTTTTATTAAACCTGCCTAATCTGTTTTCTTCGATGATAATCACATTTTCACAAGCTATCACTGTTTTACTGCAGTGTTCTCTCTTGTCATTAGGCGGGACGGTGAAGGATGCGCACATCACTCTCTTAATCAACGCAGGCCTTCTCGTAAGTAAAGAACAAAGAATGATTATACTCATCCATTTATCTTTCTTTCACTCTTTTAACTCTTCAATGCCAATTTCTCTCAGACACGCCAACTTATCGATCCAGACATGTACTGGTTTACTGTTCCGAGTGTCGGTAAACTGTGGAAGGGTCTGTTGCAGGTAACTTCTTTGAAGAAGAAGAAAATAAACGTCTGTTTATTAGTTTCCTCTCCCAAGTTAATAATATGTTGCTTCAGATCTCAACCTTTTCTTCTTACCCTCAATCTAACCAGGGAAGGAAGGAGCTCCTCTCATTGCTAAAGCACAAGCGACATAAAGAGATGTTCTTGGCCCAGCTTGAAAAGAAAAGGCTTCGTTTTTCTCCTCTGGATATGAGATTTCACATTCGAGATCTCATTGGCTCCGGTCACCTCAAAACGTTTCAAACAACTTCTGGCTTAGTTGTTCGGGTTTCAAGGGACTAACCAAATATGCCATTGCAAGGTTTCTCTGGCAAATCTCAGACTCAGTTGACCTTTCTCGTAAGGTATATTTATATACAAATACACATCCATGTTTTTATCAGTTCACTTGTTAAGTGGAATATGATTTGTAAGAGTGATTACAGACTCAAGCTAAAGACAAATGTTTTTCTTTTTACAGAATAGTTGAAATTGGCCAGTTTTATATACATATACACACAAGAACATAGTATAGTTATCAAGTCTGGTTATGAGTACTACAAGTTGCGTGCAGCAGAGATCATTTCTGCTTTCATTCTGTTGATGAATTCTTCGGCTCTCTCGTCGATTCCCTTCTCTAGGACCAATTCTTCCTCCGGATTCCACTGTTTAGCTGGAATCCAAACGGGTTCTCTGAAGAGCTTGTCGACGTATACAAGAGCTTTGCGTTTCTTCTTGAACAAGCAACAACCTCTCTTTAGGCGGATTAGAAAAACGCGGGAATCTCTGTCACGAAGTCGGTAGCTTGAACGTTTGGCGGATGTTGAAGCAACACCGTACCGGGTTTGGGATTTGTTTTTGGATCTACGACGGAGTTTGTTGAATTTGGCGGTTAAGCTCTTCCAAGCTCTTTTGGCAGGGAAAAGCTTAATTCTCAGGCAATAAGGCATGACGCAATCTTCTTCTTGATAAGAGAGGATTAATGAGATTGAGAGAAAAAAAGAGAAAGGCAGAACCAAAGTGTATAAATCTAAATGAAAAGGGTGATAAGAGAGGATTAATGATCCCTTATATACAAGTTGTGTGCCGCTTAGTTATGACGCGATCAAAGAAAAAAATGGAGCACAAGAATATTCCACTTCCTGCTTAGTCTCCACGCTGCTTCTACATCTTATCTCAATAATCTAGATAGCATAGTAATTGTCTTTTTGCACTGGGAGCTGAATGGACTGAGCTATATATATCTCAACTGTAATTTTTTGTTTTTTTCGCTGAACAAATTCTGGTCTTTTTAGAATCTGCAGCTGGAAACTACAATTCTGGTACGGTCGAATACATAATTCACAAATATTTGATTAGTATATTTTTATTAGAAAATAAAAAGTTACATAATTCAAATGTAATATGTTTATTATTTTCTGACCAAAGTTTAGCCACTCGACATGAAAACAAAGATAAGAAACTGGTTAACTTTGAAAAAGAAAAAAAAAAGAGATGGGAGCTAATCAAATATTTGTCAAAACTTATCCCCGAGAAAACGAAAGGGAAAAAAAAAGGAGGGAAAATAGTGAACAAGAGGATTCTAGTAGTAGTAAATATAAATGGTACATTGCAGAGAAAGAGAGAAATAAAATAAAAGAGGCTTAGCTTAGCTTGAGGTTTATAAAAGAGAACTAAATGAGAGCTTGGACACCACCAATAATGCGCATCTCTCTGAGCCTCCAAATGGGATAAATAGATTCTTCCCCTAACTCTGATGCCTCCACTTGTTGCATTGCCCAAGCGTAGAACACCGTGTGTATTGTGTCCTGATTACAACAACAAAACACATTCATTAGAGGACTTGTTCACTTGCTCACTATTTATGATTTATGAATCTGATTCACAGTTTCTTTTTGCTTACCTGGCTTCCTTCTCTGATTTTGCCATCCTTGTCCCGGACACAGTGGATTTGTTGCACTTGGAACTGACCAATCAAAGATGTGATAAAATCTATCAGATCCAAAATCTAAGCTAACGGATTGCCTCACAAGAAAATACGGAAGATCGTTTACCTTGACGATGATTACAGGAGTATGTCCCATCATCTTTGTCTCTAGAATTTCAACTTCCGATATATGCAGAATCTGAACATCCATTTAAACGAAGTCTCATTCACTAACGAATTCACACAATTTCATGAGAAACAAATGAACAAAACAACTTACCTTGTTGTCGTAGAAAAAACCATGACTATGGAGAGCTGCGCGCTCTGCCGTGCAATGTTCAATCACTTCCTCGGCGCAATACTTCTTCAAGGTCTTACCATCTCCCTGCTCGCAGAGGGAAATCAATTAGAGGCAACAAAAAACAAAGAAGAAGGTCCATTTCAAAACCCGAGACTCACCTTACTATATGCTTCCAAGACTGGTCTGATGGCTTCCTGAACTTCTGCAGCAAAGTCCGGTAAGGAGAAGGATCTGAGCACGAAAGAGATAAGAATGTGATTACCGGTAAGGAGTGCGCATTTTTCAAAACAACCAATCAGCCTCTATGACTTACGGATCTCGGGAGCGTATCTCTTTGTAAGTTGCTGCAGAACCTGTTTCCTGGAGCATTGTATCATTCATGCTGCCAAACAAACAAAAGAGTTCACATAAACATTTATAAGTTGCTGTAACTAACTTGTAAGTAGGTTAGATTTTAAGGGAATATAATAAGGGAGCAATGAGAGCATACTCCTGAATTTTGTGAACAATCGGGTTGTCACTGGTTTCCCATATTTCCCTCACATCTTCTGCAATCTACACGGAGCACATGCGTTGCCAATTTACAAGTTCAAATCAAAGAGATTATTGCAAGATAACATCATCTTTGAACGAAATGAGCATGAGTATAGATTTCTGTTCATTACCTCTTTGCTCTTGTTAACAACAGGCTCACTCATCCCGCCTATACGTTTAAATACGGGATAATCTTGCATCTACACCAAATGTAAAGAACACACTCAACAAGAAACCTTAAAAACACGGCTTAAGCGGACAAGACAAAGAGGGTCACTAACCTTTTCTCTAAAAGATTCCCATTTGTGTTGCCACTTGGACTGTTTTGCTTGCGTAACCACCATCTCCGTTCTTGTACTTCTCTCACCAGTAAATGGCGGGGGACGCGTGAACTCGAGGTGCTTCTTTTTAGAAGAGGTTCCACGCAATTCATCCTTGACAATGTCAAGCCCCTTCTTCGCTATCTCAAGGGGCTTGGCTTCCTTGAGCCTCTGAAACGCCTTTGTTGAAGAAATGCTTGACTTCAATTTTCCAAATAATGTGTTTTGCTCCTCAGTACTAGTCCCTGATTCCTGCTGCTGCTGCTCCTGTTGCTGTTTTTCTCCTTCAGAGGTTCCTGCACCTGACGAACTAGCCGACTCCGCATTCTCCTCCTTACCGAGCTTGAATGACTCCTTGACCTGGCCACAAAAATGCATAACCGAATTTAACCCCAAAATAAATGACACAATTGACCACCAAAAGGACTAGAAACAACGGGGTTCGAGCAAGACCTCTTCTGTGGCTGCAGAGAAGGTGTCTTTCACACTTGAAGAGACCTGCACCAAAACTGTTTGGTAAGCGATGATTCTATAGCCTTTTACAATGTACAAAGTTGGGTCCTCACAGTTAACTAAAAGAATTTCCATTCAGTTACCACACTACAAGCTATACTTGATAGACACAGCCAATGATTGTTTTAATATATTAACAATGCCTTCTCCAAGGAATAGTCAGGGCAACAAAAACAAAAACATGTGTTGCAAATTCCAGGCTCTTGTACCTTTTTTGCTACAGATTCAGCTTCGGTCCAGGCGCCGTCGACTTGCCTGTAGAGCTGCTCAGTCGTTTCTTTTGTTCTGCATTTTCCATTTCATTCATAAGCTTCCTTTGCAAAAACAACGTAATGTCTAAGCAAGTGCAGTTGCAAATGTGAATTACCTGACTTTCAGGTCCTCTTTTACACCTTGTAACCCTTCTGCCTTTTCCTTGAGCTCCTTGACTGTTCGTTGAAACTCAGGATTGCTGCCACAACAACAAAATTTGAACTAAGAACATCATCCACCAAGAGAGAATTGCAAAACAATTTTAAGCTTTCACAAGGAAATAAACATTACCTTTCAGCTTCGCCTCTAATTTTCTTGGACAGGTCGCTGAAAACGCTGAACTGGCGATGAATCGCATACGCATTATTAGCCGGCAAAAACCCTAGCCTTGCGCCCACTCTCTGTACCAAACACAAAGGTACCAAATCAATCAGCCCATTTGGCAGCTCGAAATTACAAGCACTATAACAGATTCACCAGAGCGATAATGGGACGAACCCGTTGGTGCGTCAATTGCCGGAAAAGAGGCTGCTTTGTGATAAGCAAATCTCGAATCAGCTTCCTACTCGCCATTACAACAATCCTCCGAGTGGTTGATTATACGATAGACCGGGTTAAACCCTACAAGCGGCACCTCGATTAGCCGCTGCGAGAAGATTCAGAAAGATTGATTTAGATTGAGACTAGTAATATACAACAACATGGCTCTGGTAATCGCTTGAGAGGAAAAGGAAAGTTGAAAATTTTTACGTGAGAAACAAACCAGAAGAAAATATGAGATTCTCAGTTTCAGTGTTGCCTTAAGCCCTAGAGACACATTCCGTAAACCTCCTGGAGGGTTTCTCTTTCTGGTTCTGTTCTGTCCCGATGTCAGATTCGAGCCTTGTTCGGTAATACGGATAACTCTATTCTGTTTAAGGTTAATTATACGGAATTAAAATGTGAATAAGCCAGAGGGAGGATATGTGAATTGTCATTTCCAAACAAAATATATCCCTCCACCCTATTTTGGGCCATTAGGCCCATAACATTGTAGCACCCGTTGTGAGTTAAGTCCTATTAACAAATTTTCAGTTTAACTAGGATGGCACATTACGGTTTACTTCCGATTTGATTTGGGTATCTCTAACTTACCAAAAATTAGTGTAGATGAATCTTTAAAATTGACTGGTAAGTAAGTAAGAACATGATCTTAAACATATACTGTACTGTAATATGATAACATATGTGAAACTAAAGTAATGCAGACATTAACAGTTTCTTTTTAAAGTTGGGTTAAATTTTGATTCGGTTTGGTTAGTTTGGTTCTAGTGGAAAATTCAGTTGAACTCTTGACGATTTTGAAATCATAACATTAGAGGGCAAGACAGCCTCCGCATTTTATTTTGTGGGTCAGAAATCAGAATCAAGACAAAAAAAAACTTAAATCCAATTTAAAGACGACAAAGTAGAGTAGAACTAGAAACTATTCTTGATCAGAGTCGCAAGCGACGTTAGCGGCGGCGAACTGTAGGGCTTGCCGGCGAGCGGCCGGCTCAGATATCATGGACTGAAGGAGCATGGTCTTGACCTCCCATGGCGCATAAGAGAAGCTCCGTCTAGCGTAAGAGTTGAGCAGAGCCGCGATCCCCTGCTTCAGCAACGCACCGTACGCGTTCCCTTCTTCGTCATTCCTAGCCGTCGATTCCACTAGCGTCAGATCAGATCTCCACCGCTCCTTCGCAACCATCACTCCGAACATTTTCTCCACCGTCGATCTCTCCGGCACCATCCTCGGCCATGCCTCCCTCCTGCTGCTCCAATACCTGCAATCCATTCAAACACCACCGAGTCAGATCTGAGGAAAACCCCCGACCCCAAGTTTCTTTATTCGGAGGAAGTTGATTACTGAGGCGTGCATCGTCCTCTGTGTCTGGTGTAGAAGAAGCCAGGCCTCGTCGCCGATGAACCGCCGGCGAATAAGCAAATGAGGAAGAAGGCGACTAGAACGAGTCGAGTCAGCGAGCGATGTGAGTCCATGGATGATAGAGTTTCTTAAACAGCATCAATCACTTCACTTCTCCTTGGGTCTCGGGCACTTTCCTCTTTGTTAAATCGCTGTCCAGAATCTGAGTTTGCTTCAGTTATTGGTCTGCTCCTTTTTGTTTACTACTGCTACCTCGGAAAATGAGACTGAGCTTGACAACTTTACCCTTGAAATTCAAATTAGCGAGGCTTATTAAACAATCATCAGAGGGATAAAAACGTCATTTTCAGAAGCGCACATGAGGTCTCTTCAGTTGCTGCTTTGAGCCTTTGGCCATTTGCATGTCGTCAGTCTCCACGTGACTATATGCAAAGCTTACTCTTTCGCTTATGTATTTCATTTTCATACTAGTAGATTAATCGGGTTTTTTAATTTCCAGCCCTCCTGAAGTCCTGATTGATGGTTTTTTTCTCGCTTAATCATCACAATTTTACAGCTTATTCACATTAACTGTTGGTACTAGGCTCCAAGTCCAATCTAGCTAGTACCCGTAAATTCCCAAATAAAATTGTGTTAAAATGGTCAAAGTTTCTATGTTTGCCATTTGATCAACGATTTACATCCCCCGGTGAAAGGCAAAACAAACATTTCTGCGTTCAATTGTAATTAAATAGCCATTTTGCCCACACCCATGAAATTTGTATATGTAATGCAGAGCAGTTTTCGTGTTGCATAAAAAATATGATCCCCACGTTGCCCGTCAATGCCAAACAATATTCGACGCTGACTATTAGTGTTTTGCATTTCTTTATAATATATACATTATCATATGATAGATAAATAAAGCTGTTATAAAAGAATGGATCAAATTCTTTTTGCAATCCACATACGTGCATCCTCCTAAATCCCCAAAAAAGTTCCCTTCCCTATATATTATGTATCTCAAGTCTGATAACCCCCATACAAGAACAAAGCCATGTCCTCATCAAATTTCTCCTATATTAGCCTTTTCTTCTTCTTTTTCATCATCCCATACATTCAAAGCCAACCCACTGCTCCAGCTCCGACCAATGATGCAAGTACGGTCAATCTCACGGCGGTTCTTGAAACTGGTCACCAATTTAACACATTCATACGACTCCTCAACACAACTCAAGTCGGGTTTCAGGTTAGTATTCAACTCAATAGCTCTGATCAAGGGATGACTGTCTTTGCTCCAACAGATAACGCATTCAACGACCTTAAACCCGGAACCCTAAACAGTCTCACACATCAACAACAAATCCAGCTCATTCTCTACCATATCATTCCAAAATACTACTCCCTAGACGATCTTCTCTTAGCCAGTAATCCCGTTAGAACTCAGGCTACGGGACAAGAAGGAGGAGTCTTTGGGTTAAATTTTACAGGACAAGGGCAAATCAACCAAGTTAATGTTTCTACCGGTGTTGTTGAGACAAGGATCAATAATATCTTAAGACAGAAATTTCCACTAGCAGTTTACGTGGTGGACAAGGTATTATTACCCCAAGAGTTGTTCCGAACCAAAACTACTCCCACCGGAGCTCCGCCCCCGGATGCCGATTCTCCATCTTCTGATGAGGAGCACAAGTCTGTCGGATCAAGAGTGAAGGGGACGAGTCTAGGTTTTGTTATTGGCTTTGCATGGTTTTGTTGTTCGGTTATATATCTTTCTTGAAGCTAAACTAAAAGTGGGAAACGTTCCGATATTATTGATATTTTTTTGTTTTATTTGCATGATTGATATTTTGATTCACCGTGTTGGAACATTTGTTTTGTAATCTTTTTGTTTATTTTATTGCTTATACAAATAACTTCTATTGAAAATAAATAAAAAATTGTATTCTTATTGACCTCAACTATTTCGTAAATTATCATTTACTTTTCATCATGGATTCTTCTTGCATGTTAATTAGAATGATTTTCTCGAAAATAATACTGACGTAACCGTCGATGAAACTTGGTTCTCTGATCCTGAGGTTTGCAAGGACTCAAAGGTGTGATTGTAAATTTAAGAAAGCGGATTTCGATTTTTGATGAAACTTTGTTTGTTGTCATCTTTATTGTGTGTGTTATAGTGTTGGCTCTTGAAAGTTGAAACTAAAAATAAAATAAAAAGAGAGAGAGAGAGAGAGTAAAGAGGGATATCCAATTAATATGTTCGTTTTTATTGATATAAATTACTCAAATTGAGCACCATCAGATTTATTGAACCTATAAAAATGAACTGATTAATTTTTATATTAAAATTCAGTTGATGTTAAATTTTGCATATTTTAGCAAAACGTAAGGTTATTTTTTGTATCAATTCGCTAAGTAACACTAATACAAAATAATACTTACATCGGTTATTTAATTGATCCAAAGTCATAGTTTTGCATCAAAATTTTGAAAATGATGTAAACCAATATAGATTTGTATCAATTGTGTTGATGTGATTTCAAATAAGCTAATAACAGTGCATATAATAATTGATACTGTTATTAGCTTATTTGATGCTGGGTCCGGAAATGAAACTGGGCTTTAGGCCTAAGTAAAGTGGATTCAGAGAGACATCTGCGTTTAACGGCGGCGAATTCTCCCGGAGCCGGAGCTCTATTGTTCCCACCACCAAGAGCCGCCGCATCGCTGCATTTTCCAAAGCTAGCTTTAATGGCCTTTCATGGAATTAGAGAGTTGGAGAACTATTTCGTGCCTTTCCTGCAGCAATTCAAAAGCGCAAGGGAATGGAAGAAAATCCATGCCTCCATCATCGTACATGGACTGTCGCAAAGCAGCTTCATGGTCACCAAAATGGTGGATGTGTGCGATAAGATTGGAGATATGGAGTATGCAACTCGTCTATTCAACCAAGTTTCGACTCCTAATGTCTTCTTGTACAACTCCATCATTCGAGCTTACTCCCACAATTCCTTGTATCCAGATGTGATCCGTATCTACAGGCAACTGCAGAGGAAGAGCCTTGAACTTCCAGATCGTTTCACATTTCCGTTTATGTTTAAGTCTTGCGCAAGCCTCGGATCATGTTACTTAGGGAGGCAGATTCACGGCCATCTCTGCAAATTCGGGCCTAAATTCCACGTCGTGACAGAGAATGCTCTGATTGATATGTACATGAAGTTTGATGATCTCGCTGATGCGCATAGAGTGTTCGACGAAATGTGTGAGAGAGATGTTATATCGTGGAACAGTCTGGTTTCAGGGTATGCACGGCTTGGGCAGATGAAGAAAGCAAAGACCTTGTTTCGTTCGATGGCGGATAAAACAATTGTCTCTTGGACTGCGATGGTCTCTGGGTACACAGGGATTGGATGTTACGTGGACGCCATGGACGTCTTCCGTGAAATGCAGATGGCTGGTATTGAGCCTGATGAGATCAGCCTCATTTCTGTGTTACCATCTTGTGCTCATCTCGGATCTCTGGAGCTCGGGAAATGGATCCATATGTATGCAGATAGGAAGGGATTTCTGAAACAAACTGGTGTCTGCAATGCTCTTATTGAAATGTACTCGAAATGCGGTATGATTAGTGAAGCTATCGAATTGTTTACCAAGATGAAGGGGAGAGATGTGATATCGTGGAGTACAATGATCTCAGGGTATGCGCATCACGGTAACGCTCAAGGAGCGATGGAAACATTCGATGAAATGCAGAGAGCCAAGGTGAAGCCTAACGGGATCACATTCCTCGGTCTTTTGTCAGCTTGTTCACACGTTGGCTTGTGGCATCAAGGGTTGAAGTATTTTGATATGATGAGACGAGATTATCAGATAGAGCCCAAGATCGAACATTATGGTTGTTTGATCGACGTTTTGGCAAGAGCAGGAAAGCTTGAACGAGCGGTTGAAATAACGAAGACAATGCCGATGAAACCTGACTCTAAGATTTGGGGATCACTGTTGAGCTCATGCAGAACACGAGGCAATCTTGATGTAGCTCTGGTTGCAATGGATCATCTTGTCGAGCTAGAGCCTGAGGATATGGGGAACTATGTTCTGCTTTCTAATATATATGCAGATTTGGGGAAATGGGAAGAGGTTTCGAGGATGAGGAAGCTGATAAGGAAGGGAAACATGAAGAAAACGCCAGGTTGTAGTTTGATAGAGGTGAACAATGTTGTTCAAGAATTTGTTGCAGGAGATCACAGTAAACCTTTTTGGACTGACATCTCTTCGGTTTTGCAATTGTTCTCTGCGCATCAGAATCCGAATGTGATTGAAAACAGCAATACTCTCGAGTATATATAGGTAGGTGTTGTCTTAACTTTAAGTCGTCTGGATTATTAGCAAAAGCAACAGTTTAATTACGAGTATTCAACCGTGCGTATAATACAAATCCATCAAAAAAAAGGAAACAACAGTAGTGAAACCACAATAATCTACAACAAAATAGAAGCTTGAAACTGTTCTGTTCTGTTCCACATTGTTTTTCTTGCGACTGGGTTTATCCGAGAAGCTTCTTCACTCCAGCCTTCTGCTCTGTGGTTAATCTTGCAGGAAACCTGATATTGAACTTGATCCTCAGGTTCCCTCTCTTGGTCTGGTCTTTCTGTAATGGCATTCCTTCGTTTGGAACCACTTCCTCGTACTCAGGGTGTATCACGTTGGTCACCGGGATTGTCAGTTTCCGACCATCAAGTGTCGTGAGGTTGGCGGTGTAGCCGGTCAAGGCCTCAACTAGAGAGATCTTCTGTGTGACGATGAGATCATTGCCGTCTCGAGTGAAAACCGGGTGACGCTTCTCGTCGATGATGAAGACTAAATCGGCGGGAGTGATACCAGGAAGCTCATTGCCTTTCTCCGGGAATGTGATCTTTGTGCCTTTCTTCCAACCTGGTTTCACATCAATGCTTAATATCTCTTCCACCTGCATCGTCTTTCTGCAAGAGAAACCAAGATTTTCAACTACGATCAAGCTCATGTTTTTACTCCACATCTCCTAAAGAGATTAGTCTAAAGTGTTCCATTTGGTATGAAATCATGAAAAGAGTGTTACTTTATCTCGACAGGATCATCACTTACCCGCTGACATCAGCGATATCCCTGCAGATTCTCATCTTCTTGGTGGTTCCTTTGTATAGATCTTCAAGGCTACAAGGCAACTTGTTTTCGATAGGAGCGGCCTTCCTGGCTCCACCGTGATGCATCGAGGCTCCTCCTCCTTCACCGAAAGAGGCAAATATGTCATCGCCAAACATGCTGCTAGAGAACCTTGTTCCTCTGCCAGCTCCACCACCACCGAACGGGCTAGAGAAGCCAAAGAACTCGGAGAATATCTCGTCTGCATTTCTCGGATTGAATCGGAAGGAGGTAGGACCATCTCCGGTGGAGAAGTAAGTGGCTCCACCAGCATCTGGAGGTGGCACGTTTCCCTTCAAACCTTCCTCGCCGTATTGATCATATACCGCCTTCTTCTGAGGATCGCTTAGAACCTGTGTAAGCATCCAGAGAATCAGTAATCAAAACCATATGTATAACAAATGAAAGAGAAATCATAGCAATCAATCCAAAACGCTGAAGAAATTTAGCATTTTGTTGAGCAGAGGGAGAGAACAAAGCAATCAATCAAATTAGGCCATCGAATTAAGAGCTCATATAAGTACCTCGTAAGCTTCGGAGATCTGCTTGAACTTAGCCTCGGCGTCCTTTTTGTTAGTAGGGTTTTTGTCGGGATGCCATTTCATGGCCAGTTTTCTGTAAGCTTTCTTGAGATCATCGTCGCTGGCGCTGCGATCGACTTGGAGGACTTTGTAGTAATCCACTCCCATCCCAACTTCTTCTTCTTCTTCTTCTTCTTCTCTCTTTCGTTTCTTCACTTTTCCTGATTTCGATTATATCTCACGACAATTACGAAGACGATTCAACAAGGGCTTTTCTCTGAATTTCTCTCTGCTCTGGATTTCTCTCTTGTTCAGTTTTGGTATATCGCTTCTCTTAAAAACCGACTCATTTTTCTTCTCAGAGTGTGGAGAAAACTGTGGAATGTTCCAGAAATCTCTCCCTCTGGTTGATTGTTTTGTTTGGGTAACGGGCCTGTGACGCGTCTTTATCTTTTTAAAATTATTGCGTGGTTACAGTCAAGTTAGCATCATTTTTAATCAAACGAAATAGATTACAGTATTGAGTTATTGACGGTGACAAACTGTTACCGTAGCTTTAGCAGGCTGTGAAGCGCATTAACGACGTTGAACTCGAAGTGGGTCTTTTTAATAATTTGAACCAAAATCCCATTGTTAAATTCATACTCCAAGTTAAATCAAATTCAGTTTTCATGACCAAAATTATACTGTCTTGCTATTTGCCAAGGCCTGGCTAGCACCCCTAAAAGCGCAAGCAATATAAGGCCAATAAAAGTTTAAACTACTTTATTACAAAAATAAAAAAATTACATGGTCATGAGGAAATAGAACAAATAATTAGCAAATTAAGAAACATGTAAGAACAGTGATTAAATTAGACAAGTGTGTTAACAAGGAATGGAGTTGGTAAACCAACGGAGGATATTGACTGGAAGTTTGATGAGACCAACAGCCAAGTTAGCCAGCGCAGCAAAACAGAAGCAACATGGGCACAAACAACTCAATATTGTCCTGCATAGTTTGATTCCAATCCATCAGTTTTTGACTAATTAATTTATAATTAATACACGCAAACAAATGTAGATCTGGGGTTACTTGGGAATGTTAGATTCAGAGCATCCAAAACAAGGCTCAAGCAAGTAAGAGATCAGTTGGATCTTATTATCTTAACATAACGTTAAGACATAAACAATTTACATACAAATTACGTATAAGAAGAAGAAAACAAAAAAAAAGGACGTACCCAATGATCCAGATGACAGCACCAACGAGAGATAGAACCAAAGCAACCAGAGCAAATGGTAATCCCAGTAAGAATCCCAGAGGCCTACACTCTCCCATTCTCTTCTTGACAATGTGGAAAAGCTTCAAGTTTAGTTTTTTCTTTTGGTTTCTGGAAAAGGGAGAGAGAAAGATAGAGGGGTAGTAAAAGTGAGATTTTTAAAACAAATAATGATTCCACGAGGATCAGTGGGGAATTTGTATAACCGCCGGTCATCACGCGGCGGGATTTTGTAAACTACGATAATACCCTTGTTGTTTAGGTAAGCCCTCTTTGCTCTCTCTCGTCGTAAAGGGGGTATTCAGACTTTTGAGTTGTCTTGGAAGCTTCTTCGTTGGTTCAAAGAGAAACGAAGAGTCAACCAAGGAATGAGATGCCTTTTTGTGACCCTCTGGTCAACCTTCAAAATGTCTTGGCTTATTGAATCCAATATTTTGTCTACCGTGTGAAATAATGATGCACCTGCGCAGAAATATCACAATGTATATGCTAAAAAAACAATTATTAAATAACAAAAATAGAGAGCAAAAATTCAAACATGCTGTATTTATTGTGTAGGTATTAAATACTCTAATTTTTGTAAGTAAAATAGTCAAATTATGATCCACGAGGATGATCACTTACCAAAAAAAAAAAATGATTCACGAGGATGAGCAGCGATCGTGATCTCTCATAGGTCATAATGCTGATCGTGACACAATCTTCAGACTGAAACAAATACATTTGCTTTAACTCTCCCGATTAGGGTCTAGATGGGCCGTTAGTTGCAGTATTGTTGATTGGCAACAATGGTGGAGCTGTTTGGGAAATATTTCAAAACCTCTCTCCTTTAAGTTATGAGGCCAATTATTTATGGCCCAAAAGTTCTTACAAATTGCGTCATCAAACAGTACGTCGTTTTGAAGTGGATGAAACGGCAAGCATTGTGAACGTTGGGGTGTCAACACGAGTAACTCGGACATTACCGTTAAGAATACAAATGAATTGATGTTTTTCGGGAACATTCATATAAGAAAGAAAAACAAATGAATTGAAATTGTAGCTTTCACTTCATGTGGTCCTAACTTGTTCAAACACAAAGACAAAAGTTTGCTCACCACAAGCACATCCACAACAAAATAGATTTTTCATTTTACACCCAAATAAATAACTAGCTTAAAATTAATTTATTATTTTAAGTATTGGATTATAACAGTGACAAATTTTTCATGGAACTATATAAAGAAAGTAATACTAAAGTTTACTCACGCGGTTGCACTTGTTGTCTCTTGCCACCCCGGAGGTTGGCCCATCTGCCGTTCTCTTCATTTTTTTTGGTTATAACATGTAAACGCAAACGTTATTTTTTTTTTAATAAAAATGGGAGCCTTGTGATGTTGTAATTGAATTTTTCATGCTAGGATGACTAGCTACATAATGACACAATCGAAACAAAGGCTAACTGAAAATTGCTAGCTTTCTTGTCTGTGTAAGAATCTGAGAAAAGTTCATGGCCATTTCAAACCTGTGTAGACCATTTTGCCGTGCTATTTACGAGTTTTAAGCTCATATGCATATGGTATTTACAGCGACAAAGGTGATGATTGATGGCATCATAATAAATGACAGTAGAGGGGAGTCCTTTTACGAAAGTTGCACTTCATTTTAAAAATATATATAATTACAAGCACACATGATATCATTTCCATTGTTGTCGTTATCAGGTCACATGTGGGTGTGTGGCCCTTAACATCCACTGATTGTCAATTCTCAAATATATCAATTTCAAAGTATACTTGTACATAGCTTTTCTTTTCCATCTCTATATAGATTTAGTACTCAATTTCCTAATCAAGCTGTGTTAGTTTAATGATGTTCATATTTTCATGCTGTATTACTCAAGTAGTCAAGTTCATGTATGGATTTATTTTGTTGACCTCTAAGATTAGCTTATTATGAATAACATGCACATATGGCTAAGATATATATGAAATGGACTTAGACTCACACATGTGGCGTGGCAACAAAAAACAGCAATTATTGCAACTCTTGAGGACCCATATATGGTCGTGTATGTCCACTTATACGTAAACGAGACAATTCTGTCCTTTTTTCTAAGAGCATCTTCCACGAGCACAATCTGCGGACTTCAGAAAGGGGTACTATACGGTAAATGATTATTTAGACTTTTCCATTTCTTGCATCTGTAATTCTGTATATGAATGCCCATGGATATATACTGTGTCATTTAAAATGGTATCCGCAGATATAATTTAAAAACAAATGAAACAAAACAAGTTGACCATCATAATTGTTTGTTTTTCTTTTTAAATAGAGAGCTTAGAAATATTCAGTTGAGTGGCATGACTAACATCTGTTTAATTTGTGTAATAAATAATAAGATTAAAAAAATAGGTAGCTGGCTTTTGTTTTTTCATTTTTTTTTTAAGTACTTTCTAAAAACGGCTTTTTTATTCACTAAACGTTTTCCAAATGCAGTTGAAACCGATTACAAAGAGCAATAATTTGAGTTGACCTAAAACCTATATTCTACAGATATAAAGTTTCACGTGATATATAATAACTAAAGCTAAGTAACGTCTTTATATATAATAAGATATTAGTAATAATCAAACTAACGTGTGTTAACTACTACACATGAATTAGTTGCTAAATTCGACAAAACTCAATTTGTTTTGTGATGTCGGTTTTATTTTATTACTTGCTTGTCTAAAGAATCAACTATTGTATTTCAAATTGAAAGTATTGTGAAAAACACCATTTTAAAAAGTTATCCGGTACCAATAATGTAGTGACATACCAAAAACGGTAAACGAGACAAATGCGACATTTAGATATTGAACCTTAAAGTTGTGGTTCTGATCAATTTGGTCACAGCTCCACTTGACAGATCTTCCACTTTAAAAACAGGCAACCCAATTTTCTTTGTTGCCTTACGTACTCAACAAAATAGGCCCCAATTAGCTGCACTAAGTAAGTAAAACGAGATGTAATATTGTGAATCATATCTTATACAAACCTCGTAGTGTAGACTGTAGTGGTGGTTAGTACTAGAAGCTACTAGCAGTATGTATATATGTATACGTTTCACTAGAATCTTGTGACATATTTTATACATACAAAACTAAACATAATCAAATTCTGTAAAATAAATAGTACTATATGTAATATTTATTATAGGTTTCTTTCACTCTACAAATAATTAAATATAGCTTATAAGTAAATGCTTGTCATCTTTTCTCATTTGGAAAATTGTTTGAATTTCAAACTTATATCTGGCTTTGTGAGAGCGAAGAGGCTTTATCAAACATGTCTCGCTCTCTAATATTGTAACACCACCCTATCTACACACATATAATAACACACCCCCCTCTCTCTCTCTCTCCCCTCTTCTCATTACTAGTCGTCTTTGGAACTTAAGTTGGAATCTGAAAAAGCGAAGGTTGACCGATGTTAGCTCTCTCTCCGGCGAGGAACGCGACGAGAGATGATTGCTGCGATGGAGAGTCAGAGTTCTTTGCGACGTCGTGTGGATTCACCATCGACGGGGAGGAGGACTTCCCGGAGTTCGCTGACCACGGCGATCTCCTCGACATCATCGACTTTGACGATCTATTCGGCGTCGCCGGGGACGTTCTTCCTGACTTGGAGATCGACTCCGAGATCTTAGCCGGAGATTTCTCTGACCACATGAACGCTTCGTCGACGATTACTACCACGTCGTCGTCGGAGAAGACTGATAGTCAAGGGGAAGCTAATAAGGGTGTTTCGGGAAAAGGTGAAGAGGTCGTCAGCAAAAGAGACGAAGACGAGACGGGGAACTATGACGGCAACAGTGACCGGAAAAGGAGATACTCCTCATCTGGCTCTTCCAAGAACAATCGGATAAGTAACAACGAAGGGAAGCGAAAGGTGAAGGTAATTTATTAATAATTTATAAACCCTAGCTAAACTCGATCAAATGGACCAGTCTTCAAGGTTTCGTATGTTTTAAACAGCAGATTCTTCGTTAGATTTATATTTCAGTCATATTTCGGAAAAGTGCTTGAGCTCTTTATTTATAGTGGAAGATTCAGATAGATTCCGATTAGAAAATGAAAATTTTGTTCTAAAGTAAAATAGTTGGCTTTTAGTTGTGGATTTTCTTGTCATTTAAGAATAGTGGAGCATACACTAGCGTTTTTATAAATACTAATAGTATGATTGTTGGGATGTGTGTGAAGGTGGATTGGACACCAGAACTGCACAGGAGGTTCGTGGAGGCAGTGGAACAGCTTGGAGTGGAGAAAGCTGTTCCTTCTCGAATTCTGGAGCTTATGGGAGTCCACTGTCTCACTCGTCACAACGTCGCTAGTCACCTCCAAGTATTTTTTTATTACTTCACTTGCTTTCATTTTTTCTTCAAAACATTTTCTATTTCATTATACAACCAAGTAACCAACATTATTTGGTGTGTATCAGAAATATAGGTCTCACCGGAAACACTTACTAGCTCGTGAGGCTGAAGCGGCTAATTGGACACGCAAACGCCACATCTACGGGTTAGACAATACCGGAGCTAATATTAATGGCCGGAATAAAAATGGTTGGCTCGCACCAGCACCCACTATCGGTTTTCCACCGCATCCGCCCCTAGCTGTCACGCCTCAACCTGTCCACCACCATTTTAGACCGTTGCACGTGTGGGGACATCCCACGGTTGACCAGTCCGTCATGCCGCACGTGTGGCCCAAACACTTACCTCCACCGTCTACTGCCATGGCTACTCCACCGTTTTGGCTCTCCGATTCTCCCTACTGGCCTAGAGTGAGTTCTCATATTCATATGCTTTATGTTATTATTTCAAACTCAACTTTTTTTTCTTTGACCGGAGAAGAGAACAGGTTAATTTCTCATGTATTAGCGTATATTAAAACCATTATTTAGTCCAACTCCTTCCAAAAACCTTTATGAATAAACCGGTTTAACTTTTTTTGTTCTTTTGCAAATTAACCTTTTTCTTTGGTCACATGTAGATTCATAACGGGACGACTCCGTATTTGCCGACCGTAGCAGCGGTAACTAATGAACCTATATATATCTAAGATTGTCTTCGTTTTGCTCCTATATGTTTTCTAACGTATATTTTGCTGCTGATTATATAGAGGTTTAGAGTACCGCCGGCTGCCGGAATCCCGCAGGCTCTGCCGCCGCATCACACGGTGTACAAACTAAATCATGGCTTCAATGGGGTTCGTCCTCCGGTGGACTTACATCCGGTAAGAATCTAATATATTATTGGATTGATTGCTTTTGGTATTTGCTTTTGTATATTAATCATGCTTAATTATGTATATACATATATATATATATATATATATATATATATATATATAGTCAAAAGAGAGCGTAGATGCAGCCATAGGAGATGTATTGACGAGGCCATGGCTGCCACTTCCGCTGGGACTGAAGCCACCGGCTGTTGACGGCGTTATGACGGAGCTTCACCGTCACGGTGTCTCCGAGGTTCCTCCAACGACGCCTTGTGCATGAAACGGACAAGCGCCGCGGGAGGCAAACCGAACCAACAAAAATTCGACGACATGTCTTTCAATTTCTGTATCTTTTTTTCCAAGGGTTGATTTTTTTTGTTGGCCCTTGTTGACTGTTGAGAGCTTAGGATCTCGTTTCTTGATCGTCACATATGTAACTAATAATTAAGGAGACCTTTTCATATAACGCAAATAAATGACATATAGACCGCTGTCTACATAATACATATAGCCTTTTAACTGTTTAAGTAGAACAATCCAAATGAGACATAACGAGGGAACTAACGCCAAAACACTAGTGTACACATCTCCTGGCCGTCCTCACCTCAGCTATAAAGTGGATAATCTGACTGTGATATACACTACATATAAACATATATAACTTTTCTTAAAAAAATAGTATGACCCGAGTTGGGCGAAGAAATGAATCATGTATATACTTTTGCGATTTACCAATCGAAAACACTTCATTTTGGGATAGATCTAGAGTCTAGAGAACAATGTGAAATAAAATAATAATGTGGAGGAGAGAGAGAGAGGACCACGAGATAAGAGAAGGAGGGAGTGCATGGAAGCAACGTAAAATCCAACGTAACGACCTCTTCTTTCTCCAATTGTGACCACTCTCTCTCTCGTCTCCTTCACATTTGAATGGTCCCTCTCTCTCTACATTATTCATATACATGCGGATACTATTACTAGCATCTCATTGCATGTACGTATATATCTTTACATGCTTATTATGTTATACTATCAAAGTAGTACTTTGAAATATTATTTGAACCAGTGTTCTAAAATACGACGTGAACTATATTTTAAAATAACAAAACTACATAATTTTACCTTTAACAAAAATTGATCCTGAAAAGTAACTATGTACGATATGTTCAGTTTCTCTCAAAACTTGCTATAAAACAAAAATTGATTTGTTTGTCGTAGTCGAAAAGAGAATGAGAGTAGATTATATACATCTCCTATAAAAACGTCTTCAACACTTGACACTTGACGAGTAATCAACTTGAGATTAGGATAATTTGTTTTATTTTCTTACAGAAAACATCACAGACAGAAATTCGAATTTAGACAGACATACACGAGGCCCCATGTTAGAACGGAGTCACTAATAAATGAACCCAATAATTGTCGTGGGCTGAGTTTACAAATGAAAGCAAGTCTAATGGGCTAAAGTCGGAACATAGAAATCTTGATCGAGGGGTTATCTCCTCCGATTCCGATTTATCTCTACTGAGTTGCAGAAATTGTGAAATCGCAATTACAAAGTAAGAGATTTCTTTCTCGATATCACCACCACCACAAGTATCAGCTGCTTCTCTCTCGATTCGGCCGAGTTTTCAAGTTTCAGATTGCAACCAGAGATGGCTCCAACTCCCGATCCCAACAACAGTCTCGGAGGCGCTGCGAAGCAGGATGAAGCTTCCCTCAAGGTTCCTTCTAAGGATCCCAAAAAGAAGGACGACAAAAAGGAAGAGGACCTGGTCAGTTTCTCCTCTTTCTCTTTTGTATCTGGAAAACATCACAAGTGGGTTTAATTTCAAATCTCTAGGATATGCAGTCACTTATCGATCGAATCGAATCGAAGTAGGATGTTATAGAATTAGAGTTTTGCTGCCAACCTAAAGTGAATGTCATGTCTATCATTCCACTTGAAAGCTGTTTTGTCTTAAAAAAAAATCATGTTAACTTGTAAATGGGAGGAGACTTGCTAGTTTAGGCTACTGCCGTTGCTCTTGGACAAGGAGGATACTTTGTTTTTGCACTGTGTTCATTTCCAGTTTGCGTGGCTAAGTATATGGTCACCAAATGACTCAACTTACATTGGGTGTGATTGTAGTCTGAAGAGGACTTGGAACTGAAGCAGAACCTTGAGCTCTATGTCGAGAGGGTTCAGGATCCCAATCCGGAGTTGCAAAGGGCTGCGCTTGAAAGCATGAGGTAATTCTTGAATTTCTTCAACCCAAATTTGACTTCATCAGTTGTGGGTTTCCAGATTATTGCCATTGAAGCTTTCATAATTTATATAACTTTTTTTCCCCTTGTTTTCGTGCTCGTAGTCGTAGTGTACATGATTGTGTTATTAGCGATTCCCTTGTTTTATTCTAACCTCGATGGACTTTTTGTTTGTTCCGTAGGCAGGAAATCCGAGCTTCAACAAGCTCCATGACTTCAGTTCCCAAACCACTAAAGTTTCTCCGTCCCCATTATGGAACTCTTAAAGCATTTCATGAAACAATGGCTGATTCTGAGCTCAAAGTACGCCATAAGTCATACCTCATTAAAACCCTTCTTTGTTCATATTCCTGGGTATGGCTTACAGATCACATTTCCTGTGTTTGCAGAAGTACTTGTCCGATATCCTGTCTGTCTTGGCCCTTACCATGTCTGCGGAGGGTGAAAGGGTATGCTTCTCGCTACCAAAATGGACTTGATAAAACATGTTTTCCTACCTATTTCTTCCATCTTTAACTGCCTCTGGATTCCTTTTAAATTTCTGCTTATCCAATCTTTGCTCTGCCTTAACTCATCTCTTGTGGGGACCTTCCTAGAATTCTGTTGAGGCAAATTTTAACTGCTATTCACTTTGTTTCGCAATATTATTCCAGGAAAGCCTAGGTTATAGGTTGATTGGAACAGAAGGTGACATTGGATCATGGGGTCACGAATATGTCAGGAATTTAGCTGGAGAGATTGCGCAAGAGTATTCAAAGCGTCAGGTTAGAAATTAATTTTCCATTTTGGCTTTGGCTACTCAGTTTCTCGTCCCCGGACTTTTGCACCACGTTTATCCTTATGATGGTTGGTGTTTCAAGGAAAGACTATACGGTTTCTTGTCCAGTGAAATAGTTTACTGATATACCTGTTCGTTTTGTTATCTCAGAGTGAGGAGGCCCCTATTGATGATTTAATGGAGCTTGTGCAGCAAATTGTTGCTTTTCACATGAAGGTGAATTCCTACCTATGTCTATTTTTCTTGTTCTTTTGGGCCCTTGTGGTGCATATGTAGGAAGTCATTTTGTAATCAATATGCTTGACTCTTGAGACTAGCAGTAGCAGCTTTGGTATTTCTTGTCTTATAATTTCATTTTATTCCTTGCAGCATAATGCAGAAACCGAAGCTGTTGACCTTTTGATGGATGTTGAGGATCTTGATCTCTTACTTGAGCATGTAGACAAAACAAATTTCAAGAGGACATGCAACTATCTCACGAGTGCAGCAAAGTACTTCCAACTTAGTCAATCCTATTCAGTTTATGTTTCTTCACTCTTATTTGTGGTTTTAGACCAGTCATTTTGTTATTTTTTGATTATATTGTTCGCAAAAGTCTCTCTAATGTCTTATATATTTGACTTTCCAGGTACCTTCCCGGACCAGATGACATGTTGGTTCTAGATATTTCCTACATGATTTACATGAAATTTGAAGAATATCCAAACGCTCTGCAGATTGCATTGTTTCTTGATAACACGCAGGTAGGATTCTTATCTTCCTATAAAACGTAGTATCATTTTGTTCATTCTGCTGTCTTGGAGCAGCTGGAAAAAGCAGTCCTCTATGGGAAGTATTTCGTATATTGGTGTGGAACTTTTCATTGTTTATTGTGCTGAATGATAATATTTTTATGCGTTGCAGTATATTAAACAAGTATTTACCTCATGCACGGATCTTCTAAGAAAGAAACAGTTCTGCTACATGATTGCTCGTCATGTAAGTCCTTATCCACATTTTGATATTTCCATCTCATTCCTTCTGTAAGTGTGTTTTGGTTTTGGATCTGTACTTAGACTTATTGTGCTTTTATTAGATTTTGGGCTGTAACACAGCAGTAATAAATAAAAATGAGAACACTGTTTGTAGTTGATAGCGAGCATGATCTTGAGGGAATTGGAATATGTTACTTTATTAGCCATGGATGTTGGGGTTGGGCCTGTTACTAGTTGTTTCTCTTGTTTTAGAACAACTTTTATTGTTTGTCTGGGAAGACCTCATTCTTTAGCGACATTGGCTTCCTCCTATTCTCTTCTAACGCAGACACCGATCAACTCCTGCATCACTGCTTAAGATTGCCATTGTTTTTAGAGACACAATGCCCGATGACATACTTTCTTATACGTATTTTCTTCTCGTATGCCGTCCTGCAGGGTATAACCTTTGACCTTGACGATGAGATGGTTGCCGATGACGATGACCGAGAAGCCCTACAGGATATTGTTAACAACACTAAGTTAAGTGAAGGATATTTGACTCTTGCAAGGGATATTGAGGTCATGGAGGCCAAAACGCCTGAAGACATCTACAAAGTAATCAGTGTTAATGGATGTTACGCCTGCTATTTGTTTATTTAGTTACAAATTATGTTTGCCTCAGTCTTTGACCTGCCCGTTTGAATTTTTTAGGCTCACTTGCTCGATGGCAGGGCGAGCTCTGGTGCAAGTGCGGATTCTGCTAGACAGAATTTGGCTGCTACCTTTGTCAACGCATTTGTAAATGCTGGTTTTGGTCAGGTATGATTGCATATTGCCATAAAATGGATCTAGTTGCAGAGCTGTCCTCTTAATACATTTGCTTATCGCAGGACAAACTTATGACAGTACCTTCAGACACAACCACCGGATCTTCTGGAAATTGGCTCTTCAAAAATAAAGAACATGGCAAGACTAGTGCAGCTGCTAGTCTGGTATGCCGTTTCTTACTTGATGAATTTCTTTGCTGTAGTCAAAACATGGAAGTAGAAATTGTAACCAGAACCTGTTGTTTTTCTATCATAGGGTATGATTCAACTGTGGGAAGTGGAGTCTGGACTTAGCCATCTCGACAAATATTTCCACAGTACTGATAATCCTATCCTTGCTGGAGCACTGCTGGGAGTTGGGATTGTAACTTGTGGAATTAAGAACGATTGTGATCCTGTAAGTTGGTCTCATGTTTGATTTTGTGGGAATCACTGGTGCTTATATTGGCAGCCATTCTTTCATCTTACTCAGATTTCTTTCTCAGGCATTGGCACTTCTTGGAGATTATGTAGACAAAGAGGATTCATCTGTCAGAATTGGTGCTATCATGGGTCTTGGAATTGCGTATGCAGGTTCCCAAAATGACCAGGTCAGGACATGTTATTTTCATTCCTATATTACTAGTTGAATGTTTCCTGGCTCTCACAAAACATTAACACGCACACTGTTTCGACAGATAAGAGCCAAATTGTCGCCAATACTGAATGATGCAAAAGCGCCGCTAGATGTGATAGCATTTGCTTCACTTTCGTTGGGAATGATCTATGTGGGTTCCTGTAATGAAGAAGTAGCACAGTCTATAATATTTGCTTTGATGGATCGAAGTGAGGCAGAACTGGGAGAGGCGCTCACTCGTTTCTTGGCTCTTGGTCTTGGACTTCTATACCTGGGCAAACAGGTTTGAAAATGTGTTATACTTAATCTCTCGGTTTTTGTAAGTAAATCATCGTTTACGTTGCTCACCTTGTTCCAATATATTCCAGGAAAGTGTAGAGGCTACAGCTGAAGTTTCAAAGACGTTCAATGAAAAGATTAGAAAGTACTGTGATATGACACTTCTTTCCTGTGCTTATGCTGGGACTGGGAATGTCCTTAAGGTACCTAATCGTTTGAGCTGGTGGTTGAATGACATACTTGATTGCTTTCTAGTTTAGTTGTTGACTCCACTTGATATGTTCAGGTCCAAGACCTTCTTGCTCAGTGTGGAGAGCATCTTGAGAAAGGTGACATCCACCAGGGTCCAGCTGTGCTTGGATTAGCGATGGTTGCTATGTCTGAAGAACTGGGAATTGATATGGAGATCCGTTCTTTAGAGCGGATGCTACAATACGGAGAACAGAACATTCGGCGCGCTGTGCCGTTGGCCCTTGGTCTCCTATGTATTTCAAATCCAAAGGTGAGTACTTTCTGTAAATCTAGTTTTACATCATCTGTTACAGAATATTACTGGTGGCTGTATAGAGCAATGCCTGGTTTTAAATATTTTCCTACAATTCCAGGTGACTGTGATGGACACCTTGAGTCGGCTTAGCCATGACACAGACTCGGAAGTTGCTATGGTTAGTAGTAATCATTACGCTTTGCAGCATGTCCAGTAGCTAGATAAGTCAATGGTATTGAGATGTTTCTTGTGACTCGTACAGGCAGCAATTATATCATTGGGACTGATAGGCGCTGGAACTAATAACGCAAGGATAGCCGGGATGCTTCGGAGCCTGTCCAGCTATTACTACAAGGACCCCAGTCTTCTCTTCTGTGTAATGTGTTGCTCAAACAGTTTGTTTTTGTTTTTGTGGAATAAAACTCTTGGTCTTGTTAAAATGATATGTACTCACCTGGTAATCAATTATGCAGGTACGTATTGCGCAAGGGCTGATGCACATGGGAAAGGGTCTCTTGACACTCAGCCCCTTCCACTCTGAACGGTTCTTGCTATCGCCGTAAGTGGATCATACTTTTTGTTACCGCTATAACCAGAGCTTTGTGATGTGAATCCGTGACTTATTGATGCAGAACCGCACTTGCTGGTATAGTGACACTCTTGCATGCATGCCTTGACATGAAACCAATCATACTCGGGAAGTACCATTATGTGCTCTACTTCCTCGTTTTGGCGATGCAAGTGAGTTTGATTTCAGTCCCGTGTTTTATTTAATTATTCAGGTCTGATTAGATTTGCTATGATTGATTCTGATCCAAATTTTATGAAATAAAATGGTAGCCGAGGATGTTGTTGACAGTGGACAAAGACCTGAAGCCACTGTCAGTGCCAGTGAGGGTAGGACAGGCAGTGGATGTGGTCGGACAAGCAGGTCGGCCCAAGACCATAACCGGATTCCAGACACACTCGACACCTGTCCTCCTTGCGGCTGGTGAGAGAGCCGAGCTAGCCACCGACAAGTATGTCCTTCTTCCTTGTACCGTTTCTGTTTCATATGAAAAGCTTTGGTGTCTGATGATTATATCATATTGCAAAAATGGACAACAGATACATTCCTCTGTCGCCGATACTAGAAGGGTTCATCATTTTGAAGGAGAATCCAGACTACAGAGAGGAGTGATGACAAAATCAATTTGGTTATGGAATAACTTGGAAAGTTCATTATGAACGTCTGCCCCTTAGAGAGCTTCTGCTTCCCGGCTGAGAGATACTGGCATTCTCACTTGTGTCACTAGTTTTTCAATGTGTTATTAGTACTTGGCCCATCTTCTCATGGTTTTATGCCTCGTCTCATAAAAACTTCGTATCTCTCTGTTTCAGCTTATTTAGATTGTCTTGGGATCTTTGTACAACACGTTAATCATTGTCTTTGTTTTTTTCTTTCTCCAATTGCAAGTCGACAGACCTATGAAATCCTTTGAAACTAAACGAAAACCGAATCTTAATATTTCTTATGAATATTATCATACAGTATATACAAAACATATAGAAGATCTTGGTTTTGCATTTGTTAACTTTAATCTAAATCCAGAATGTGAAAAACCAAATCGGAAAAGAAATGAAATGAGTCAAAACTCAAAAGTATCAAAATGGGCTAATAAATGAAATTGGGCCAGTGAATCGAGGAGACTTACAAACGCGCGTTTGTAACCAAAGCTTTCTTCCAAAAACGGCTTATAGGGTTTATCATTTCCCCGTAATCGTAATCGGAATCGGAGAATCCATCGATTCATCTTTACCTCCACGATTCTCTTCTTCTCTTCAGCTTCTCTCTCGATGGCCGCCTCCGCCGTCATTTCCGGTGCCAGATCGATGCTTCGAGCTGCTTCCTCTCGTAGCGCCGCTGCTTCCACTGGCCGCTTCGCCTCTCAAGCGAAATCCGTTCCGCCGATGTTTAGAGCCACCGCTAGAAGAAGCCCACTTCTTTCCCCTCTCCGGTTAGTCTGATGACCCTCTCCGTTACACCCCATTGGCTCATTTTTTTATCTCTTTTCTTACTGACAGCGATCCAGTTTTATATCTTTGAATGAAGAATTGCGTATTCTTACTCTAATTAGAACTTTGATATACAATTTGATCGAATATTGAAAAGAATGAACTTCTCTACGCTCTGATTTGCCATTTTTGTGAATACATCTTTGAGCTAATCATGTTAATAATTTGGAACTAGGATGACGAAATTTAACTTTGCGTGATCCATGAGTGTACTGAATACTCGAGTATCTGTTTATTTTTGATTGGATGACAGAAATCCAGTGGAAATGAGCTTCTGTGTGGAGTCAATGTTACCATACCACACTGCCACAGCTTCAGCGCTAATGACTTCAAAGCTTTCTATCTCTGGACATAGCTATGGCTGGCTCTCTGATGGTACGTTCTTACCTCTTTTTAATTTGATTCTGCAATGCTTGAAGTATAACTTAATAAATGACTTTGTTTGTTCGATGATCTGTTTTGAGGATTGTTTCGGTATTGGCTATCTAGATTTTTCCTTTTCTTTTTATCTCGTGGTGTTAGTTAGTCTCTGTGTGCTTTAGATCGTTTAATTGGAAATGCGTTAAGAACTTGGTCAGATTTGCAGTTTAATAAGCTTCAGCATGTTGAGTGTGTTGCTATATGCGAAAAACTGGATCAATTGTTGTTGTCTTTCTGCTTATCATTTGTAAAGAGATGGCAGCTCAATTGGTCTAGATTTTCGGTGTTGTAGGCTAACAGAAGAATAGATGAAGACAATGAAGCCAAAGATGTGGGTTTCCTGCAAATAACACTTCTCTTGAACTTCTTAGAAGCAAATAGGCTTTAGATACACTACACCTCTCTGTGGTTGATGCTACATTCACACTGTGTTTCAAAACTGGGTCTTACAGATATTCTTAAAAGAAAACCATGTACCTGACAGTTTTTTTATGGAAAGTGTGTTCTTAACTTGTTGGTTTATTTCATCTGAGCTGAGTTTTATAGAGAATTTAATGAAAGAATCATTACTGATTGGTCTTATACTCCCAGCTTGCAATGATGATGTGTGATGGTTAACCAGAAGATCATTGAAGCTACAGTTTATGTACAAAACTCTACCTTTATTCGCCAATAAACTTAGGAAGGAAAACCCTATTTGGCCTATCTTTTTTGCTGAGTTTCTTGGAAAGATTGTGTTTGTTTTTAGTCTGTATTAAGAGACCTTTTGTATTTGATTAGAAAGTAACTGATGTTTGGTATCATTTATCAGCTTGCAAAGAGGACTTTTGATGATGTCTGCAAGTACCCAATGCGAATCCGAGAGACGGTTTAAGCGAGTTTAGGCAAAGAATAATTCTTGTATTGCTCAAACACAAATGATCTTTGTCTTGAATTTTCAATATAAAAGACGGATATCCTCTTATCTTTTTAATCAACTCTCTATGATCACTGTTACATCAACACACAAACTGAATACTGCATCTTCGTTAAAGGATCTCGTTGCCTTAAGTTTTTCAAATATATATAACAAAAAATGAAGTTGCCACATAAAAAGACAACTCGCAATGGTCTCTGTTAGATGAACACAAACTCTGAAGTGCACCTTTGTCAAATGATCTCTTCATCTTGAATTTTCCGTATCTTTTAAACCAACTCTCTATGATCTCTGATACATCAGCACAAACTCAAATGCATATTTGTTCAAGGGTCGTAATTTTTCATATAAAAATACAGATATTCTCCATATCTCTATGGCATCAACTCGAGATTTGAAATACAGAATACAAAAACTAGAGTTTCTTTGATCCTTCAGTTTCTGCAACCACCATCACTAACGCTTGCTCTTCTTGTGGCTGTGTCTGTTCTTCTTGTGGGAGTGTTTCTTCTTCTTCTATTTCTTGCTTTTCACTCTCAATAGGCTCGACTTGATCAGGATTTAGCTGTAGATTCTGTCTCCTGTACCGAAATAACACTAGGATGATAAAAACTGCAAAACATGAAAGTTTTATAGGTTATAGGTTGGTATCAAGCAAAAGAATACTCTGTGAAGCATTGATTGGGTTAAAATTTACCTGCAAAAAGTCGGGTTCTAATGCTTGTCAAGTTCCAAAACGCTGTCACCGCAGAGCCTGCCAAGAGCTTCTTGTGTGAGCACATTCCCCATGCTTCTCCTATTCTCGTTTTCATTCTTTCAACTGCACAAATCAAACTCAATTCAAGTCAAAATTTTATAGAAATGGACATGTTATAGACTTCTCTCGACTCTCAACAAACACTGACTTGTAATTCGTATAGTTAAGACTTGAGAGTTAGTACTTAGTAGTATCCTAAGATTGTCTGTAAACCAATGTGAAAGGATGCAATTTGGTTTGTTCACCTTTTTGGCTAATCTGATGGGTGTAGCAGGAGTACAGCTTTGGGATGGTGAAGCTGAGGAAGAAACCTGTTTCAGTAACATAGACACATGTCAAATACAGTTCGCATCATCATGCTTAGCATTGTTTTCAGATTGTGTTGCAAAGGTCATACCAAATGCGGATAGCCTCCACAGCGTTATGAGATGGCCATACTCAGCGCCGATTAGCAGAAATGGTGTCACCTGGCAGGGAAGAGAGAAACAGCAGATGAAACCTCCAATACCGATTTGCTAAACAGATAAAAAGAGAGATAAAGTGGTAGTCGATTCTTACTTTGAGTGTCATTGATGGCTCTCCAGAAAAAAGCTCACTAGTCTTTGAAATGGCAAAGTTGGTAGCGGGAAGGAATCGTGTGGCTAAGCGCAAGACATCATCTTCACTCACATGGAACTCTCTCTTGGTGTCTTGGTTTTTCCTAAAAGATAACACATTGATATCATCAACCTATCTGTTTGCTTGCTTATAGACAAGGTCAAACAAGACTGCAAAGGGACCATAACAAAAGTGTACCTTTGAGAAAGAGTGTTTGACAAGAAGGAGCCGCAGAGTAACACAAGCCCGAGATTGGAAACTGCCGAGAAAACGCTTCAAAACACCAAATCATTTCATTAGTTTTCCTTTTTTCTTTGTTTTCAGATTTGAATTTGATGGAGAGGGTAAGTAGTAATAATGTACCTAAAGTTGAATCCTTTGGCAAAGCAAGAAGATAGGAAACAGAGACATCCAAAACCGAACCACAGGGTCGATTTCGCAACATCTCTCCACATTACTAAATCACTGATAATCTCTCCAATTCGGTTCAAATCGCTTTGACATGCATCTGCACACACACAAGCCACAAGCAGATCAGAATCGAGATAACGCACATAGAAAGAAGATTAGTTAGAAGAGAGTAAGTAGTATACATGGAAGATCTGAAGACGACGAGCACGGAGAAGTTGACAAAGGAGCCGAATTTTGCTTTTCCTTGTTAGGGCGACCATTCGTCCTCCTTTTTCTGGGCTTTGCGGTTTCGTCGACAACTGCAGTAGCTTCTTTCTCTTCCACAGCTTCCGACCTCCGCCTCGATCTCCGGGGATTCCGAGGAGAAGCCAAAAGACCCTTTTGACCTCCCCTCGCTTTTCCCCGCTTGCGCACAGGAGGAGCAGTCGGATCCGCCGCATCCTCGGAGGCCATTTCGAGTCGATCTGCTAAACGGGTCTTGGATTTGCGGAGTGGGGAAGGAGATAAGAGGAGGACAGGAGAAGATGTTGATCTGATGGAGTCGGGTGTATGTGTATCGTTGCTTTTGGGAGAGTGTAGAACCAAATCAAGAGAGGTATTTTGCTGAGAATTGTTAACACGATGGAGACGCGAGGCTGATTTAGCGTTCGATCGGTGATACGGAGGCGTACTAGTATCAGCGTCCATTTTCAATTGGGATTTTAGAGTGCAAATCGGGAAGAAAAAAAAACAAAAACGAAGGAGATGAAAAATTGAGAATCCGAGGGAATTGAGGAAAATGGGAATCTGAGAGAATTTATGAGCTTTGTAATTGGCAATGAGGGCCGGCAGAGAAAGACAGAGTGGATCAGGTAGCCGTTGGAGGATTTTATATTATATTTTCCGTAATTAAGGTCCCATTTGAATCTTGACGGTAATAACAATGTGCCTCCGTCTATTATAACGGCGTTTGTTTGCCATTAGTACCAAGTTGTTTTACAATACATAGATGGAATGAAAGGTTTAAACCTCATTATTATACTAAAGCAAATGGCAACAACGTAAGCCTAAGCAAACCAAAGCAAAGCAAATCCAAAGGCGGGGATGTAAATGTTGGGAGAACGAGAGAACAATGTTCATTCTGAAACTGAAACTGATGATATTGGGAGCTTCATCATCATCTTCTTCTTGGAGTGTCTGAGGGCGAAGTTGTGAAGCCTGGAAAGGCCTTGTACGAGGAGCTCAAGATCAACCGCAAAGAAGACGCGTAACCAGTTGTTAAGCCCAACAGCTTGACCTGGCAGGATGATCACTGATTCCTCTCTTGCCAACTTGAAGCAGAACTCCAAATCATCGCTTATATCCTCAAGCAGAGATACCTCTAACTTCACCTGCACGACAACCAATTAGAGAGCTTGATCAATGCGACAATGATAATGTGGATGCATTAATTGATTACCATGGTGAACATTGAGCCCTCAGGTTTGTAAGGGCAAGTGATGCATGGTATCTTCTTCATCTCCTCGTAACAAGTCTCTGCACATTCTCTTAGAATCTCGAGTTTCGTTGAGAAGAACTCCTCTCTCGTCTTCCCAAGGATTTCAGGAATTGCACCCTGAACAAATGTTGTTGGATCTGTCGACATGTTGAACACGTTTCCTAGACTCCGAACAAGCTATACATACATATAATACAACAAAAGAAAACAAAAGTTACTTTGTTTGTTAAGAAAGATTATAACAAAGAGTTGTTGTTTGTGAAGCAAGAAATGAGTTACGCCAGAATCTTTCATGATGCAGTGAGGGTCAAGGGTCACTATCCAGCCGAATCTCCAGCCAGGAACAAACCACCTCTTGGATATTCCTCCCAACATCATCACCGGCACAGTCTCCGCAAACTCAGCCATGGACACAAACGGCTTCTCCCCAAAGCTCATGTCCTTGTAGATCTCGTCTGCGATCACTAGCACTCCAAGTTTGCTTGCAGTTTCTGCAATCTTGTGCAGATGCTGACGCGTGAAAACCTTTCCGCATGGATTGCAAGGGTTGATGAGAAGCATTGCGACGGTTTTGTGATCCGCAAGAGCTTCAACAGCATCGAGATCAACCTCCCAACCATTCTCTGGAAGGAGGTCATAGCGACGGATCTCTAGCTTGCTGAAAGCTGCTCTGGCATCGTAAAACGGGTATGTTGGCCTCGGCAGCAGAATGTTGGCCCCAGGAACTGCGGCGGCGAGTGTGGAGATCAAAAGCTCTATGGATTGATGACAACCAGCTGTGAGATACACATCATTTTCACATATCTTGGAAGTCAGATCGCGGGAGAGGTACTCTGCAACAGCCCTGTTTACGAGAATGAGAAATGAGAATCATCGTCATTGCATGCAAACCTAATTAACCGGAAATTTAACTTAAAAAAGAAAGAACAAAATATGCTCATCTCTCACTTCCGAGCGAGAAGAATGCCAGAAGAAGAAGAGTAGTGGTTAAACTGTGCAGAACGGAGAGCGTCAGCGACGGCTTCCACGGCGGCCGGATCTGTTTGGAAGGAGGAGAAGGGAGAGGGGTCGCCGTGTCCGAGAGAGATGACGGATCTGCTGTCATTGCCGTCGAGATTCTCAGTAAGGAGGTTCTGAAAATGACGCACGTTCAGAGATACCTCCACGGCCTCATTCTCCTCAAAGTTCCATCGCTTCGTTCCTATTTCTCCCATTTTTGCTTTATTGATGATCGAATACTTTGCCTCAGTGGCATTGGCATACAGCACAGTACATAAATGATGGCTTTCAACTACTCCATATGTTCAACTCAGGCCCATGTCTCACACGTGTCTTAAACGGACAGACAAGTTTAATAAAGGTGGATGTCCTTGGTTGTAGTACTGTTTGAATTCTAATGGGCGATGTTAACAAACTTGTCTGGATAAGGGCATTGCCAACATTGTTATGTTTGCGGATGAGTGGATGACAATAAGCCTCTTTTCAAACTCATCATCAGTGGTTAGATAAAGAACTTCATAGTTTTTCTTTTATAGTACTTCATAATTTGGTACGTGAGGTTAGTTATTGAAGACACAAATTCAAAATGGATCAGTTTGGTTGGTTCTGAGGAGTAGTAATAATAAGGCTGCACTCAGTTGGCCAAGGAGTTTATACTAATCCCAAGTTTCCTTGTACACACATCTTCGATATGGATCACTTTGTTTGTCACTAATGATACAACAACAACAAAAGAGTTTGACAACAAAATCAATAGTTTTTTTCTTTGCTAAAAGACAAAACCATTATAAAATCTGAATAATTATCTAAGAACATTTAATATTGCATAAAATGCCAAAATAGTTAAATAATCAAAACCAAATGATCAATTTAATTAATTGTACTGTTACAACTATATAATGAAGTAAATAAAGAAACTTTTGAACAAAACTTTTCCTCCTTTTTTGTAATTTTGAAAAGGCAGTTTTGTTTTTAAGTCTTTCATGTTTTTTTACTCACAAATTATTATTACAATTAAACTAAACATTATAATAATTTTTTTTTCTTTTTCTAATAAACGCAACATGTTTTGATAATAAAATCAATCGATACATGTAACCAGTCTCTCTTGAATACTGAATCTATACTTAAACATTTTAATCTTATTACATAAAATCTGGTATTTACTACAAAGAAACCTGAAAAGAGTCGAGGTTAAACAAAGTTTCCCTTCATCAAATGAAAATAACTATTTATTTCTAAAAATCTATGAATTTCTTTAACCAACATATATAATTTATTAGAAAATATTTTTCTTAAATTAAAGAGTTATGAATAAATTAAAATAGTGAAAACAATCAAAATCAAGTGAGATATAGTTCAATTTATAGTCCTGTATCTCTTACTCACCAAAAAAAAATAGTCCTGTATCTCTTTTCTTATTTGTATGATATCTTTCCTCTAACGCGAACATAAATATGAAGGAAAGCAAAAGATAAAACCAATTAAGACCAAACAAACAAATTTAGTAAACAAATCTAGCAAAAGTTAAGGCAAAATGTATATGAAATGTATTATAAATAGAGGTTGATACCTTGCTAGCCCATAATATAAACCATATCATAAGATAAAACATAGGAACTCTACAAGAGAAAGAGAGAGTCAAATTAATTAAGATGGCGAAATGGAGTGCGATAGTAGTGATAATGATGATGGTGGTGATTGCTGCGACGGTGACAGTACAAGTAGAAGCAAAACAAAGTTGGATTCAATGTTTTCGAGAGTGTTCGAAACCTTGTGCCGATCACGACGGTGATTGCTTTGAACGTTGTAAAGTCCAATGCGGTGGCCCAAACCCTCCCCATGGTCCTACTCCTCCTCCCCATGGTCCTACTCCTCCTCCCCGTCGGTACGTACCATTGTCTCTGCTACTCTTAGTTTGTGATAACTACTTTTACTATCATGTTTTGTTCTAATTATGTATATATGCTCGAATAGAATCTCACGTGGGATGGCATCTATGGAAGTTCGCGGAAGGAGAGAGTGATTGAAAGAAGTGTATTCGTACAAGCTTCGTGTGATGATGATCATGTCTTTAGCTACCATTTTTAACTTTGTGTTAAAAAACCAATAAAAGTTATTGATATCAATCAAATATTTATATTTACAAGTCCCAAAGATTCAAATACAAAAATCTATAAAATTACATAAAATAAATAAGAGAGGACACTGAAGAGACGATAATTTGCTTTCACGGACTTGCTAATTACTTGTTCAAGTTTAATCGATCGGAAATGATTGGTCCACTAACTAACTTTTAGCCAACGTTACACGTATAAGAGTTATAGTAAATGTCACCAATGTTATAAATATGAATGTATGAGATCTAAAAAGAACCAAGATTTATTGTCAATTTATGTATAACATCGTTCATTTATGCGTTTTTACACCAAAAAGGGTTTAGTTTCGCATATGTATGTATCGATGTTATATGAAAACGGTTACAATTTGCTATGACTTTTGGTCATACAATAGCGAAAGAGAGATTTAGAAACAATACCTAGAAGCTTATAAGATTGAGAAGTGAAGGAGGTGTAGATGAAGATTCTCATCTTCAAGCAAATCCACCACGCCCATGAACGGAAAGATTTATGTGAAAATGTTTAACATAGCAAAGGAAATGGCAGCTACTATAGTGTGTAAAATAGATGAACTTGGATCTTTCTCAAAATGAAGTACAACTTGTTTGTTAATAAACTTCATATGATTAAATTTGTTTCATCTTTCATGGATGCTACATCCTTAATTTCTGTTCCCAGCTGTTTGACATATTAGCCATAGTTAGCTTTTATTTATTGGAACTGCCGGTTTCAAAATTACCATAAGAGTATTCCTTGGGCACAAAACATATTGGTACAATGGTACATACATGAGACATCCTCTTCTGCTGTTGTTTGGGAGTCATGTAGTGTATTATTATATATTGTCACTCAGTTTCAGAGCTTGCAGCGAATCCGTAGCTGTCTCGGTCTTCTTGGCATGACGTGTACAGAAACCCTTGAGTCTCTCAAGTGCATCCTCAAGCATATGAGCTTCCACTCCGATGGTTATCCTCACCCAGTTCTTCAAACCCAGAGCCTCTCCTGCAATACACACAAGAAGATGAGGCCATTTTGAGTATCAAAACTCAAACTCAAAACTTAGTAATGTTTCTTGATTTCATTTGACTTTACCTGGTAGAAACACGAGGTTCTCCTCTCTGGCCAGCTTCACGCAGAAATCAATGTCATCCTTGATGTTCTCCAACAATGACAGCTCCAGTTTTGTCTGTAGCAAGAGTGAAAACTGTTTAAATGGATTTCTCTAGATAAAAGAATCAGCAGTCTATCAAACTAAATATGTGGATGTGGAAGTGTATATGTGTAATTTAAGTAAGTTTATACCAATAAGTAAGTGCAAGACTCAGGTTTCTTGGGACAGACGACGCAGGGGATGTCCTTGAGCCTATCACACACCAAAGCAACGTTGTGTTTGAGTATCTTGTTCTTCTTCGCAAAGAAGTTTTTATCCGCCTTCTCCAGGATCTCGGGAAGCGCAGCCTGTCAAAAAGGAACAGTGTCATGAATCCAACTACGACTGAAAAAGAAGCAAGAAGCAAACCCATTCTCTAGTCCAATGACAGACCTGGATTATAGTGGAAGGGTCAGGAGTTATGTCAAGATTCTGTTTGATGGACTGAACGACCTTGGTGGACTCGAAAACGCCCTCGGGGTCGTTCAAGGCAATCCACCCAATTTTCCAGCCAGGAACAACCCATCCCTTAGATATGCCTCCCAGCGTCATCACAGGAACGGTCGATGCAAACTTCCCCATTGGAACAAAGGGATTGTCTCCGAATATAGTTTGGTCGTACACTTCGTCTGTGATCACCATTATCCCCAGCTTCCGAGCCGTCTCTGCAACCTACATTGTTCCATCCATGAATCAAAAAGTTTCAAGCTTTAGCTGAACTACAGTCTACAGTTATTAGAGTGGTTACGAACCTTTTGGAGATGGTCGTGAGAGTAGACGTTTCCACAGGGGTTGTTGGGGTTAATGACAACCAAGGCCACAGTGTTTTCGTCTGCAATGGACTCGATGCCTTGGAGATCGATCTCCCATTCTTTGTTCGGAAGAAGATCGAACTTGCGGACCTCGAGGCCACTGTAAGCAGCACGAGCGTCGTAGTGAGGGAAGCCAGGACGTGGGAGCAATATGTTCGCCTTTGGCCGAGCTAACGCTTCGAACACGATCTCTATCCCTTGGTTGCATCCAGCCGTCAGGAAGATGTCTTCCGGAGTTAGCTTGTTCGGAAGATCCCGGTTCAGATAATCGGCGGTGGCTCTGTTCACAAACAATGGTAAAAAAATATCAACCAAAATGTGGATCGATCTGTAACATAAATAAGTTATGGGGTCTACTTATACGAAATGCTAAACTATAGGGTCTAAAATTACAATTTAAGTTGACTGTGTTCTTTCGAGTGTGTGTGTGGATAGAGAGTGAAGACAAGTCAAGTAGAAAGATGAAGTTGAAAATCGGGTCAAAAATTGAGTCGCAATTTGACTGCAATCGAGAGAAAAAACAAAGACAGATAACATTTGGTTTACCTTCTGGCGGGGAGAATCCCAGCTCCGGGACCGTAAGAGTTGCCTTTGCCGGAGCGGAGGACGTTGACGACGGCGTCTTCAGCCTCGATAGAGGTGCGGAAGCAAGGGTAGACGGAAGGATCTCCATGGCCGAGGGGCAAAACGGTCTTATTGACTTCCTTGCTGCAGTTGTCGAAGAGCATGTAGATAACGCCTCTCAGCGTTACCGTCGAGGCTTTCGCGGCCTTGTCGCTTCCACCGAACCGCCAAACCGTACCGTGACCGTTCTCCGCCTGCGTTTGCGTTTTAGGCTCTTTCGCAGTTCGAAACGCGGGGACCACAAGGTTGGCGTGTGCTTCTTCTTCGCTCATCTTCTTCTTCTTCTCTCTCTTTCTGTGTTTTTTGCTCGTTGCTCTGAGTTTCTTTTTATATGAAGAGCATCAAAAAGTATATGGAAAAAATCTGTAACGATTGAAATTTCAAAGGGCATTTGTTGAATAATATGAAGCTTTGGAATTATGGAAAATCTTGGTGAGACCTAACACCTAAACCCAAACAAAAACCACGTGCCAAATATAACATCAGGCTTAGGCTTTGTAACCGATTTAATATGGGCCTAGCCCAATTAGAATTGTTGGTAAAGGTGATTAGCATTTCAGTTTGAAATGCCAAGTTGGTTACTTTATCGCCAAGGCACGGACCAGTGGATCAATGTTTTCTGTGGTCTTCTCTAGTTGGCAGTTGCTGCGGGAAAGGAGAATGGAGAAAAATATATAATATGCTCACAACGATTTGCACATACCTTAATCACACAGAGAGTAAATATTGAAATTAATGAGTCATAGACGTAAACATGAAAGCAGGTAAACACACAAAGATCATATCTCTACTTCTTGATCCAACACATAGCTTCAAGGAACAACATGTGTCCCGGTCTTCCGTCACTGGTTCTTCTGATTATACCTCTACACTCTGGACCACCACGGGCCGTGAAGCTCATGTAGAAGATAGCATTCCTAGATTTCAGCTTCATACTTGAAGCTACATCTTCCTTTGTTCGTACCACTACTGACTTCATCTCAAATGGCAAATAAGCGCTCTGCAAAGCAAAAGTAAGTTAGTTCAATATAATATTAGCCTAACATGAACGTACGTACACATGACATGAGTGATTTATTGTCTCACCAGGTCAGTGTCCCACTCGGAAAACAATGCAAATTCAGCATAGAGTTGAAGCCATTTGTTGTCCCGCAACTCCCATTCCTTCACCTGCCAATTCAAATATTGATATCCCCTAATTTGTTTTTATAATATGCAATCAGGATCTTCCACACCATTCTTAATTAAGTACCTCATAGAACTGTAGCTTATCTCCTCCCGTAAGTGCATCGTCTTGTAGCCAGCCTGGCAAATCACCTTTGTAGTAGTCATCATCACCATCATCATCTGGGTACCATCGGTAACCTTTTTCTCCAGAATCTCCACTTCCTCCAGTGATGTGATTTAAAAAAAAAAAAAAGAATTACCAACACCTAACTCTTTGAATTATTAACATCACAATTTCTCATTTCATCTACTTAAAACGCATGAATTTTCTCTGAGAAACTCTATATAAATGGTTACCTGGTGCTCGAGGCTTTATTCTGCAAGTTGTTGTGAACATTCTCAAACGTGCTTTGTATTTGAGCACAGCATCGGTGACTCTGGTCTGGAATGTAACAACTGAATTCTTGACACAAGGATCCATGGCCTCCAATGTGATGTAGAAGTTGAAGAGGGATCCGATTTCTGCATTGACTTTCTTTACCATAATAAACTCCAAGTTTGTCCCCTACAAAGAAGAAGGGAAAGCAGAGCATCTTCTAATTCTTCAATTTCGTTTATCATCCATAAGCATAAGCGAGGGACTGACCGGGAAGGACAAATAAGTTTACCTTGTCAATGTTGTAACAATGGAGTCCGACTTTTCCGAAGAGTACGTGATAAGCACTACATCCACTGGGAACTATCCCACCAAATGGTTGACAGAATAAGTCCACATCGAATCCCTATATCAATTCCAACGATGAACAATTCTATCTTATTTAAGGGCTTGTCGTGTGTTATACTCAAACGATTAGGGTTTTAGAGAATTACACCAGACTCCATCACTTGTCGATGATACTTCTCCTCTACCACCGGATCCACCTCATCATCTTCGTCGGAATCTTCGTCGTCTACTCGAGAATAGACCGGAGTTTCGAGCTTCGGAGGTTCGTCAAGCCACATCTTGGCCTCGTCCAACATTACATCGTACATGTTTCCGCTCGCACACCAAAACCCTTTCTCACTTCGATTTAACCCTAACTCTTTCTGGCTTCTCAATTATCAAACAAGATTCCTTCACTATCAAGGTATCAACAACGTTTCTCAGAATTTGTTCTGGGAAACAATTAGTTTTGGGCTTTAAAACGATAAGGCTGTTATTAACGTCTGCTAATATGTATCATTTGTTTCCTCATGTATTTAACAGAGAAACATTTTTCCAAAAATGAAGAGCTATTAGTAAATTTGGGTTTTGTTTTGTAGTAATCGCAAATTATCTTCTGTTACACACTTGACCGGTAATAAAAAAAAACAACAAGTCTATCAGTGGAACCTAACAACGATACAAGAGATGTCGTCTTTGCTCTGCTTAGAGATTGCTTCTTCTATCAATTCCTTGGCTGCCGCTTGTGGATCTTTTATGCTTTTGATCGCGTCCACAGCTTCTTGGTTCGACATCACCTGTTTCCACATTCAGACACTTTCAAGAACTAGATTCCAGATTCAACATTGAGAGAGAGAGAGAGAGAGAGATGTGATACCTTCCAGATTCCATCACTGGCGAAAACAAGGAACTCGGTCTCATCATCGATAGCCTGGTGTGTTATGTCCGGTTCTGAGCTCAGATGTATCTTTAAGCTCTTATCACCAAACGCCCTCGCAACCGCTAGTTGTCCATCAACTCTTGGAACATCCCCTGCAAATTGCAATGCATGCAACATTTAATGATCCTCTATACAAAATAAATTAAAGAAACACTTAAGTAGGTAGTGGTGTAATTACCTGGAAAATTTGAAACAAAGCCACCACGGCTCTCAATATCGTTTTGCTCCATGCTTGGTTCATGATCAACAGAGAGCTGAGAGGCAACACCGTTCTTTGACATGACTGCACGTGAGTCTCCAACGTTAGCAACCACTAGCTTTTGCCCGTCTATCAGAATCCCTGTCACAGCCGTTGATCCTCCTTTCCCAAGTTTAAGCGACTGCTCTAATATCTGTGCATCTGTTGATATGTATGCTTTCCTTATTGCGTTTTCCGCATCACTCCAGAAATCCTTCTGCATGGAAAGAAAAACAAAAAGCGGAGAGACAAACCTTAACTTTTTTGATCCCCAAAAAGAAAAAGAATAAACAGAGTCTTTAATTTGTTCAAACATGTAATGATGACCTGTTTGAGTATGTTGTCAAAGAGATTGGTCTGCAAGTAGCTGGCCACGTCATGGCCCAAGTGACCGTCAAAGATAGCAAACAAACCCAAATCATGGCCGTCCACTTTCTTGAACTCGGACACAAGGTAGTCCTCCATGGGATGGTTTGCTTTGCCTTTCACAAAGTGGAAACCGTGCGCTATGTTCTTCCACGTCTTGCTTTTCCCTCTCCCCGTCTCTGATCCGCAGAACCCAGCCTTCAACTATTCATCCACACCAAAACATACACATAAGACTTAGTTTATACATCACGCAAGAAGAAGTACTTAAAAGGATTTTGATTCTAACCAAAAGAGCATATAATACTAAAACAGCATCAAGAGATTAGCTAGGACAAGAATCAGTCTCCAAGTTGCATCCTCGTTTTCATTAATATCATCTAACCAACAAGACATGAAAGAATCGGATCGGTCACAAATCTACTTTAGAGTTGAGTAATAGAGTATTACCTTCATCTTGTGGAGAATTTCTCTGCCTGTCATTGTGACAAGTAGTATATGGTTTATCTGTAAATTGTAAAATGAAATGTGTGAATGATTTCAAAACAGAGAGAGGAGAGAGATGTTGTTCATACTTTTATTTATGAAAATAAATGGCTGTGACGACGTGACCAGTCAGTCGGCTGATGCTGCCTTGTCTCCGCCGACGACTTTTCTTTCTTTTTCCCTCTCAACACACACACACACACACACACACCTTTGCTTTTATTTCAAGGCATATCTAAGTCAATCAATTAATATTCCATAAACAAATTCTCTCCATCTGTCCAATATTATTGCAAGCTAGATTCTCACGTTGCCGACACACACATATTCTTGCTTTCTTTTTGTTTAACATACAAAATGGTACTATTTCGTAACACATCATCGTCCAAAACCTTATATTTTTTTATTGATGTAAAAACAAATCATATCTTATTATTATTAAAACAGAAATATCTATCTGTCTTTCTTTTATCAATTTTTCTAGCTATCGTTACATCGTGTCATGACTCATGACATGTGTTGTAAGATGTAACAAAGAATAATAACAGGGAAAATTTTAATAAAATGACATTTTGAGTATGGGTTCGTGCCGTGGACCTAAGTTTATGGGCAAATAAAGGGTTTAAAAAGTAGAGTTTTGTACATAAACTCTGTAGCTTAAACTATAGAGATTAGAGACCAACCATCAATGATCCTTTCATTAACTAAAATCAACTCAAACGCGGTACTATCATAATGACTTGTCTCTCTTTCAAAACAAAAAGGTAATACAAAAATTTAAGCCCAATAATACTCGTGGGCTACAGAACCTTTGCGGTCCAGCAAGTTTTGAATTCTAAAGTTGAAAATTTTAAAACATTTTTTTTAAGTTTCACTTCCCCCTTCTCTCTCTCTTCCTCCGAGACTCTCTCTCTCAAACCTGCGAAAAACGGCAAAATGGCAATCCGATACCCAGACACCGCCGGTGAATCCGACTCCGCCGGCGACCCGCTCTTCCCTTGGCTTCTGTAACTCACATAATCCTTCCTTTTCGATGCTCTTCTAGTTGATTATGCCTAGTGTCGTAGAGTTTCTGATTTTTCATGTCTTTGGGTTTACAGGAAGATTAAAAATTCGACGGAAGATCTATTATCTGGTAGAAATTCCGGAGAATATCTGGATAAGCTTCTTCATGATTGTATCTCTACTTACAAGCAAGATGCTCAGTACCGAAATGACATTAGATTCCTCAAAATCTGGTTTCTCTATGTAAGTACAAAAAGCTTCATACTCAATCGAATTGGTTTTGTTGATTAGCTTGATTAGGTTTGAGATTGTGATATATTGAATCAATTGATGCAGAACTTAATTGTTTTGTGTCTTTTGTAGCTTGAGGGCAGGGAAGACTTTGAGAGGGTTTATAGAGAAGTTGAAGAGAAGGAGATTTGCATAGGGAATTCATTGCTGTATGAATGGTATGCCTTTTTTCTAGAGGTCAAAGGATTGTGGCAAAGAGCAAATGTCGTTTATCAGAGTGGTCTCTCAAGGTCTCTCATCTTTCTCCTAATTTGTTTACTCTAGTTTATAATTGGATTCATTGCTCTGCTGATTTTGTTAGCTATCTTTGGCAAATGCAGGAAGGCACAACCATTTAACAGGTTGAAAGAGGCTCACTCATTGTTCTTACAAAGAATCTCGAAGAGGATAAACGCTCCTCTCCTTCACAAGGTTTATCCTCTAAATAATGCAGTTTCATAGCTTTAGTTGAGAACTGAACGCAATTCTTCAATCTATATTTTGCCTTTTCTTTCTGGCAGGTTGGTGATGATGCTCAGGCTCCCGCCACTGACTTTGACAAGAGTTTTGTGAACCCTTGGGAAACATCCACTGTGAACAAATTAATTCAAAAGATAAAACCCCAGCTTGTGAAATATCAGGTAAGGCAAATGCAAAATCATGATTCAATTATAGATTGCGTAGGGGAACAGCTTATCCACTGAGTTTTATTTCTGTTTATGTTTGCAACAGGGGTACCATGCAAGCAACAAGGTTTTCTCCGGAAAAGCCAACTTGTTGTCTTCAAGAAATAAGATCACTGAGATAGGTAAACTTGTTTCATACCAATCAAGTCTTTCACGTGCATATCCACAGCTCTAATTCTATAGGCGTGTTAGAGCTCTGTGTTATGATGATTGATGAATCCTTCTTTAAAGAGTTACAATGCATTGCTCATATTAGAATTGATTCCTGTTGGCAATCTTGTACTGTTTGTATATCACTAGCGTAAAAGGAATATTGATTACTCACTTTGGACGATACGATGGTCTGTGTATAATTGCAAGGTGGAAGGAAGTACCAGATATTGGGTTGTGCTGGTAAAGGTGGTTTTGCTCAAGTGTTCAAAGCATACGTTGACTGCAATCCTGATCAAGTAGTTGCTCTAAAGGTAGGCCCTTAAATTTACAGTTAGATTGATATGCCACATAGCTCAATCGTCAGGTAGCTCACACCACGTATTGCATATACTACTAAACTGTTGACAGGTACAAAAGCCACCTTTCCCTTGGGAATTCCACATGTATCGCCAACTTGACTGCAGGATCCAAGAGAACCAAGTATGCACTCTTTGTCTCTTTCTATTAATCTTACCAGGTCACAGGATGTTTCAGTTTTCACCCTACTTATTACTCTCTCATACTATGTTAGAGAGCAAGTTTTGGATTGGCTGAGAGAGTGCACGTCTTTTCAGACTACAGTATACTTGTGTGCGATTATCAATCACACGGGACACTCCTTGTAAGGTTCTTTGGACTCTTAAATGAAATGCAACATGCTTGATGCTTGTCTTCTAATTTGCCTTATTTTTGTGTGATTCAAGGACGCCATAAACTTATATTCCGTTGCTGGCAACTCCATGGAAGAAGTTTTGTGCATGTATTACACAATAGAGATGCTCTACATGCTGGAAACTTTGCACAGTGTTGGACTCATTCATGGTGATCTCAAGCCAGACAATCTGCTGATCCGATACTCTCCGTAAGTTGCTAAATTCGACCGCAATGTAGATTACACATAAAACTTTTCTTTTTGTTTATCCATGAAGCCGTATACCTTTACATTAACAATCGTAGCAGGGACTGAGATTCCTCAATGATTAATTGCAGACAAAACCTAACGGAGACAGGCTTTCGTGAAAAAACAGGTTCATGGAGCAGTCAGGTATATACAGAATCCTTTAGACAGTGACTAATTAACTCGTTCTGATTCGTGTGTTATGATGAAAATTGACATTTCCGTAATTCAGGGTCTTTGTCTTGTCGACTGGGGTAGAGGAATAGACTTGAGCCTATTTCCTAGCACCACCGAGTTTAAAGGAGATTGCCGTACCTCAGGCTTCCGTTGCATGGAGATGAAGGAGAACAAACCTTGGAAATTTCAGGCAAGTGTCTTTTTCACTCCCTTCGTTTCAGCAACATCAGCCATTTTGTGATGAGACTTTAAACAATGCAAGTCGTTGGAAACTGTCTTGTATAGGTGGACACCTATGGACTCTGCGGAATCGTACACCTTATGCTGCACAACACCTACATGAAGGTCGAAAAGAAACAATCACGAAATGGTGGCTACATCAATATGCCGACAACTGCATTTAAAAGGTGCGCTTATTTCTCAAAAATCATTGAACCTTACATCCCTCAGTTCCTTCATGTTTTATCTCAAATCAAAAGCATTAAAAGCAGTGTTGGATATTATATATTTATGTATTGATTATGTACTAAGTCTGCTTGAGGTGTTGTTGCAGATACTGGAACGTCCTATGGAAGGAACTGTTCACGAAGCTGTTGAACAGAGGAGAGACCTGTGAAGATGACACAGAGACACTGAGGGCTATTAGAACGTCTATGGAAGAGTATGTATGCTCTGATCCTAAGCTCATGAAGCAGCTTAACGAGTTGCTTGCAAAACAACGCGTCTCTTTATGTTCTTCCTAGTAATTTGGTAATTAAGGAAACCTTTTTTGTAAAGTAATGTCTGTTTGTAGTGTGTGTGTGAAAGAGAGAAAGATGAAAACATTCAGAGACTTTTCTTGCCTTTCAAGTCGTATGTATACTCTTTGGTTATGATTTTTCTTTAGTATCCACAAATATAGCAAGTCTTATATAGTTTAAAAGATTTAGATCTGGCAAATTGATCACACCAAACTGATAACGGAAATTGAAATTGAGAATGCGAAGACTGACGTGGAAGTGAAGAAAAGAAGAGATATAGCCAACCAAACGAGGAAGTTGTTGCCATTGTTACAAAAAAAAAATATATATATATATATATATATTGTTGTTGCAGACGTTTAGGAGTTGATTAAGACCATTCTGAAATGATTTCTTACATAACAATGTTAGCAGGTGACAAGTGAATTTGTGTATATAAAGGTTGAAGGATTTTACATGAACGTTGCAAGAGAGTGGATTATCACACAATTCCGCAGATTCAATGTGTCTGCTCTGTATTGGTTGAGTCACTTGACAAGACCTGAAACCAAAGAAGCGCCCACATGTGATGTAATGAATGTTTCAAAACGGGAAGAAACCAAACCAAACCATATTAGTTTTTGTTTGGAACCAGAACAAATAATCTGTTACCTGCAATGAATATGGGGTTAGTTAATAAGATGACTGATTCCTAGTTGGAAAAGGAAGAAGCAGAGAAGATCCTCTTAAGCTGGAGGAAGTGTGCGACGACATGTTGGGCACTCCATCTTTATGTCCATCCATCTCTGCAAGCATCCCGAGTGGAACAAGTGCTCACACGGCGTTACCATGCAATCATTGCTACGGTGCCTGACATCAATCGTGGCCATGCAGATGACGCAGTCCCTGCTTCTGTTTACACCTTGATCAAATCTTCTGTAGTAGCTGTATTTCTCAGGTAGCATCTGCAAACAAACACTTGATAAAGCAACATACTCTATTGATCCAAAGAGAAAAAAAAAAAGGGTATAACAACCACCAACAAACCTTCCGAGGGATGAAGCAACGTGACCCAAAATAATGCTGAAGAAGAAGAAGAGCAGCTTGGAAGCCAATGAAGGCGCAGAGACCTAAACACCAGGCCTTGCTGGGCTCTACACGCATGAAGTTCTTGGGGCATCCAAAAACATACAAGGGTATAGCAAGCCGTGTGACCGTCATCCCTAAGATATAATACGGATGCAGAGGCTTTCTAGAGTCACGAACAACGTTTGCAATGATCTGCGGAATCCAAAAGGAGTACATGACAAGGAGGATTGGGCGCATGTAGCTGTGGAACTCGTACATAATCAATATGCCTCCAAGAAGGATTCCATCTGTGTTTTTTTGTTTTGGAAAATCATTAGGAACAAACATATGTGAGAACAACCTCAAGCAGCTTCCACCTGATGAACCAAAGAAATGATTTGACTTACAGAAGCGGCTGTAGAGGAAGGAGAGCTCACGCCTCATCGTCTCCCACCCCTCGCCACTGTTTGAAGGCCTGTTTGCTTTCCATATGGCCAACAGATATCTCATCTCAAATATCGAAAACACTACGAATTTGAAGAAGGCTGCTGTTGCAAACGCATTAAAAAGTGATTCTGCATATATAAGGAAAAGATATAGTGAGATGAGATCTCAGTTTACAGAATGATTGAGAAAAGCATTACAAGGTCAAGAAACCAATACTTCATAGGATCATTTCCATTGAAAGACATACCAACTAAAATCCCGGCTGTGAGGTGTAAAAGACATAAATAAGAATCCACGATGGCTTGCTGCCCGATCATTACAATAGAGACCTTTGCAGCACCCTTGTATACACGCAGAGTTATCCCAAATGTTACTTAGCATCATCACTCGCTTCATTAAAAGAAAAGAAAAAAAATTCAGTATAACAAACATGACATCTTACGGATTGTGTGTTACTGTGCTCCATTTGCCGGATCAACAAAAGAACCTGGAGGAACGAGACCTAAGTAGAGTAACAGGTTAAGGATCAACTAAAACAGCTGTGATGGTAAGTGTGGAAAAGAAGTTGGACCGAAGGATACAAAAGTGACCATCAACGTATAGTTGACAGCTTTGTTGTAGTAGACTTCAACGTTTATGGAGGTTGCATTGAGCAGCAAGGGCGAGAAACAATCTCCGTCATCATCTACTGCAGGACTTTCCATCAATCCTTCGATATGATAATATTCTTTTTCCCCATCTACCAAAAATAAGCAAGTAAAAATCTCCTCAAAATTTAACTAATATGGCAAGAACACAGCTAGACTCATCACTTGAACATATAGAGTTAAATGTCAGAAGGCATACATACTATTTTCACTGGAAGCGGCTTGTGATATCTGAGCTGCAATTTCGATATTACAGTGCTTCTCCATCTCATATATTGGAGCTGAAACACGACACAGTCGAAGTTAAGATGCAGCAGCAAAGTACATGATGTGGAAACACATACAGATCCAACTCACAAGTCTTGTGTTTCAAAATTCTGTCTCTTGGAGATTCTTGAAATACTTGGGAGGAAAACACTCCGAGCTGTCCGGCAGCAGAAAAGTAGACACTGGTGAGCTCTCCAGACATTTAAACGCATAGAAAGAAAGACAACAAGGAATCATCATGTGGCAAAGTGGAAGGGCATTACCAGGTGATAAGGGTTGGAGAGAAGATAATCGTCTTCTAGTCCTGACTCAGTCTTCTTCCCGCTGAAAAGCACAAAGCTCAGTACCAATACTGGATCTTGGAAAGCAATAAAAGAAAGGTAAAATACCTATAAGCAACAAGACGGAGCTGCCTAAAGGGCCAGATATAAACACCTTCCACTTTTATCTGAGCACCTCCCACATTGTGTTCATTGTCAAATACATCATGGAAAACAACCGCACCCTGTTCCCATATGAAGTTGATATAAGTTGTTTTAAGAGTAAAGCATGAGGCAGGGAGGCTATCAACTAATCAATAAAAGACAGTGATTCACTCACCTGAACATAATGCACACCAGTGATCTTGGTTGGACTTGTGACTAGCTCAACGACAGAATTACCGTTTTCTTTTCTCAAGTCTGGGAACTTTGAAGAGCTATTTACGGTATCAAGAAACTTCCAGTTGCCTGTAAAAAGACAAGAAACAAACAGGGACATATGTTATGTATGAGTTTCAGGATTAACTCTCGAAGAAAGAAGATGAACACGAATGCAAATGAAAACCTCTATATGTTCCTGTTATATTCCAGGCAGCAAACGGTCCTGCCCCGTTTTCTTCTTTTTTGCCATAGAGCCACTGCCAAAAACAATCTCAGCAAACATAACACATACAAATGGCAGGCACATTTTGGATCAATGAGGAGAGCAATTGGGAGAAAAGATCAAACCTGGTCACCCCAGGATCGAGCGGTCTCCCTTATGGGTCTCAGTCCGTGCGCTTCTTGCGAAACCGCGAGCCAAATCGATAAGCCTAAGAGGAGACCCAGTTCCAAATTAGCCGGCTTCTTCATGCCAATGGTTTTATAGGATCAGAAGCGATTCGCGTCTTCTTACAAGAATCCATCAGGACGGGCATTAAGAAGAAGCTGGAGAAAAGCATCAAATCGGAACAGATTAGCTCAAGAGAAAGTGAGAGCCCAACAAACTTGACTCAAAATTAAGGTGGGATTGCTTTGAAACCAACCCAAACAGCAACTTATGACAGATTAACAAACTCAGACATACGTATCTTCAAGTGGAATCCAACGAATTGACTAGTATTGGTATCGTACAAATGCAATTGACTTTGAAATCTTCAACAACAACAACAAAAAAAAACAGGTCGTTTGAGATTCTCTTTCGACTTTGAAAAGGAAGGTCAACGACCAAAAGTCGAAACTTGGAACTTGGAAAGGAGTTGAGTTTACTTGTCTACTTGAAGACCATCTCTCGAGCCTCTGCCCTCCGCCTCTCATGGTGATAAATTATAAATCTTCTTCTTTTTGGTTCGGTCACGTTTAAGGCAGGCATATGCCAATGTCAATTATCTCACATTTCTTACAAGACACGTTGACTCAAAATATATCTCCACATGTTTTCAAGTTCAACTATTTGGCAGCAACAAAGCAGACTAGACCGACCACTTGTGAAATGAAAACCAAACGTTTAGACCACCCAAGGACTCAGCCCTTGCTGATTTAGAAATGGGAGTAAAGCCTTTTTCACCAGTAGATTGACAGAATACAAAATTAAGGTAGTCAAATCCATTTTGAACTTGGAGTATGACTATATGAGACTACCAAACCACTTATGGTTATAGCCTGTAACCGTACACAAAGACCACCCAAGGACTCAGCCCTTGCTGATTTAGAAATGGGAGTAAAGCCTTTTTCACCAGTAGATTGACAGAATACAAAATTAAGGTAGTCAAATCCATTTTGAACTTGGAGTATGACTATATGAGACTACCAAACCACTTATGGTTATAGCCTGTAACCGTACACATAGCACTTTTTATATCATACTAGTCAGTATTAAAAATCTGTAATAATATTTCTGTAAATTAAATCAAATGTTGGTGATATACAATCTTATGTTAGAAGCAAAAATAGTTACAAAATATCTCATTTTCTGCCAGGCCAGCTGCACCAATGACCCAACCGGCTGGGATTTTCATCTCTCTTTGTACACAAAGTCTGAGCATCGGATGAATCACAGAAGAAGGAACGTTGTTGAGAGACAAACTCCGATACACTCCAAGTCGGATACTCAATATGAACACTCGCTTCCCCTGATCAAATTAATACTATCAATTACAAGTCATGACTTGCGAGACACACAATCACACCACCGTTACAGCGGCAGGATGGCCCATCCCGGCGGACATACTTCCTAACAGACCATCGTGCTTCAACATAGACACCCTGTATGGCTTCGCCGGCGGCACCCAATTCTCTGGCTCCGTCGTCTCCGAAACCGCCGCTTCCAATGAGGTTGATCGATCGCACGTGCCAAGCCACTTAGCTTGCATGTACTTGTGTTTTCTCCAAGGAGCCATATGCATTTTCTTGTCTCTCAGGCATTTCTTCCCCGCCATGCACAAGATCTTTATCAGAGATCGAAGCCTCTCGGTTTTCCCGACGTAAACCTCCGGCAACCGGCTGATTAGTCTCTTGTACTCTTCACCGCCTTTGGCAATCTCGAACTCTGCCCTGAACGATAACTCGATCACCACTCGCATATCGCCTTTCTTTGAACCCGATCGGTCCACAATCTCTATGTATTCGTGTTCCCCTGAATTTAATTAAAGAGACATACAAATATATGAGTATAGGTACTAAGATCAATTCATAGTGTAAGTAACTCGAATTAAATATATGTAACGCGATGACAAAATCCGATTGTTTTTGCTTTGTACATAAGATACAAATTAAGGAATTGGTCTGAAAAAAAAACTTGCGTAATCTTGAGGAATGATAAAGATGGGTGAATGTTTCAGAACCACCCACTAGTGATTAAATAATAATAATGATCGAGTAATAGGTGGATGTGTATATATGTACCTGCAGGGATGTCTTGAGAGCTTCTCCACTTGGATTTGGAAATGACGCAATCGTAGCCGGCCACATCTCGGAGGTGTCGAGAGATTTCGCCACGTAAGCAGCTCCGGCAACCTCCGGCCAAAGATCGCCGGCAGACGCAATGAAGACCCTTTGATTTTACTTCTTTTAATGCTTCCTTTGTCGCTTGTCTAATCTTTGTCTCTATCGAACTTGTTCTATACAGTGTCCCCTACACACGATTCCATTAACAAATTTAGATCCCAAAAAGTATAGGAAGATTCAAAATGACGAATATTAATTACAGATTTACTTTTTGAAAGAAAAAAGAAAAAAAGGTACCTGGAGAAGTTGTTCTTGTTCCTTCCAGAAAGCGATGTTCTCTTCGGAATTGCATCTGATATTTCCGCCTTCGTCGTCGTTGTCGTCGTCTTCATCTACGCCGCCGTTGAGGTTACCGGAGTCCGAGAAATCCTCAGGTGAGTGGTTTCCTTCGTCGAGAAAACCGAAGAGAACGTCGTCGGAGCTAGCCATTCCATCGAGAAATCTCAAGATGTCATCGGAATTTTGCCGATCCATGGGTTTTAAATCTTAAGAAACGGAGAGAGAATAAATGTTTTTCTGTTTTATTTTCGGGATGAAGAGAAAAAAAGAGGACAAGTTTATATAGGAAGGAGATGGGACCCATCTGAAATCAACAAAACAGGTACAAGGCGCCGCGAAACAGAGGATTGATGACGACGTGTCATGCTGTGATTGGAGGACGTGTCTGATCTGAGGGTTGAATGATTGCTCAAGACAGCTCGTTTCCATGTCAGCATGACTAATCTCTTGAGCTTTTCTTCTCAGAACATATCCGGATATGCTCTCAACAATATCCTATTAATAATAGTATAAAATATTCCCCTTAGAGCAACAAACAAAATAAAAAGAGAGGATAATTGAAAAAAAGGATTGTCCCAAAATGGGTTAATGTAAAGAGACTTTGTCAACAAGTAACAAAAAAAGGAGGACAAATGATTTAAGAAAATCGGAACAAAAAAGGTCTAAATTCCTAGGAAATTAAATAAAATTTCCATCAGATTTTCTACTCTCCATTTTATGTTTCTTAATCTTAATTCTTAAGTATATCACATTTACATATCAAACTGTGATTGGATGATGTGTCTAAATAAAAAAAATAAATGTTTGACTGTATATGTGATATATATTAAAGACAATTCCACACTTGAGAACGTTTCTATTCCAAGCAGATGTACTGGTGTCAAAATGAGTCAATTCCACACATTATTTGTTGTAATTTACTATAATATTATTAATATTACTCTTATGTGTTGATCTGGTACCGTCGTTTAATTTAAAAGATTAAATATTCATATGTTTTAAATCTATAGTCGATACAGAAATGGACAGCCGCTTAACCATCTTCTGATTAGAGATTAGAGTAGATAACAACTCTTTTCTTCTTCTTTTAACCAAAAATAAACAATTTATCTTGTTTTCATTTACACCTTACGAGTCGATATATGTTTTAATACCAAATATGTTTTCTATTTGATCTCACTTTTCTCACTTCCTATGCAACGAAATGATAAATTTGACAAACTAACTAAGTCAATTTCTGTTCCATTTCACTTTTACCCGAAATGCATATTTAAATTTATACAAAAGACATGAATCCTTTAGCACGATCGAATATGAATCATTTGATAGTTACTTGCAATGTGAATATGAACACTTGGCAATACCTTCTCTTCTTATAAAATAAAATTTGATCAATTCTACACAAGACACACATTATTGAAATACTAAGCGCTGAGATTCTTATATGATTCGATTAAAATAATTGTCCCAAGATTCACGAAAGCTCTAAACTTCGTTGAATATACTTCTTTCACACTTTCTCTAAAATAATACATTTTTTCTTACAATATCAACAAATATATAGTTGTATGCCCCATGAATAACATTTTTTGTACAAAAATAAATAATTGATGACAGTTTTTCGCAGGATATACGAACTGAAACTATTATTTTTTAATGAAAAATACATTGGAATTGAAGAAAAAAAAACAAGAAAAAAGTCAGCAACTATAAAGAAGGTGACTGTAGTTTCTTCAAATTCTGTTTTCTTCTGTCCTAATTACAAAAGGTAAACAAACTTGTGATAAAGGCAAAAAAGGGTAAAGCGCTCCGAAGCAAACTTAGTTTCTTTGCTAAAAAGGGAAAAGAAGCAAGCATAGAACATGTGTCCAAAAAACAAAGTAATAATGGTTTAAAGTGGAATTCACATGGTTGAGCATCTATCAAATCCAAAGGGAAATATAAATATAACCACATGGGCTTCGAAGAATCTGAATCCAATGACACTCAGCATGTGGCCTATTTTCTTAGAGATTGTTTTAAAAGAAAATCCGAGACAAAGATTTGGGTTTTTTCTTTGAAAACTCGAATGAGCTGCTAGATGTGCAACTTTTAGGATCTTTGTAGAACTGAATGGAACAAGCATCCTTTTTTTTCTCTTAAAAAACGTTTTACCTCAATATGGACTTAGAACAAAAGAAGGAAACAGTTTTGTTAAACTTATAAGTTTCGATATAGAATTCCTAACATGTAAACACATAAATATGTATAGTCTTAAAAACATTAATCTCATAATTGGGTTCAAATTTCACATTAGATATAATTATCTTTTGTCAACATGATACATTGTAGAATTTGTTGTCATTAGACTTAGTCCTATGGTTTTTGGTAGTAATAGAAAAATGTGTGTTGTGCACTCTTGGGAGATGGACTAGAAAAAAAGAAGGTGAATAAGGTAAGGAATGATACCAACATTTGACCGCAAAAAAGCGCCTTCCTAACTCCAAAATTCACGCTTCATTTGTCGACACGGACATGAAATCTGATTCTTACTTGCTACCTTCCGCTTCCTCTTCTTCTCATCATTCGAACAAAGCGGAAAGGAAATGTCTACGAGAAAGTAGTTGTGAATTGTGAAAGATAGATCCGTCGTGTTCCTTTTGAAGCGAGTCTGCGTGTTATTTGTCGGCACAGAGTGAGAGAGAGAGAGAGAGAGAGAGAGAGAGAGAGAGAGAGAGAGATCTGTTGCGTGGGCATTCATCAAATCTCTCCTCCTTGTGATTGTTTTTTAATTCAAAAGAAATCATCTTTGATCTGGGTTTCATTTCGTTTAATTTCAATCGAAGCTGAGATTTCCTTGTCACATTTATCGAAGAAAAGTCGAAATTTTCCAAGGGGTATCTCTCTGCTTGCATTTCTCTAAAGGTGTCATTTTTGTCTCCCATCTGGAAGAGATTTGGTGAGGAATCCGAAGAAACTGGCGACATTACAAGCGATCGTGAAATATCTGAAGCTAACAGCAGCTAGAAGAAGCATGGCTCCCAAAGGGAACGGGCCATTGGTACCAATTCTGGGCTTCCTGACGTGTGTGGCATTCATCTACCTCTCATTTGGAGATTTGTGGTCGGGTTACAACGGGGAGGCCGAGTTAGGGTTCGTGAAACGGAACGGGACGGAGTTCGTGGTTGATGGAAAGGCGCTGTATGTGAACGGGTGGAACTCGTACTGGTTCATGGACCACGCCGTGAATGATCATAGCAGACACCGTGTGGGGGCTATGCTTGAAGCTGGAGCCAAGATGGGTCTCACTGTTTGTAGGACCTGGGCCTTCAACGATGGCGGCTACAACGCTCTCCAGATCTCTCCTGGCAGATTCGATGAACGTGTCTTCAAGGTTTGCATCTTTTTTTTTCCCCAGACATATTTTAATCAGAATGCGAGCTAAGATGATACGAAACAGAACAAAAGGGCAATGCAGCATCCATTTATATCTCCCTTCCTTGCGTTTGATGATTAACTCAATGTTTATTACAATCCTGTGTAAATTGGAAGAATCTTTGCAATTTCTTGTCCTGTCTGTTGATAGTTACTCATCTAAAATGATCTCTTCTCTTCTCTTCTCTATCTCTCTTTTGGTCTCTTGTTGTTAATGAAGTTTATATATATATATAATGTGGTTAGGCCTTGGATCATGTAATCGCAGAGGCAAAGACACACGGTGTTAGGTTGCTTCTTAGCTTAGTGAATAACTTACAAGCCTATGGAGGCAAGACTCAGTACGTGAATTGGGCATGGCAAGAAGGTGTTGGTCTCAGCTCCTCCAATGACTCCTTCTTCTTTGACCCTTCTATCCGCAGATACTTCAAGAATTATCTCACCGTATGTTTTCAGTCCCCCTTGCCTCTTTTCTTCTTGTGTGTTATAGCCTTAGATCATCAGATATAGCCATAGACTCTGTAATCTTTCATGTTTATACATTTTTGGTGATGTTAAAAACTTGAAATTTACTCCCATTTCTCATTTGCCTGCCAGGTGCTACTAACCCGGAAAAACTCGATAACCGGGATCGAGTACAGAAACGACCCAACAATATTTGCATGGGAGTTGATAAACGAGCCTCGCTGCTACACTGACATCTCTGGGGATACCCTCCAAGTGAGTTTGATGGTTTCCTGCCCAATCATACTGTGTTTTGTTTTGTTGAGAAAGAAAAGTAAAAATGTGGTTTCTTTTGTGGATTCAAAGGACTGGATCAACGAAATGACAGCATTCATAAAATCGATAGACAAGAAGCATCTTCTAACCGTAGGCTTGGAAGGCTTCTACGGTCCCAAGAGCCCTAAACGGTTGACAGTTAACCCGGAACGGTGGGCCTCTGAGCTTGGCTCTGACTTTGTGCGAAACTCTCTTTCCCCAAACATTGATTTTGCCTCGGTTCATATCTACCCTGATCACTGGTAAGCCGTACGTAACTTGATTTTGCTGCTGCGTTGGAATTGCTTCTTCTGAAAAGTTTTCATTTTGGCAGGTTTCACGATAAGGGGTTTGAAGAGAAGCTAAAGTTTGTGGTGAAATGGATGCTATCTCACATTGAAGACGGGGACAAGGAACTCAAGAAGCCTGTTCTCTTCACCGAGTTTGGGCTGTCTAATCTGAACAAGGACTACGAGCCGTCGCAGCGGGACAGGTTCTACAGAACAATATTTGATGTCGTGTACAAATCAGCGGAGCGGAGGAGGTCTGGTGCAGGGACACTGGTGTGGCAGTTTCTGATACATGGCATGGAAGGCTTCAATGATGACTTTGGGATTGTGCCCTGGGAACAAGATTCCATCCAGAGATTGATGATTGAGCAATCTTGCAGATTGGCTCGGGTCGCAGGACGACATCTTCAGGACAGCAAGTCCAGAGATATGTGTTCGCACAGACCATGAGACAAGAAATACAGTTTTTTTTTTTTTTTTTTTTTGTTCTCTTTTGGGCAAATATGTATGCAAAGTTGCAAACTCAAACTCAAATCATTAAATATCATATATATATATAGAGAGAGAGATGCTAAAAAGTTTAAAGCGAAACAAAAACTCGAAACTACTAGTCCTCGGGAGCAGGAATGGCTCTGCTGGTCTTGCGCCGTTTGAGACGAAGTTTGGGGAGACGTTTCTTGGGCTTATTGGCAAGACGAAGAGCCCTTGTAGTTGTGGTGCGAACAGAACAAGGGGAAGGTGGAGAGGGCGTGGGTGGTTGGGGTCTCGTGCAGTGGCCAACGAGAGGGGTCCCTCCAGTTGCAAGGCTTTTCCAAACCCATGTTGAAGTTGCAGTATCACGCAGGGGCAGGCCTCCTGGATTGTATAGGTGCACCAAGAGAATGTTGTTCTCCTTCTCTTTTAATTGGACCAGCCCCGAAACGAAGTCTGCATTTCTGTAGAGATGTTTCGAGATTAACATGACATTTGTTGCTTCACTTTTATGGTCTACTCCCCAAAACATAACGTCCAAATACATCAAGTTGTCTGTTTCTTGGCGAGTTCCTGAAATAGATAGTATTTCAACAGTAAGTAAAGAGAGAGAGAGAGATGTTAACTAAGGTCCTGTAACTAAGTAAAGGAATTGACCTCGATGTTGAAGCTTGATATGGGCGGATTCAAACTCAGACTCTACTTGTTGGCTCTGCTGCTCAGCAGAATAAGCAGAGATGGATATGTTGCCAGTATAACCCATATTCTCCAGAGCTAATTTGATATTAGCAGAGATGGCAACAGGACCGAGACCAGCAGGGATTGGGCAACCATCCAGGTCCCAGAAGACGCCTGTCTTAGCCACTGCAAGACAAAGACGCTTCAGGTTGTGTATTGACTGAGGATTTGAAACATATAATCGTGATATAGCTTAAGCACATAGATGGACGGATCATGGATGACATGTATAGAGATAGAGAGACGGGACTTACCGGAGAATTTGCTGCTCAAGGAAGACATGACGGAGGATTAGGCGCATAACCGATGCTTTCTATTAGGGTTTACTTTAAACTTAAAACCTCAAGTCACTAGTGAGGCGGCGACTCGAGAGTTTCCTTTTCCTCCTTGTTTTTTGCTCAATTCAAATTTGTATACTAATTATCATCATCCTCCAACTTGTTATTTATTCCAACTTTGGCCCCCATCTTTTGTTTTGTGCCTTGCTGGTCTTTCATTTTCATTTGAGCAACGCATCGCCGACAAATCTAACGATGACGATGATGATGATGATGATGCCCACTCACTCTCTCAATCTCCTTCCCAAATCGCAATTGAATTTCCCCGCTTCATTCAGGTTTGATGCCTTCTCTAACTCGTCGAAGCTGTCATTTGGAGGATCCAGGAGGACTCACCGGCGACAAAACCTCAGCATCCGATCCGTTTTCACGGGAATCGTCGAAGAAATGGGCCACGTCAGGAATCTGGGAATTGCCGACCACGGCGGATTCGACCTCAAAATCGGCGCCAGGGTGGTCCTCGAGGACGTGAAGCTCGGCGACAGCATCGCCGTCAACGGGACTTGCCTTACGGTCACGGAATTCGACGCGGAGGAGTTCACCGTCGGGTTATCACCGGAGACGCTGCGTAAAACGTCGCTGGAGGAGCTGGAGAGAGGATCGCCGGTGAATCTGGAGCGTGCGCTGCAGCCGGCGAGCCGGATGGGCGGGCACGTGGTGCAGGGACACGTGGACGGGACGGGAGTGATAGTGTCGATGGAGGTGGAGGGAGATTCGCTGTGGGTGAAGGTGAAAGCGGACAAGGGTTTGCTCAAATACATAGTGCCAAAGGGATACGTGGCGGTGGATGGGACGAGCTTGACGGTGGTCGATGTCTTTGATGAAGAGAGCTGCTTCAATTTCATGATGGTTGCTTATACGCAGCAGAATGTGGTGATTCCATCCAAGAGAATTGGCCACAAAGTGAACCTCGAGGTTGATATCATGGGCAAATACGTTGAGAGGCTTCTCTCCATTGGCGGCTTCTCTATGAACATTGCTCAGGTAACTAGGAACCTCTTTTCGCTCCTTTTGCAGGAAATCATGGTCTCTACATTGACTGTGTTCTTACTTTAGGATCTCTTAGAAATTTCTTCTTGTGGGGTATATGTGTGTTCCTTGATCCTTAACCACTATGATCAGCTAAGTAATTGGAGAAGCCTGTTCCTTGTGTTGTTTAATCCGATGGAGCATTTTCGATGCATTGTATCTGGTGTTGTGATCTCTAGTCGCTATGTGTCTGCGAAACTTGTCTCTTCTGGTTAGTGGGCTGAGAAACTTGTGTTTTATGGGTTACAGGAAAAGAAGGGATGATGACCAGATGGAGACAATGGCGAGGTGAAGCTAATTTGGGACACTGGCCTCAGAGTTGTGTGTAATATGGATCTTAACCTCTGTTTCTTTATAATGATTGTAGTGAACAATCACAAGTTTAGGTGTTGTGAGAAAAGTAGATGGACCTCACCTCATTGAGTAATGATGGTCAATTCATTTGTGTAATAATCTATTGCCTTTTGTAACTTAGACTCTGTTCTTGCTTGTTGAGTGTGTCGATAATAAAAAGGAAGAAAACAAATGAGTACATAACACTAACAGACATAATATAACGTGTTCTTTACCCACCACCACCATGGAAACTGTTATGAGATGTGTTATTATAACCAATGAATTCACGACGACAAGAAGAAAAGACAGAGGACTAGGAAGGTGGAAAGAAGCGCGAGAGCTGCGGTCGAGGAGGGGATGGAGTCAGAAGTTGCGGCTGCGGATTCGGTGACATTCGTGCAGTCAAGACCTTCTTTGCCCTCTTTGCACATGTTGGCAAAGATTCCAGGAGGGTAACGACCGTAGATGTTGATGTAGCTGAACATTGTGGAGGCACAGTCGTTCTTTTCGTCGTTAAGAGCTTCTGCGAAAGGGCAAGCAAAGTCCTTGAAGGCGGAGCAACACACCTTTGCCGGATAATTTGGGCCTTTGCATCTGCTTGTTATGATTGTGTAGTTCTTGCTCGCAAAATCTTCTTTGCAAGCTGTTTCAGCAAGAAACACACACACACAAAATAAGAAAAGAGAAGATCGGCATTTGGATTAATGTGTGTCATTCAACCATTAGAAGAATTAAGATTTGGTAATCATCAATTAGGAGGAGGGGGTAATCTCTAATTACTTGTCTTTGCTTGAAGAAGAGCTCGGCTTGTGGCTCCGTGAGGATCAAATTCATCATCTGCACCTAATAAACCAGAGATCTCTTAAAGAAACTTGAAGGGTTGTTTCGTTTCCATGTAATGAACACAGAAATGGAAAACACAGACAAATAAAAAAAAAACAAATCAATCCTAAAAAGGATGCAAGAAATTACGTGAAAGGGAGAAACCAGAGAGGAGGAAAATGGGAAGAAGAGAAAGCAGACAGTAAGGAGAAATCTCCATTGTTTCTCTGTTTCCTCCTTCTCTCTCTTTTTTTGTTCGTTTATCTTTTTACTTTTCTTCCATAAATTTTTGTTTGGTACATCTGTTGTCAATGCATGTTTCTCTTTTAGTGAATCACAAAAATTACAGGAGGAGAGACAATTTCGGAAATATTAAATAACAAAACTTTGCATGATTGATAGTGTCTGAACAAATTTCCTACATTTTGTTTCGTTTTCATTTTATTCAAAGTTGAAATAAAATAAATCCTATTGAACTATAGTTAAATGGATCAGTAAATTTAATATTTTCGGAGACTCTCTGCACAAAAGTCAAAACCCTTATACTCGACTAAATTGAAATTGGATAAACGACGACGACAAAGCAGTGTAAAGCCAAATAAATGTTAAGTGTGAAGCATCTTCTTCTCCATGTTCGTCCGAAGCCAAATCGAAATCTGAGGAGCTTCCTTTTTCACTCGTCCAGGAGAAGCCAGACCGTACCGTCGGCGTTGGACCCCTATGACACTCTGCAGCGACGGGTCGCGAGGGCCGGCGATCCCTCGGCTTCGATAATCGGAGTGTTGGAAGGATGGCTCGACCAGGGGAATCTCGTCAAGACTTCGGAGCTCCACTCTATCGTCAAGATGCTCCGCAAGTTCAGCCGTTTCTCCCACGCCCTCCAGGTCTCCCATTTCTCCTCTTTCCGTTTTTGCAGTTTCACAAAGTTGCTCTCTTTTTTTTTTGTTGATTGATTGATACAAATCCTAATTTTTTTTGTTGATTGTTGTTGTTGTGGTGATGAAATGTTAGATATCAGATTGGATGAGTGAGCATAGAGTTAATGATATCTCTGAGGGAGATGTGGCGATTCGTCTTGATTTGATTGCCAAAGTTGATGGTCTGACTGAAGCTGACAAGTTTTTCGATTCGATTCCCATGGAGAGGAGGAGCTTCCATCTCTACGGGGCTCTTTTGAACTGCTACGCGAGCAAGAAGGTGCTGCACAAAGCCGAGCAAGTGTTCACGGAGATGAAGCAGCTCGGATTCCTCAGAGGTTGTCTTCCCTACAATGTGATGCTCAATCTCTACATCAGGAGCGGGAGCTACACCATGGTTGAGAAGCTTCTGCGTGAGATGGAGGATGAGAATGTGAAGCCCGACATCTTCACTGTCAACACTCGCCTCCATGCCTACTCGGTTATCTCTGATGTGGAGGGGATGGAGAAGTTTCTCACAACTTGTGAGGCCGACCAGGGACTTGAGCTCGACTGGCGCACTTACGCCGATGCAGCTAACGCCTACATCAAAGCTGGTTCAACTGAAAAGGCGTTAGAGATGCTGCGTAGGTCAGAGCACTTGCTGACTCCTCACAAGAGAAAGCAAGCCTACGAGGTTCTCATCTCCTTGTACGGCGCTGCTGGCAAGAAACAAGACGTGTACCGTCTCTGGAGCTTGTACAAGGAGCTTGACGGCTTCTACAACACGGGGTACATGAGCGTGATCAGTGCGCTCTTGAAGCTGGAGGATATCGAGGGTGTTGAGAAGATTATGGGAGAGTGGGAAGCTGGACACTCGCTGTTCGATGCCCGGATCCCGCACTTGTTAATAACGGGTTACTGCAAGAAGGGGATGATGGAGAAAGCGGAGCAAGTAGCAAAGATGGTGGTGGAGGAGACGAGCACGTGGGAGAGGTTAGCTCTCGGTTACAAGATGGCCGGTGAGATGGACAAGGCGGTTGAGAGATGGAACAAGGCGATAGAGGTGAGCCAGCCTGGTTGGAGACCACACCAGGTTGTGCTGTTGAGCTGTGTGGATTACGTAGAAGGTCAAAGAGACATGGCAGGTTTGAGAAACATATTGAGACTGCTAAGCGAGCGAGGACACATTTCATACGATCAACTACTTTACGATATGAAGGGAGCTGGTCTCGGTTGGAAGATTGTCGATGCAATGGGAATAAGTAGGTTTACATTGACGAAATAATGTTAAGATTTTACCAAATTTGGATAAATCAATCTAATCCAAATTAGTTGCGTTCCTAATATATTAATGTTAACTATATAACAAACAGAAATACAAATGATTCTGCTTCATCATATCCTCCTTAGTTAGTCTTGTCCACCACCAACGTATCCTCCTCCTCTCATTGCCTCCACCATCTTGAGGCTCAATCTGCGTTTGTCCATTACATAAGAAACTTGCTCTTCTTTGCTAAGCAGCCTGAGAATATTTGCAGCACTCTCAATGTCTCTTCGACCCTCGACATACTGAGCGCAGGCGTAAGCGGAGAGAGCCAAGCAGCCCTTTGGGTTCCAGCGGTTGTTGAGCCTCCCCTCCATGGCCTCCGCCACTCTCTTCCTCCTCTGCTCTTCTTTATCATCCTCATCCTCCACCAGCTTCTGCAACTTGTGTGTCAAACTCCCCCACTTGCTCTCCTTCTTCCCAAGCATATCCACAAGCTTCTCCGCCGCCTCCTTGAGGTGTCTCCTTTGGAGACCAAGATCGGTAGCCCCGGTATCCAACTCTTGAAGAACCTCGTGAGCCCTGTCGAGATGGCCCTTGGACGTAAAGGCCTTGATCATTTCAGAACGCGTAGAGCTGTCAAAGGATATGCCGCGCTCCTTAGCCAAGTTCCAGAGACGGTACACGTCTTCAGTCTCACCCTCGTTACAATACAGTTTCATGAGTAATCCATACATGCGTGCTCTGCTGCCGTCGTCGAGCAGATACTCAGTCCTACGCAGCAAGTCCAAACCTCTGACCCTAGATCCTACTCGCAACTGGAGGCATGCCGGGTAGAAGCAAGTGGCCCATGGTTTAATCTTCTTCCCCCACTTGTTCAAGAAGATGTGCATCCCCTCAGAGTCAGGGACGGATCCAATAGCGAAGGAAGGCAAGAGCGTGGCAAAGGCTACTCCTTGGGGAACCATGTTGTGCCTGTCCATCTCCCGCAGAAGCTTCACCACCATATCGTGATCCTCGGCCTCGAGGTAGAGAGAGAGCATGGTGTTGTAAGGATCAGAGCTGTTAGCAGCAAAGCCAAGCTCTTTCATCCTCTGAAACGTGGTCTCGGCAATGCTCAGGGAGGAGCTGCTGTTGCAGCAGTTCAAGAGAGCGCTGTGCACGTAGAAATCCCTCTTCTTCACCGGAATCGTGTCCAAGAACTTGTCCGCTTCTTCAAGACCACGGATTTTCGCAATCAGGAGGAGCCGAATCTCGAAATCTGCCGGAGACAGATTGTAAGCTTTTTCATCACTCATCCACTCGGAAATCTAGACAAGACACACCCAAACATATAACAAGGCGTTAATTTAAAAAAAAAAAAAAAAGAGAGAAATTGTTGGTGTAGTCCTCTCTTTGGAAACCTTATACAGAACTAGAACTAGAACTAACCTGGAGGGCGTGGGAGAAGCGGTTGGATTTGTGAAGCGAGGTGATGATGCTTCTGAGCTCTGCGTGTGCAGGTCGGTTTCTGCGGTCGCACCATTCACGGAGCAAAGGAGTGACGGAGGCAGTCGAGACTGGGAGGCGCTCGATCCGACGCCTGAGAGTGTCATGAGTGAGATCCGGAGAAGGAATGGTCTTGGAGAGATGAAGGAAGGAGGACCTGCATGGAAGGATCCTGAACAAGACACCGATTTGACTCTGTGGTCGGAGAAGATGTCTCATGCTCTCAACTCTCAACCCCTTTTCGCTTCTCTTCTCTTCTCTTCTGTCCTAACGAGACTTTAATATATATAATTAATATATGACGGCACACTACTTTTATACAGTCATCAATCTTTTATTTTACTTTGTATAAAAAAACGATACAGTTAAGGTCTTAGTTACGCTTGCCTCTTAACCGGTCATCAATTGAATAAAGCGAGTCCGGTTTGTGGATCGGATGAGAGAAATACAGAAAAGTTTGCATGTAATTGATTGATGATGGGTAACATGTAATCAACTTTGAGTAACAACGGTCTATATATAATCTTCTTGGTTAATTTTCGTATGTTTGTACTTGTCATCTGTTGAATTTGTATCCTTTTTTGTTTGCAATTCAAGCCCAGTCCTCTTCTCTAATCACCAACATTTTAACACAAAAATGGTCTACTGGAGATAAAAGGATTAACGTTTATACTGAGAAAAATTGCTCAATTACAGATCATAACAAATCAAAGCTCCTCTTAGGCTGTTCTTGTTCAATGAACCTGAAAATTTACACAAGAGTATAAAACAATTTATGCAGTTGGTTTAAGGGAGCACAAATATGAAATCACATAGCAGCATAAACGATGAAAGAATCAGTCATGAGGCTTCAGAATAGAGAATATCATTCACTCATTTGCTCAAAGCCAAAAATAGCTTTGATCAGGCAATGTAGGCAAAGATATTGAACATCATCACCAGCCTCTTCCAAAATTACAGAAGATATTTGATGAAAAACTAAAGCCTCAGAATACATTTTGTAAAAGATTGATCACTGTTTATTCAGACAATGTAGGCAAAATTTTGAATCGTCATAGGCCTTATATGAGAGAAAAGATGAAAAACTCGAAACCAAAAACAGGAAAACAAGGAGCAATAAGCCTCAGAGTGATTATTAAAGTGTCCATATCACTAGTAAATCAAACAATGTAGGCAAAACTTTTTCCATCATCACTGGCCTAAATGATCTAACCAAGCTCACAAAGATTAGATTGATGATACATAAGAAAGACCTTTGCTTCTTTTTTACCAAGCATATAGGTAAGAGAGCAAAGCAAACTTTGTAGCAACAAATTGTTGATCCAGCAGCATCACCAGGTTACTATTCAATGAGTTTGGATTCGATCAACAACCACAAAAATAAAATAAAATAAAACATAATCATAAAGCAGCATGTGATATAAGAAGAAGAAAAAAGCAAGTTCGAAACATCGATAGAGATAGTGAAACGCTCAGTGCCCGATTTCGTTTGTGTGGTGGTGATATTTGTTTCTCTCCGCCACCAGAAAAGAGTTTGTTCTTCATCCTCTAAAAACCCTAGAAAGGACTCTTATACGCAAATGCGACTGTGGTAATTAGGTTTGGACCAAGTCCGGTAGAGGCCCATATGTCGGCCCACTAAAGGTCAACATTATCCAGCCGACGTGAAACCCTGTTTTGGAATTGGTTCAAAAAATATCTTTTGCCACTTTCCATTAATGAGTAATGACTAATGAGAGAGGAACACGCTAGCCGAGAGATGAAGGAAGACGTATTTTTAGGAAAACGTATATCGAATTATCCGACTCTCACGAGAGAGAATATACACATATTTATAGGATAACCGAGAGATTGATGTAACAGAATCATTTAAGTAACATATTAATACAAATCTCTATAGTATATATTCAAAAAATCATCACTGATCTCATGGACATTGACGGATCTTGGCTTATCTTTCCATTTCTAATCTCAGTCATTCAATTATTGGAAATATGACTAAATTCTTGCGTGCTTGTAGATCTCATATGCATAGAAGAAGAAGAAACATCCAAATCGAAGATAAGCAAGTAATTAGGGAATTGAGAAAAGAATGAAGAGAAGAAGACAATTAATGATAAATATAAAACGAACAATTAAGAAGAAGACAAAAAGTAATATGGGGAAGAAAGAAAGAAAAAACAAGACAAAGATATAGAATTTTAGATGATGGAGGAGATGTTAATGAAGAATCAGCGACGAAGGTTCTTGACTTTGGACCATCCCTTCTTGCAAGATTTTCCGACGACTTTGATACCTTTCTTGAAGAGATGCTTCAGCTCCAGCGCCCTCATCTTCACCTGATCCTCAAAAGCTCCCATCTTCTTCTTCTTCTTCTTCCTTGGAAAGCTTCTCTCTCTCTCCTTCTTCTTTCCTTTTTTCTCTCTCTCTCTGTTCCTCGGAGGCACCAGAGATTTATGTATTAAAGTTTGTCTTGTGCCCACTTTTATCTCTCTATATAGGGCGTTTTTTTGACAGCTATAAATTTAATTTATTCTCAGAAATGTTTATTTATAGATAATAAATTACACCTAAGCTATCTCTGCTGTATTTATGCTTCTAAAATTCTTTCTCTAATTTTACGATTGCTTTAAATTAAAAATGGAACTTTTGAAATTTGGGTTTAACAAAAAAGAAAACCCAAGTATAGTAAGCAAGTAAATTTGGGTTGAATCAATGCGTCGAGTCAGCAGTCGATGTAGTTGCGGTGATTTGAGGGAAAAAGGCGAGCCAGCTGCGCAATCCTCATCACCCGGGACCCACAAGATGGACCACCTGTTGCTGCTATTGGTCTCTCTCTCTCTCTCTCTCTCTCTCTCTCTCTCTCTCTCTCTCTCTCTCCTTTTCACACTTTGCTTGCTTTTGCCTTAATCCGGATTAAAAATGCTGCTTTTGATTCTCTAATTGTGGTTAGACTGACAGGTATTGGAGAACATATCCTTCATCTTTTGTAACAGCACATTCATTAGGGATAAAGCCTTTTTCTCTTTTGCATTTGAATTAATTAAACATGTCCCTTTCGTTTCTTGTTCAAGTCAACACACTTTCATAAAACATTCTCTGTCTCTCTTAATAAAATTTTAAAGGAACAGATCAGCTGCACCTTCATACACACACACGGTTTATACGCTGTCTTGTTAACAAAGAGAGAGATAAAAAAGAGAGCAGTAAACATTATACGAGAAGACGTAAGCGTCAAGGAAGATGGCTAAGAGCGTGAGGCAAGGAAGAGAGACAAGGCATTGTACAAGGAGTGGACGAGCACCGAGGAGGCTAAGTTACCAGACCAGCTGTAAGATGCGCCAAGAACGCAGCCAATCCCAAAGAGCTGCACCAAACCCTCCCCAGACATGTGAGATGCCGCAAATACTCCAGAGCTGATCACAAGCGCTTTCTTCCACTCCATTCTCGACGCTAAGGAGCTCAACAGAAAGCGTCTGTACACTATCTCCTCTAGGATTGGAGCTACTATGCAGTAGAGAGCAAAACATCCGCTTCTCGACACCACACCGCTCCCCATTATCTTCTCCAATTCCGAGCCGTGCACAGCCTGAGATGATTTTGGCAGAGATCGAGAGCAATCAAACACATTGCTTAGCTTTCAAGTTGTATATTTGTTAGATATGCTGCTAATATGAATGATATCATCTTCAGCAGGGAATTGGTGGAGATGATAAATGATTAAATGACCTTAGAACCAAAGAGTTGATCAGCTACGAGGGAGGTGAGGAAGATAAAGCCCACAATACATGCCAAACCCAATGCTGAGCCAACCACCCAGTTTCTTCCTTCATTTGAATCATCATCATTATTAGCTTTTAGAAAGTTGATTGATTTGCAATGAGGAGGCTTGGCAGTATTCTTCAGCAGGAAGACTGTCCCTGAAAGTTCTACCATTTGGACAAGGACAAGTGATAGCACCTGCACATTCATGAATTTCAGTTGGAGAATTCAACTGCAGAATGAATCAAAAAAGACGGAAATGACTGAATTTCCCCATTTCAAAGGGAAGGAGGCTCACTTGGGTCTGAGGATCAAGATGCCTTTGGTGGAGCATCCCGGAAACCATGGACAAACCCCCAAAACTGAGAGGAATATGCAGACAGAACATGTAAAATGCCATTGTGCTCCATATCTTCTTCTCCTCCCACGGTGTCTCTGATCCCAAAATCGAAAAACCTACTTCACTCGCCAACTGTTGAATCATCCAAAACCAAATCCAACGGACATTGAGTTACTATAATATACTTTACTTTGAAACAAATAATAATGACTAGGGAAAACAAAAAAAAAGTGATTCACCTCCGTAGTTTCTTGTGAGGATTTGGTTTTGAGACAACAAGGCCGACAAGTGCTTGTGGTTGAGGAGAGACCGCGAAACTCGGAATGTCGTCGGAAATGCTCCTCAGACTCAGATGAAGACCTAGCCCCCGGAGTGAAGGAAACCCATCGGCATAGAATCATCGCACTCACCTCCCTTCATTTCATTTGAAGAAGCAAAGCCCGTGGATAAAAGCATTTCTGTGGTTTTGTGATTTTTGCTTTTTTTTTTAGTTTTTTTTCCCAACCAATAAAGAAGAAAATATCCATCTGTTAAAAAATAAAAATTAAGATTTGATTAGATTAGAATTAGATTCACACGCAGCTTTTCGATTTCGATTTCGATTTCGATTTCTCTTGTTCCACAAGTTGTCTTGGTCCTCTCTCCTCTCCCCTCTCCCCTCTTCGGTGTCTTCGTATAGGGTTGTGGGTGGGTGGAAACAGAGAAGAAGAAGAAAGATGGTGAGGATGGTGAGAAGTTGCTTACAGTCGATATTGAAGCTGGTGAATTCGGTGCTTGGGATGGTTGGGGTCGCCATGATCCTCTACGCTGTTTGGCTCATTAGGCAATGGCAAGAACAAACTGGATATCTTCCCTTCGCTGATTCTCATCACCCCGTTCCTTGGTACTCTCCTTCTTCTTCACTTGAGGTGTCAGGTGTATTGTCTATTTGTCTGTTAATCACGTTTATGGAAGATTGAAAATGTTAAGGTTGAGGAGAGGAACTATCAACAATCCATCTCTTGTGTTAAGTTATCATTGCTATCTTAAAATGTGCAGGTTCATATATGCATTTCTTGGTCTCGGGGCTTTTCTCTGTCTTGTCACTTGTGCCGGCCACATAGCTGCTGAAACCGTTAACGGATGTTGCCTTTACTTGGTCAGCTTTTCTCTAAGCTTAGTCAGTTTTCCTTTTGCTACTTTCAACCATCCTTGCTGAATCCAAATCCATTCTTGTGTGTTCGCTCAGTATATGGGATTCATCGTTTTGCTCATTATGGTTCAAGGCGGTGTGGTCGCTGATATCTTTCTAAACCGTGATTGGAAGGAGGTACGAGGCTCTCTCAATAGTCAATAGTAACGCCCAAGAACATGATCCTGATCTCTCAGAAAATTCCATTCAGGACTTTCCAGAGGATCCAAGTGGTGCTTTCCACCACTTTTCTAAGTTCATCGAGTCAAACTTCAAGATTTGCAGATGGATAGGTCTCTCTATTGTCTGCGTCCAGGTAACTATTAGCCTCTACTTCTACTCTGCTTTCTGGAATGCAAATGTTTCACATCCTTGTCTGTCTTTGGTTGTTTATTGGCATGGCAGGGTGTGTCAGTGCTGTTGGCCATGTTGCTCAAAGCTCTTGGGCCTCACCCTCATTATGACAGTGACGATGAGTACCATGTCAGCACGGTTGCACTCCTGAGGGATGCTCGCCAGCCGCCTCCATACGTTGTTGGAGAACCCTTTTACGGAGCCAAACCGGACTCTTGGACTGTTAGGATTAATGAAAGAGCGAACCGGTAAAGAGTTTGCACAACAAGAAGAAAATAGCAAAGACTCGCTCTTTCACTATGCACTCACTTTGGCTTCTTGTTGCATCCCTCTTTCTCTCCAAAGCTCCAAAGCCCAAACCATTGTCTCTTGTAAAAAAAACTTGAATACATATATGGGCATGTACTTGCATTTTAAATAAAACTATGTGATGAACTGAATGCCGACCTCTCTCATGACTCATGTCATGTGCTTCCACAAGTTCTATCTATTCCCACTCTTTAGGAACATCATTAGGAGATTTTTTAAGGAGCTTCTATGATCACTTGTTTATAACAATTTTACTTGGTCCCTCCCGGCTTTAGTCCTCCTAGATCGGTCGGATCAGATTCTGTCCCTGACCTTACTTATGTACCCGAACCGACACAGCATGGCCGTCTACTAACTACCATATCATTGCTGTAAAAAAGATTCTTATTGAGCTTTCTTTAGGTAATCGCATATTCGTTGACCAAAAGGGAAAAGAAACAAATTAATCCAACACCAATCGATAGGTATAAGCCGTATAATGGTATTTGTCCATTTGGTGAGGAATTCTTATTGCCTTGTGGGCACATGGGAGGGAGTGAATAAAGTCAAATTGTGTAAAAATGTGTAGAAAGAATAAATTGAGAATGTGATGTGAACTGTAAGATTCCTATGTGAACTGTTTTTATTGATACCCCCTCACCATCTCATGTGACTTTGCAATCTCATAAAATACAAAAACATATGTATCTTGTTGTCATTCTCAATAATACAATATATGACTTTTCCACTTTGATTAAAGCATTCCCATTTCTATAACGAATCTCGTTTCTGTTTCTATTTTATTGGGACTTGTCAATAATATCTCTCACCACTCTTTGTTAATAGTACATACACATACATATATGATTGATGACTATTAAGATATGGTCGATCACAAGGAACAAAAGTTCACTAGCATTATATTTAGTCCAACATTATAGTTTCAGCAGTTATGAAAGAAAGTTTAGCCAAAAATCTGATCATTTTATTTTATGCTACCTTCATTTACATCATCATAGATTCATAGTGATAGACGAGAAAGAAAAGAAAAAAGAAGAAGAATCTTGTTGTGCGAAAGATTTTAACGGCCGAATCTTATAATTACACAAACAATACCCCACGGGATCGTGCGGAATCGAGGCCTTAACTGTCAGTGGGGCCCTGTCAAATGGCACACTCCGTAAATGAGAAGAATGATGAACTTTGATTTGATGCAAAAGATAAATGCTTTCTCTTTCCTTTTCTTTTGCAGACATATAAAGTACATACATAACGAGATACAAATCTCATAACCTCTCTATTTAACCAGAGAAGCCTCTTTTCTCTTCTTACACTCTCACTCCACAGTCCACACACGCAAACCCGGTGGAAATGCAGCTCCTACCGACACTATGCGTCTTCTTCTTGCAGCTGCTTCGAGGAAGCGCCTCTGCCTCTCCTGCTCCTGCTTTGGCTCACCACGTGGCGGCACCTCATTGGCTCCCCGCCACCGCCACCTGGTACGGAAGTCCCGAGGGAGACGGCAGCAGCGGTACAATAATTACCAACTCCAAATATTTGGCCAAATCAAAACTAAGACATTTATTTTGAATTCAACAGTAATACAATTATAATTGAATTGTGTATTAAACGCAGGAGGAGCGTGCGGGTACGGGTCGCTGGTGGACGTGAAGCCGTTCAAGGCTCGGGTCGGAGCGGTGAGTCCGGTGCTGTTCAAGAGCGGTGAAGGCTGCGGCGCTTGCTACAAGGTGAGGTGCCTGGACAAGAGCATCTGCTCCAAGAGAGCCGTCACCATCATCGTCACCGACCAGTCGCCGTCTGGACCATCTGCTCGAGCCAACCACACTCACTTCGATCTCAGCGGCGCCGCATTTGGCCATTTGGCTATTCCCGGCCATTCCACAATCATCCGCAACCGCGGCCTCCTTTCGCTCCTCTACCTCCGGTACACCTGTTTCTTCCCTTTATCCTTTTTTGTTGGCGCCATAAATTATTACTATATAAGTAACCAACCCAACTAACACATTCTTATTAACTATGAATTGACTGCTAAATGCTAACGAACAAATGAGTAAATACATTCTTATTTTGGGAGGCGTAAACAAATAACTGTAGTAGTATTAACTTTAACGGTTTTCGATGGTCTCATAGTTTGACCGTTGACTAAATATCACTCCACAAACCACTGGATCTCTGACACACACACACACACACACTAAGTTGTAGTTGTACTTGTAGCCTTGTAGGTGTCTATATCTATGTTTAAATCTAAAAATGGATTTACAGAGAGATGATCAACTCAACTGGGTTTCATTTGTGAAACAGAACAGCATGCAAATACAAAGGGAAGAACATAGCGTTCCATGTGAACGCAGGATCAACTGATTATTGGATATCTCTTCTCATTGAGTTTGAAGACGGAGAAGGAGACATTGGCTCTATGCACATTCGTCAAGTATAATACTTGCCTTTTCCTGTTTTCTTCTTCTTCTTAATAAATAATACTAACTCATATATGCACTGCACATGAATGCAGGCGGGGTCCAAGGAGTGGATAGCGATGAAGCATATATGGGGAGCAAACTGGTGCGTCACCAGAGGACCACTCAAGGGACCATTCTCGGTCAAGCTCACCACTTTGTCCAACAACAAAACCCTCTCCGCCACTGACGTCATCCCCCAAAAATGGGTTCCCAAAGCTACTTACACCTCCCGCCTCAACTTCTCCCCTGTCCTCTCTAACCACAACTAAGCTCCCCCCATTCCTCTGTCTTCACTCTTCACCTTTTTTGTATTGTTGGGAGACAGAACCAGAGGGGGCCCCTGAACGAGCGAGTGTGAGTAAGCTTCGTTTGGATGGCAAATATTATCCAACGGCTCTCCTCCCTCTTCGTGAGTGTAGCCATCTCCAAAAGCTTGATTGTGTGACTCTACTTACTAGTTTTGGATCTGCTCTCTATGATGTAATTCCTTTTCTTATTTCCTTCTAAACCTTGTAAAAGGCTATAGCAGTATAAAAGTGTCTTTTGTGGGACATTATTATATAATAAGAGAATCTACAAAGTTGTAGTATGCAAAATCTCAATTCATCCTTACTTTTCCAACTCTCTTTCGCCTGCCCCCGGAGAACAACTTGTAATAACAACAGACAATATATGGTTCTGTCTTACGACTTACGATGGAGATGCATTCATTCTCTTACACGTTCCTAGCATACCTCAAGGAGTTAGGAGTAGTGTCTGTAAAGCGACGAAACAACTGGACCTCACCATCACGTGCATCCGTTAACTTCCATTATCTTTGATAAAGTCAGTTGGAAAATAATGTAAAAAGATGGTTCACATGGCATTCAATCACGACACCCTCACCACCACAACTATTGAATAACAACAATATTTATACCCACATCATTAAATCATAAAATAGTATGATTCATCCAACAGTCTGTATGTAATGTTCTCAAGTCTTATAAAATAATGTAATACGTGGAAGCAAAATGTTTAACGTGAACATCATCCCTGACAATATCCAAACTTTGCAGAACCAACAAAAAATAAAGAAAATTAGAAAACCAAAACAAAAGGACTAAGATTCTCTCTCCAGAATAGGCAAATGTGTGTGCCATAGACAGAAGCTTCTACGTGCACATACTTACCTCTTTGTTATTCTTTTGCCCGCATGCAGCTACTGTAACTTCAATTCCAATTTATCCCCCAACAGTAATACTAACACACCTTTCTCCTTCACTCTGCCTTGGCTCCCTCAGCCTCAGCCACAGGTTTCTCCCCCTCTCCCGAGGCAGCAGCAGCAGCAGCAGCATCCTCAGGTTTCGCTGTTTCAGAACTTGCCGCTTTAGCAGGTGAAGCAGGTTTTTCCTCTGCGGCCTTTGTCTCCGCCGCAGGTTTCCCATCTTTGGCATCTTTCCCACCTTTTGCGTCTTTGGCACCTTTGCCATCCTTGGCATCTTTACCATCTTTGGCATCTTTTGCATCTTTGGGTGGCGGTGGAGGCGGCATCATGTGGGGTGGTGGGTTTGTCTTGAGCTTCAAGAATATCTGCCTCATCCTCCCTAGATCAGTCGGCTTCCCAGGTTTAGGTCCCTGGATAACATTCACTGATGGTTTCTTGTCTGGATCTTTTTTCCCTCTCTTCTTCTCGATGTTTGGAACCTCACGCGGGATTAGCTCTGCAATTGCTTTCCAGTAATGCTTGTCAACTTCTTTGTGGAACTTCTCTTGGTTTGCCCAATACAGCTGCAAGAAAGACAAATCTCACGCAAGTTTACAAAAGACACCCAATAATCTTAAATCTGCTAAGAAATCTGATCACTGCTTTACCTTCTCCCTTTCGCGGTTATCAGTCTTGTTGGTCTCGATGGTCTTCTCCCTTTTCTCATAGAAGGCCTTCTTGAATTCCTCTGCTTCAGCTATGATCTGATTCCGCATCTCCTTCTCTTTCTTTTCCTTCTCCTCAAGGTGAATGGCGTTTTGACTGGACAAATGGGTGCCAAAATATCACTGAGAGATTCTTTCATATATGCTAAGCAAAGCAACAAAAGCATTGTGGTTCTACTCATAGCTACATGATTATTCAGCGTTGACACAGGACAAAAGAAAACCATAGCTACAACACATATGCTACAGACGCTTCTTTCTTATTTCTCGTCAGATCACAGAGACTTGCAATCAAACTCTGATCAAATAGCTTCAGTTTTTCCTCAAATACACATTACTTTCACTAAATCTCTCCCAAATGAGGAAACAATGACGTTACGACCACATTATCTACACTAGTTTTATCTGCATAATCAAAATCAAATCGATGCTTAAATGATTAAAGTCGAGAACTTTCCTACCTAAGAAGACACTAAGGATCTAGTAATCATCTACTATAGATGGTCACATAACAAGTAGAGATCTATCCCTAATTCCATAACAGGGAATGAAATGAAGGTGGAGAATAGAAAACTGACCGGCGCCACTCACGGCGTTGGAAACCCTCCTCCCGCATCTCGTTTGGATCTGGAAGGACGGGACCGTCGGAGGCGAAGATCGCGTCGCCGCCGTTTCCGTTGGCATCGTTCACGGAAGACTCGAAAGGCGAGGAGAAGTCATGGTTGGGGGAGGAAGCAGCAAAGCCGTAGCCGTTTGGGGAGGCAGGATTCTCAGATCCATAACCACCATCTCCGTTGAAGGAGGAGAAGCCATCGGATGGAGGTTGAGTCGGAGGTGGCGGGGCTTCGGAGAAGTTTTCGTAGCTCATGAAAGAATCGTCGTGTTCGGACGGAGAATGGGTCTGGGCGGGGAAATCTCCGTCGTCAAAAGTAGCCATGGAAAAGGAGCTTTTGCGATCACACAGATTCTGGTCTTGACTTAACGATCGCTGCCTCTGCTTCTGGTTTGATTCAAAAGGAAGGAAGAGAAGAAGCTTACGAAGCCTTCAACGACGCCGTTGCAGGTTTGGCGTAGATCTGAATGATTTTATTTTATTTTTCATTTCATTAGAAAAAGGGCTCGTTGACCAAAACGTGTAACCAACTCACCGAACCGATCGTTGGAACGATGTCGTTTTCCTCCGTCCTTGTAGAAACCAAAAACATTCCATTTTCGATTTGATTCGCAAAGGAGACGACAATGGCGGATCGGTTCTTCGATAACGTGATGCCGGACTTGGTGAGGGAGACGGGAAATGAATCGAGAGGAGATTCCCTCAGGAATCTTCTTGCAATGCCTTACTCGTCTCTCTCGCAGCAGCTCAAACGGTCCGCTTTGGATCTCAAAGAATCCGTAAGCTAGCGCTCTCGATTGTAAGAGACTCTGTCTTCAGCTACAATTGTAAGACTCAAATATGATAGAGCTATTGATCAAGTCTTTTTGTCCTGTAAACTATCTTTATGACTAAGACTCAGTGTGCAGCGCCAAGTTGCTCAGGAGATTATCAAGCAAGGAAGATCAATGGCGAAGAATGGAAGCTCACCGCTTATGTTTGAATGGTATGGCGAGAGGTACTGGGGTGCAGCACATGGGCTCGCTGGTATTGTGCACGTTTTGATGGATGTTGAGCTGAAGCCAGACGAGGCAGAGGATGTGAAGGGAACACTTGGGTATATGATCAAGAACCGGTTTCCAAGTGGAAATTACGCTGCTAGTGAAGAGGATAGGACAAGAGATCTTCTTGTGCATTGGTGTCATGGAGCTCCAGGGATTGCCCTCACCCTTGTCAAGGCCGCTCAGGTGATCATGTTTCTTATCAAAAAGAAAAACCAATGCTTTTAAGACATGATCCAGACTTGGTTGGTCATTGAGGAATGAAAACAAAACACACAGGTGTTTGGGGAGAGAGAGTTTATGGAAGCAGGTGCAGCCGCAGCAGAGGTGGTTTGGAAATTGGAACCGTGGATTGCTCAAGCGAGTCGGGATCTGTCACGGAATAAGTGGGAATGCATATGTTTTCCTGTCCCTATACAGAGCCACGGGAAGGAGCGACTATCTGTACCGTGCAAAAGCCTTTGCCAGCTTCCTGCTTGATAGAGCTCACAAGCTGCTCTCAAAAGGAGAAATGCATGGAGGTGATACTCCTTATTCCTTGTTTGAAGGCCTTGGGGACATGGCCTATCTCTTCCTTGGGGGCATGCTCGACCCAACTCAAGCCAGGTTCCCAGGTTACGAGCTTTAAACTTTTAAGATCCATGACATTTCCTTCTCTCTAGTCATAGAGTAGACACAAGGGGAGAGAGAGAGAGTGTGTGTGTAAAGTGCAAGCAAAATGTTGTTGTTATTGTTGTTTGGTGGTCAATCAGTTAGAGTTGATTCATGTCTAATCAAACTGTTGAGACATGTGTCTGGAAACTCTTTAACTATTACATGGTTCGACCTTTCTGTATTGCCTCCGAGTATTACATGGTTGGTTTCTTCCTAAAACAAGGAAACAACAAACAAACGAACAAACAAAAACAGAGCAGTTGTCTTGCTGGAAAAGGCATGGGTCTGTACACCATCAAAATAGAGAATCTTTTTCTCTTGTCAAACTCTGCCCTCAGAATTCAAAACTCTTGATCCTTGCGGCGCACAAGACGCTCAGCATCTCCAAGCTCGACTTCGCCCCCTTTCCTTTCCAAGCCGCCCTGAAACATCAACTCTATCTGCTCCAGCGACTTCCCGCTTGTCTCCGGGACCAGCACGTACACGAAGACAACCGATAGCGCAGACACGAGGGAGAAGACGAAGAAGGTTCCTCCGACCGTGATGGCGCGTGACACCGAGAGGAAAGACATGGCCACCAGCCCGCTGCAGACCCTGTTCCCGACCGCCCCGAGCGCCGACGCCTGTGCTCTTAGCCGTAGCGGGAAGATCTCTGACGTCAAGACCCAGCAAACAGGTCCCATCCCAATAGAGAAGAAGGCAACATTCCCACAAACAAAGACAAGCGCCAGCGATATGCCAAGCGTTCCTTGGCCGAGAAATGTGAGAGTGAAGCTTAGACTAAAGAGACACAGAGTCATTCCGATTGTGCTCACATAAAGCAGCGGTTTGCGGCCAACGCTATCGATCAGGAAGGTGGCAAAGAGTATGAACACCGTCTTTGTGACCCCAACAGCGACGGTCGCAGCGAGCAGCTTGGTCTCGTCCTGTATCCCGGCGTCTTTCAGGATCTCCGGGCTGTAGTAGACGGTGGCGTCGATTCCTGTGATCTGCTGGAAACACTGGATCCCAAATCCAACGATGAGCATTTTCCGCACAGCAGGGGTTGGGCTTAGAAGCTCGCGCCACACCGGTCTCTCCTCGCTGCCTTGTGTTTTGGCAGCCGCCAGTTGTATCTCCGCGAGCCGCTCCTCCGCTTCGTCATCTCGCTCGTTCGTTTTCATGAGCACCTCTCGTGCTCTGTCCACGTGGCCTTTGAGCACCAGCCATCTAGGCGACTCAGGGATCACGCACAGCGCAAATCCTATGAACACCGAAGGAAGAATCCCGACGGCGAGCATGATCCGCCAGCTGATATGCACGGAGAGCCCCGAGAAGGCGTAGTTGGAGACATAGCCTAGCAAGATCCCGAGGTTTATGAATATCTCAGGGAACGAAGTGAAGAAGCCTCTCGCTACGGTGGGGGATATCTCGGCGATGTAGACCGGAGCAATCATGACGCCTAGTCCGATCCCGATTCCGGCAAAAGTTCTTCCGATCATGAGAACCTCGAAGGAAGGAGCAACGGCCATGATGGCAGCGCCGGCCTGGAAGACGAGGGCAGCTAAGGCCATGGTCCATTTCCTGCCGATGGAGTCGGAGGTTCTGCCGCCGGCTAAGCTGCCGAAGAGGGAGATGATGCTGAGGCTGCCAATGAGGACTTCCGTCTGCACCTCCGTGATCTTGAGATCCTGCTGTATGAACAACACCGCACCGCTCATTACCCCAACATCTGGTGGAGGACATGAAGAAAAATAAACATCCAAGTAGAAAGAAGAAGGATCAGGATCCGATTTAAATCAGTATACGATGAAAACTCACCGTAGCCGAGAAGAACATTGTTCAAGGATGCAAAGAAGGCGCAAGCCATAACGTATTTTCTGGTTCTGCTGTTTCTGGTCTCCCCATCATCCTCACGACTTCTCTCCGCGTCGGAGTCCATTCTCTCATATTTATTCCTCTTGCTTCCGACAGAGACCGCCGGAAAACCCGAGCCACCGCCATTTACTACCGCCGGCAGATTCATCTCCCTCCGCCGACGGAGGAATAGAGCAGAGCAGAAGGCGGTTGGGAAAGAGGATTCAGACAAAGACTTTGTAAAGAAAGGCGTAGATCTCGGAAGGGCATAAGATGACCAGATCTGAGCCGGAGGAGGGAAGACGGCGATTAAAAGAAGAATGATGTGCTTTGTTTGACTAATTTTGGTGAATTTTCTATTGGTTCAGTCTAATTTTTAAAACACAAGTTGAAGAGGTAAGTCATTCATTGTCCACCTTTGTTTAGTGTGTTTACAGTAATCAAAGTCATTTAAACACTATGTTAGTACGTTTCACTAATTAAATTATATATTTTCTTCATAAGAAAAGAAAGAAAATGTGAAAGGGAGCTTTCAAAACAGCTCATCTTCTTTGCTTTTTACATTTTCTGAAACGTAAATGGTGAGTTTCACTTCCACTGGCAGCTAGCTATACCTCGGAATGAGATCTGTCGGTGGTTCTTCCAAGCTCGTTGGAATACAGAGTCAAGAACGTGGCACCAACAGAAACTCTATTATTATTTTTCCAAGCACCTCTCGCCAAACTTTCCGCTTATTCCACTTCCACACCACCACCGTAACGTTTCCGGCGTGTGATCACTGACAACGAAATAGAAAGGAGGGTAGATATGTCTTTCCGCTTTCTCTTTAATTAAAAAATAAACAAAACTTGAGAAAGACGACGAAGATGAGAGCATGGTCTTATTATTTTTTGTCCATTTCATCGAATTCCCATTTCTCGAGCAGATCCGAGTTAACTGTGTTTAAATTATGAGATTGATCGATCAATAAATCAATCACGCGAGCACGAGCACACAGATCTGGGTGGGTTTTACTTTTACGTTTACCAGTATTAGAATGAGGAGGAGAGGGTCGGATTTCCGGAGGGGAGGGCGGCGGAAGATATCGAATGTGGTGTGGTGGCTGCTCTGTGGGCTTGTCGTCATCCTCTTCATCTTCATTCTCAGCAAGGCTGGTCACATTGAACCCAGGCCTTCCATCCCCAAGGTTGATTCCAGATCTCAATCTCTCAATCTTATCCTTCTTCTTCTCTTCTGTGTTGCTTGGAATTCCTAAAATTAGAACTGTGTGGTCGATTGCAGCGCCGTTACCGTCATGAGAAATTCGCGGAGGGCATGAACATGACCGAGGAAATGCTGAGCCCAACCTCCGTTGCTCGCCAGGTGAACGACCAGATTGCTCTGGCCAAAGCCTTTGTTGTCATCGCCAAAGAAAGTAAAAACCTTCAGTTTGCGTGGGACCTCAGCGCCCAGATCCGCAACTCGCAGCTGCTTCTCTCCACTGCCGCCACCAGGAGGCATCCTCTGACGGTGCTCGAGTCTGAGCCTACTATCCGCGACATGGCTGTCCTCCTCTACCAGGCCCAGCAGCTTCACTACGACAGTGCCACCATGATCATGCGGCTCAAGGCCACCCTCCAGTCCCTCGAAGAGAAGACCTCTTCTCTCTCTGAAAAGAGCGCCAAGTACGGCCAGATTGCCGCCGAGGAAGTCCCCAAGAGTCTCTACTGCCTCGGTGTCCGTCTCACCACCGAGTGGTTTCAGAACTCAGACCTGCAGAGAAAGCTCCAGGAGAGAAGCCATGTGGCCTCCAAACTCACAGATAACGCTCTCTACCATTTCTGCGTCTTCTCTGATAACATCATTGCTACTTCCGTGGTGGTCAATTCCACTGCCCTCAACTCCAAGTCCCCTGAGAAGGTCGTGTTTCACCTGGTGACTAACGAGATCAACTATGCTGCCATGAAAGCCTGGTTCTCCATCAACATGGACAACCTCAGAGGAGTCACCGTGGATGTCCAGAAATTCGAGGATTTCAGCTGGCTCAATGCTTCCTATGTCCCGGTCCTCAAACAGCTCCAAGACTCTGAGACGCAGAGCTACTACTTCTCTGGACACAAGGACGATGGACGCACCCCCATCAAATTCAGAAACCCCAAGTACCTCTCCATGCTCAACCATCTCAGGTTTTACATCCCCCAGGTGTTTCCTGCCCTCAAGAAGGTGGTCTTCCTTGACGATGACGTCATTGTCAGGAAAGACCTCTCCGCTCTCTTTTCAATCGATCTGAACAGAAACGTCAACGGGGCTGTTGAGACGTGCATGGAGACTTTCCACCGCTACCACAAGTACTTGAACTATTCCCATCCTCTGATTCGCTCCCACTTCGATCCGGATGCCTGTGGGTGGGCCTTTGGGATGAACGTCTTTGATCTTGTTGAGTGGAGGAAGCGAAATGTGACCGGAATATACCACTACTGGCAAGAGAAGAACGTGGACCGGACCTTGTGGAAGCTCGGCACTCTGCCTCCAGGGCTTCTCACCTTCTACGGCCTAACAGAGGCACTAGAGGCTTCGTGGCACATCCTGGGATTGGGATACACCACTGTGGATGCTCGTGTCATTGACAAGGGAGCTGTTCTCCACTTCAATGGCAACTTAAAGCCCTGGTTGAAGATCGGCCTTGAGCAGTACAAACCTCTGTGGGAGAGATACGTTGATTACACTCACCCTTTTATGCAACAATGCAATTTTCATTGATATTCTTCTTAGCGACTTCTTGATAGCTCTCTACTTCCTCTTCTGAACAGACAAGCTTAAATATAGTATCTTCCACATTTGGTTTACAGAGACTTTTGTATGGCTTAGTGTATGTTGTGAATGTGAAATTCAAATTCAATGGAAGCATCAGGCAAACAGGATATGAGAAAGAAAAAGATGGTTTGCTTTATTAACTGAATAACCATTATCCCTATAATATTGGCGACTAGAGGGGGAACCAACACCAACTTATCTATTCATTTGATTTTGAAAAGTTTGTTTCAAAAAAGATTCTCTATATCTTCTTAACAAGATTTTTCCAAGCTTCCGGAGCTCTTCATTGTGTGAGTAAGAACTAATTAAGAACAACACAATGAAGAGCCGTGAGCATGAACAGGTATCCATCGAGCAACACAAAACAAGAAGAGGAAAGTCACGCGAGGTTAGTTCACGTTTTCTGTCTCCGTCTTCATCCTCTTCTCCTAACCGCAGAAACTCCACTTCCAATTCATCTACCAATAAGAGAGATGATGACTGTGAGAACAACAAGGCGCGTTTAAAAGCTCATCCCGGTCTGAAAAAGCATGATGATCGGATGACAGATGGCGCACGGCTTTCTTTCGGCTTCCCAAATCAGAGCTGTGGCCCTCAAGTTGACACAAAAGAGAATCGCAGGCCTTCACCATGGATCAGTGATGATGTCATACTTCCTGGCAGATTTTCCGTCGATGAAAGTGCTCTCTACAGGAGAAACTCTTGCTCTCTAAGTGAATACGAGTCGTCCTATAACAACGATGAATCAGATTCAGAGTCCTTTGCTTCAACTCGGATCCACAAACCTGGTATCAAGGTCTCTTCCAAATATCTGCATGATTTAAGAGAAAGACCGAGCAGAGGGTCATCGGCCAAACTAAGGTCACAAGAAGGTTCTCAGAAAACTAACAGCTTTAGGGGCATTGAGAATATGATCAAGAGGACTAATCCAGTGTCCAGGTATGGCAGCTCCATGTCTCAGTGGGCGCTCTCACCAGGAAGATCATTGGATACTCAGGCCGTTACATTTCCAACTTTAAGCCTGAAGCCTCCAAGAGGGAAAGGCGTTGGAAAACTATTCAACCTTGGCTTCGATTTCTTCAGGAGCAAGAAGAAGTCTTCTCCCTTTTCTTCACCGTTAAAACCAACGGCAAGTGACGCAGAGGCTGCTCATCAGCTGAAGCTTATGAACAATCGGTTGCTTCAATGGAGGTTTGTCAACGCTAAAGCATCTGCTGCAAACAACAACGTAGCCTCCCGAGAGAAGGTAATGATATGACCTCTACTCATGCTTGTCAGGATGATGAAAGAGAAGATGTCGATTATGAATTGCTTTTCATGAAACCTTTGCAGAGACAAGTACTCTGTACGTGGGACACTCTTACCAAGTTAAAACATTTGGTTATGCAAGAGAGAATTAAACTGCAGGAGAAAAACTTGGAGATGAAGCTGGTTCATGTGCTTCTTTCTCAGGTACTTTGCTTATCCGGTCCCGGAAATTCCAAGTCACGGAGGATGTCTTGCTTTTCTCTTTGAAGCAAGTCTAATTTATATATATCTGAAACAGGTTAAGCATCTTGAAGCATGGGAGGACATAGAAAGACAGCACTTATCATCTCTGTCCATGACCGGACAAGCCCTGCATTCTGTACTTTCCAGGCTTCCCCTAAGGGAAGGTGCACAGGTAGATCTCAGATCCTTCTCATTCTCATGCTCAGTTAGGTTTTTGTTATCCAATAGCTCGTGAGGTTTTCAGGTGAAGATAGAATCGGTTGTCACTACATTTCAGAAAGTAGAAGCAGTCACTGATGCTATCATTTCAACTGTGAAAAGTTTTGCTCCCACGGTAGGTTATGAGAGGACAAAAGTGACATGATAATTGAAACTAAGTAAGTAAGTAACCTAAGATATTCCATTAGCAGATGGAGGGTGTCGTTTTACTTGCTTCTCAACTTTCTGAAGTGGCGGCACAAGAGAAGCTGATGCTGGAGCAGAGCCATGATCTGTTGAGAAGGATATCTGAGTTAGAGGTACAAAGATTGTGTGTGCATGAACATCTCAGACCAGATATATATATTAGTATACGTTTGTGTTTCTCTGATCTTAGTGTTGGATGTAAGCAGATGCAGGAGAGGAGCTTGAAGTGCGGCTTCCTGATTCAACATAAACAGAGTTTGGATACAAAACTTGTTAAAGACTAGCAGGGACTTTGGTGTTGAAGCTTTCCGTCTACGTTTTTTAGACTCTTTTGTAGTAGAAAAGTTAGTGTAACTATTTTCATTTGAGGGCATAATAAACGGTATTTGCAGCAAAATATGCGTTTTGGTAGATTTCTGGAAGACAAGAAATAAAAGAGCAAAGGATTTTAGTTATTCCAGTTTGATGCCATTTTACATTAATGTCAAACTTATACATTCATTGATTTTTTGGAACTGAATCAGCAAATCAAATGACAGTCTCTAGTCTCTACCAAGTAGCAACACAGAGCCCAAAAACAAGGCTTTTCTCTGCCTATGTTAAAGCCTCTGACTGAAAAGGAAGGTTTCTAAGTATTGTCTGACCAAACGCATAGTACGGCGCCGTTTCATGCTGAAGCGACAAATCTTAAAATGTCCCTCTTCGGGGGGTGCCTCACTCGATCTCTCTTCACCAATCTCCTGAAAAACTTGCGGAGCCTCTCAGATCCTCGAAAACCCTAAATTACAAGGCGAAATCGATGGCGTCCTTCGCTCGCCGAGCCATGAATCTTGCTCAGATTTCATCTGCACGTGTACCTGCCTCTGTTGGCCAGCGTCGTGGTCTCGCCGGCGCCGCTGGTATTTTCATTTCTCTCTCTCTCACTCGTCATTTGGCTCGGATCTATCATCTATGATTATGATTATGATTAATATTGGGTGCGTAATTAGTCACCTCCTAACTAGTCCCTCAGATCGTCTTCTCACGAATTCCATCATCGATGAAGAAATGGGAATGTTACAATTTTTGCGAAGAAATTGAAATCTCTTTATTTGTTTTTCCGTTGAATCACTGTATCGAAAAAGGGAATCAGGAATGAACAATTGGGTGAACATTGTGCAGATCACCATGGATCTAACAAGGTTGACTTCTGGAAACAGCCCACGAACCCAGGAAACTGGAAAGAGGAGCATGTACGTCTCCGTCTTATACTAGTTTTCTCTTTTCCTTATGTATAAATTTGTGAGTTGATGAATGGTGATTCCTTCCTCTCTGCAGTTTGTGCTGATCTCGCTGTCAGGCTGGGGCTTGCTTATCTTCAGTGGATACAAGCTCTTCTCCGGTGGGAAAGAAGAGGTACGTAATAAATATACCACTCTTCTTCTTCCTCTGTTCCTCCCCTTTTGCATATCTTTCTTTTAAGGATTTTCTTTCATGGCAGAAGAAGCCTGTGGAGAGTACACAATGAGTCTCATTTGTCACCGGGAAAAAGACATGCTATGCGGGAGAGCTCGGTTTTCGTTTCAGCGCCTTGTGACTGGTCTTGTATCAAAGCCAGCTATTAGTTCTGACAACCTTTGTGTTTTATTTTGAAAATAATATGCATCACGATCATGTCTGCAATGGATAATTCTTGGCACTTCTGTGTTTCGTACTTTCAAAGCGAAAGCATTGTGATATGCTTTTGGATTCTTTTTCATTCTACTCGTCTGTTTTGGATACCCATTTTTGTCCTAGGTTTCTAGTTGCTCTCTCGTCTAATGTAATGCCGTGTGCATTCTGCTTTCTGCAACTTCCTTGGACTCTTAAAGAATCAGAACTTGCGTCTTGGTTAGATTTGCTGTTCATCTCTGGCTTTGTTTGTGTCTACCCTAGGCGGTATCTCTAGTCAGTCACATAACAGGCTATTTTGTTAAACGGAATGAAGTTTATTAATCCAAGCATGGTGCCATACAATACAAAGGTTTTGCAGAAAGTTAGGGAAATGAAGTCAAATGGGTTGGGCGTTGGCGGTGAAGTCAAGGCAAGTCTGGCAGTTGCAATCAGAGAAGCGGCAGAGGTTGCAGCCGAAGCAGACGCAGGAAGTGCAGCCTTTGCAAGACGAAGAGCGACTGCATCCTCCGTACACTTTCCTGCTCCCTCTCTCTTCCTCCTCCTCGCATGTTATCCTGCAACCATGGATTGATTAATTTATCATCATATATGAAGTAGAAACTAGAACACCCCTAAAAAGAACAAACAAAAAAAAAAACTGACTCACTTGTCGTATGGATAATCGCAACACTTCCAAGTAGGGTCAGCCAATGCATCATGGTGCATCCGGCATTCGCCTCTGCTCTTCTTTTTGAACCTCCTCTCTTTCCCGCATCTGCTGCACTCAACAAACTCATCCCGATGGTTAACATCTTTGGAGGATTTCTTCAATGTTTGGTTGTAGTATCTGAGCAGCACCGTCTTTGAAAGCGCAACTTTGTCTCCCTCTATGAACACCCACACATTGTTCCTCCAGTTTCTCGAGCTTTCTCTCTCAGAATGCTTCTCAAAGGCAGCAGGCGTTAACTTGTCTACCATCATACGATCAAAGCTGTCAATATCCTACTTTTCTGAATAAACTTGTCCAACACTTGTCTACCATGTGTCACACAAACTAATGGCAATGCATGAGACTTTCAAGAAGCATATTGCTCAACCACTGGCAGATATAAGCAGCCATATTATAGAGGCCAAGTAAGAGAACAAAAAGAAAAAACAAAGATGCAAACGCATTCCTTTCATATTTGTATACGTGAAGAAGCAAATAATGAAACATGTAGAGAAAACGACAGGCGATCTCACGCATTCACATGTAAGTAACATGCATTCATTTGAAAACCCACTTAGCTAGCTAAAAGAGAGAGAGAGAGATAGAGAGAGAGACCTTCTTTGCAAGCGGGAGTGCATTGGCAGGTTATTTGGAGGTCTCCGTCGGAGAAAACCCTAAGCCTCGCAATGGCGTCTCCGTAACGGTGGCTGGTGCAGCCACACATCACCTCCACGTAATCATCTCCCACAATGACCCCACTTATCTCTCGCAGCTCCTCCTCGCTAAACAACTCCTTCGGCCCGCATTCTCTCTCCATCTCCGATCTCTGATCTCCTCCTAATTAGTATATAACTATATATATATATTGTGGGTCTTAAAAGATGGCGATACACATTTATATAGGATTAGAGCTCTTAATACCAAAGGACAACAAGGTAATTCGACATGAGTGTAAGAGAGCAAAACCCCTCAAGGTTACAGCTTTTGCCTTTTGGAGTAAAACAAAAGAGAGAGAGAGACTCTCTGCCACAAACAGAGATGGAGATGATGGGATTGTGTTGGCCGATGCGAATTAGGTAGCCAAAGTAAAACAAGAGAGTCGTGGGGCACGAAAATTGTAAATCTTAAACTTATTATGCAAAGGTTTTTTTTGAAAAAAAAATCATTTTTGGATTTTAATAACAGATATTCATACGTAACGTACATACATAGATGTATACTTGTAATTGTGTGATTGTCCATATATGCAGTTTCTTGACAAAAAAAACAAACTAGGCTGCATGAAACGGAAACGGAAATGGATATGCCGAATCGAACGTTTTGAAAATTTTGAATATTAAAATGGTAATGTTTTGAATCTATCCTGTATCTATACTGACATTGTTAGGAAACGTGAAAAAAATGTATTTAACAAGTTTCCAAAAAGAAACGGACGGAGATTTCATGCAGCCTAAGAACACATGAAGATTGTGTATAGACTTATTTATTTTTCTAAACCCACAGTTTATATAATTTTCAAACGCTTTCTAATTCTTATTAATTTCACCCATAGAAATAGAAATAGTGATTACCTCTTCTCTTCTTTCTGACTTTTGAGCTCTCCAAGGTTTCATCAGTTTACCATTTCTGTAAAATGTTAATTAAGAATACTTTTTTTTCGGTTAGGTACTTGACACTGTGACAGTCGCATCTTTGTATATATACATGCGTGTATTTAATGCTCGGGATTTCTAATCGGTAATGTTGAATACGAGGAACAAGAGGGCAATCTGATTAAGTTCAGTTAACTTGGTAATTCCAAATTAAGAAACAGAGTATCTTGACTAAACTTATTATCCAATGCTTTGAGACCTCTTTTTACTATGAATGTATTGATGAACTTGGGTTTAGCCAGGCTTAATATCGGCATATCCACATTTTGATAATGTCCAATGTGAATCAAGGTTGTTAGAATCATGCAGCTGGTCCAACTTCTATTGTCAATGAATGTAGGCATGTTATGCTACGAACATAAGTTGGTTTTACCTCATCCATCTAATGTAACTTATTGCAAAGCCAACAAAGGGAGAAGTCAAGTCAATAATGAGCCGCACCAAACTCCACCTCATCCACGTTTATTTTCTTCATAGACTTTTGACTCTCCAATATCATCTACGATTGAATATATATTAGAAAGTTCTATGGTCTTTTCAATTTAACAAATCATATATGGAATTTGAAGGACAGAGTTGTTGTTAATTACTAAATGGTCACAACTCACAACCCCTATAAAGTATCTTCGAATCTCATACCTTAAACCAAATATAGTTAAGCAAAGATAAACCTTGTTGGTTGGGTCAGAATCTGTACTTATTTTTTAATTTATACTCGTAACAAAAATAAAGAAAAACAAAAACGAGCAAAATAAAATGAAGATGTTAAATGTGGGTTAAATAAAAGGCATATATTCCGAGAAGATGATAACATGACCAATTGAGCCTATGTATTGTTTCTGCAACCAATTTGAAAAGTAATAAATTAGAAGAAGATGTGACACAAACAAGTTCTTATATATATATATATATATATGTATCATGATGATTTGATGAGGAAATCGTTATATATGTGAGCGATCTGGTCGGCTGTGTAGTCGGTGTAATACCCTCTGCCCACAAGCAGACCTTCCTCTGTGCCAAGCTTGTCGATCAGTGTTTGAACTTCATCTCCTCCCACTTGGCTTGGATTCAACAAGTTACAGGCGACCTCTATGACTCCTTCCCCGTGCAACAGCGCCATTGTCTGCACTGAAGGCAAGCCCCCTCCTCTCTCGCTCGCCTTCCTCGCCATTCTCCGCACGTTATAGCTGCTGACCCATCCGCACCGATACAACCCCTTTGGCTTTGCTCACCCCTGCGAATGGCTTCACCGGGACCACCTCCAGCTCCAAATATCCATAGCTAAGGAATTGGCAAGGGCAGAGACTTGGTGAATGGAGGTTTGAGACGCATATGTGGTCGACCACTCCAAGGCGGGGATGGGATCCAGAATGCAGCTCGAGCAGTCTTGACCATTGCAAAGACGGCCTTCTTTGAGGGAGTCCTCAAACTTGTTGACGATGGGAGCTGGTGGAAAAGGCTTAGAGGCTCTCTCAAGGGCTGTCTTATTCCGGGATTCTGATATGTAAACCTTGCAACAACCAAGCACTTCTCTCCTCAGCATCTCCTCTCCTCTCCTCTCCTATTAGATTACAGAAATAATAATTGTGAGTGCGTTTGTTTGTAATCTATGGTGGCTAAAAGATGCGACAGCTCTCTTTAACTCTCTTTAACAGCTGTCGCATCACTATCAATTTAACTCTCTCTTTTTTTGTGTGTGTGTGTGAGGCCAGCATAAATTCACAATCACAATTCACAGGTTTAATTGAAAAAAAAAGGGACAGAGCCAATACAAATACAAATACAAAAACATACACGAAGAGGGAGGGAGATGATTGATTGATTGATTGGTGCCTAGAATTCGAGATTGGAGGATGGGTTTGGGTATCCATTGTACACCAATTGCTTCTTGGATATGCCCAGAGATGCGCAAATGATGCTGAATTTGAGACGAAGATCATCCTTGATATCGTCTTTGGTTTCGTCCTCGGGATCCAAGAGCGGCAACTTATCGAGCAGGACTTGGAAATCACTGAGATGCTTGTTGAGCTGAGGAGACCAGTGGAGACGGAGAGCACGAGAGTTCCAGAGACGAGAGCACCCCATGTAGAATCCGATGAGCTCGCCTGTCTCGAACCCAATTTTTAGACCCACATGACGAGCGTCTTCCCCACCCGACACAAGACCCGCTTCGTGACCCGCTTCGAAGCCTTGCTGTAGGTGTGTATCCTCTAGGCGCAATATACAATCCAGGAAATCTTCCTTGATTTCGGAATTCATCACCAACGAGGAAATAAGACACCAAGTAGAAACAAAACGATGATGATGAATTGATGATGCTGGAGCAGAAAACAAAACAGAGAGACTTGAAATATTACGTGTTTCAGATTTACATCCCCTCTTTTTAGGGTAAAGGAGAATGGATGGACGATTGATGGAGTGAGTTATAGGATAATAAACTAGTGGCCCAGCCCAATTGGATCCTTGCTCTTCTAGTTTTGTTAATTGGGCCAAGTAGAGATATGTCCCATTCTGCTTTCGGATTTAAATTTAACCCAGAGAGAGAGAGAGAGAGAGAGAGAGAGAGAGAGAGAGAGAGAGAGAGAGAGAGAGCATTGAATGGTGAAAGCTGTAAAAAGAGTGGAAGCAAGTGGAAGCAAGTGGTGTGAGTTTTGATTATTCATTCCTTCGTCTTGACTTTCTGCTTCTCCTATTAACTCTTCTTACCAAACTTTTGTGGTTTCATTTGCAAGGTCTCAAGAGAGAGAGAGAGAGAGAGAGAGCATTGAATGGTGAAAGCTGTAAAAAGAGTGGAAGCAAGTGGAAGCAAGTGGTGTGAGTTTTGATTATTCATTCCTTCGTCTTGACTTTCTGCTTCTCCTAACAAGATTTGCAAGGTCTCAAAATTGTAAGCAACAAGACGAGAGCTGAATAACAAGAAAAACAAAAAGGTCTTCTTCTACTACTAGAGCCTAGAGGTAGGCAATCAAGCTAACATACAATGGCAAGTAGCTCGATTCATTAGAAATTAAACCAAACAAATTAATTAAATAAAAAGATGAGAAAGAAGTTTGGTCGCTTGGTTGGTTCTTCAGTGGTAAGATTTGAGCACAGCGCCGCAGAAATGACACACGATGGCCTTCCAAGCTTTGCGGTAAAAGGGGACTCCACAAAATCTAGTGGAGGTCCTCATGTCCGCCACCACAGCTCCTCCTCCGCACCTAGAGCATATTCCGGCTGCCGGCTTCCTCCCCCTGACTTGCTTCCTCTGGTCTACAAGGAAACAGAAGATGGCCATTCTCTTTCTCTTTCTTGAATGAATGTTTTTTTGTGTGTTACGCTTCTTCTTCAGGTCTTCAAGTTAAATAGAGCAGTTTTGGGAGTTATTCAACCATGTGGATCGCCGCCGCGTGTCACATACAGATACAGTTGTCTCGCTGACTTCCTTTTCTCTCGTTGACTTTGTTTCTACATTGAATTATATAATCACCACTTGTGTTGTGTGAGCCATCTCCTTGACCATTCTCAATCACTTACTCTCAACTGCCTGATTATTTAATAATTAATACTACCAGAGGCAGAGAAGCCCATTTCCCCATTAAGTAGCCATTGACTTTCTCATTCGTATTATTATTTTTGAAAAAAGAAAACTCTAGATACCAAACTACAATTACCGCCCATTATCACCTTCAGCAAAACTACATACCCTTAGACCTTAGTAAGGTTACCCATACGTTAGCACTCACGTACGCTCTGGGGGACATTTTTATGATTTTGGGGCTCTTTGAAGATGGTTAAACAAAAAAAACAAAAGTTGAGTTACACTTTAGTTAAATGAAATAAGAGAGTTGAGTGGCGGAGTAAGTAAATTAAATTTCCCCTACAAGAGCAAGAACAAGAGGATGTGTTCTGTTTGTATGTTATATGTTCTGGGAAAGAAAAATGGGTTAAGAGTCAAAGAGCTGCCATCATTGCCCGTCTTGTTGCCTCCTGCTTCATCTCCGCTGCTTTCCCGCTCCCCCTGAAGTACATGTACACTTGCTGTCCCACCACAACACACACGTACAAACACCTTGTTAACTAACCACTTCTTCTTTTCTTTTTTAGTTTTTTACCATACAATTTTTTAATAACTGATGCATACAGAGAGAGAGAGAGAGAGAGAGGAAGGAAGGAACCTGAATAACCCAAATGCTCACAAGTGACTCCAGGCAGAAGAACGCAAACCCTATGAAGTAGAATATCTGCCCACACAAATATTTAGATTTCCCCAATATCAAAGTTGTGACACAACTTCAGTTTCAGATATTGGCTACCTAAAGCTTTCAACTTACCCCGACCAAGATATTCCCGCTCAACACATCAATCGCTGGCAATATTCCTCTGCATAATACAACATCATAGTTCCACTTTAGCTTACTCTTACAAGTTACCTCTTTCTCTTTATTCTGTTTACAAACTAACTAGTTACTTACGTCAGCGATTTTCCCTTGAAGATTATTGGTGGTGCCACCGCCGCAAACACACAGAACCCGATGTGAAACTGCATTTTTGTTTCAAGCTTTTACTCTCTCTCTCTTCCTCCTTTGGAATTTTGGATGTGTCAATGCCAACAGAAAATTCACTAAACCAAATGGAAAACTCACCAGATACGTGAAGAAAAACCACCCAAACTTCAGAGCACTATCAGTCCTGCACGCAACCAAATCAACCCACACTCACTCTCTCCTCTCCTGTAATATTTTTAAAAAACGCTAATTAAGTGGCATGGATACGCCACATACCTCATGGCACGATAAAGAGGGCGATACCACATAACATATGCTCCAGGAACCCCCGATATGAAATAGATGATAGCTAGAAACCATATTGTTGGACCTACACCCAAAGTACACGACTCTGCAGATTAGCATCATCATACTGGCTCAATCTACTTGGCAACTTTTTAACTGATCCGAGACTAACCTTCTCCCTTAATCCATGCGGTGGTAACTGCCACAATGTTCCATAACAGGCAGACCACAAGACCTGCCAAACAGAGATAGAGATTGTTTACTTGAAGAAAATCCACCTCTTTTGCAAAGTCTGCTCACCTGAGAAAAGGGAAAACACATACCAAGCAATGATGTGAATGCAACATATTGGATTCTCTGAAGATGGATGGGTATCTCATTTGAAATGTTATGATGGATGAGAGGAAAAAACGGTGGCCAGTTTTTCTCTTCTATCACAATCCCCGCTACGAAAAATGAAGATGACAACATGAGGATTTCACATGGACACAAAATGTCAGGTTTCTACAAAAGATCAAATTGACAAAGATACCCTGTGCTATAGCATCTTCTTTCCGCTTGAGTTCCTAGACAATAGCAAGACAAGATTTCAGAAGCCACAAAGATATATACAATAGAGGTTGTAGCTGCAAACCATTGAGGCCAAGCTTTTTACAGGTTAGATAAGACGAGAATGGTGACAAAGTAAATACGCTTTGGCCCACATAAGACTTACAAAAAGATGGAAACTAAGCAAAAAGAAACACCAACAGCTGACCAGTTTACGAGATTACCTGCTCCCGCCTCTTCAAATCAGCTTCTTTTGCCTGGAGTTCCTTCTCCTTAGCTTTCAGATCCTAGAAGTGGGCAAACGTCAATTCGTCTCAGGGATTATTGGGATATGTATACACTAGGTAGTAATAGAAAATACCTTTCCAGAGTCTAGAGGAATATCAACTGAGGCACCACGGTCATACGGCTCAGGGGGAAGAGGTGAAAGCTTTGAAGTCGCAGCTGGAACAGTTCCAGGATTCTGAAAGCTCAAATACAAGAAAAGAGTGTGAAGAAGAAACTAGCAGTCGTGATCTTTAAGGAGCAAGAGAGATGTTTCTTGGAAAACAAAGGCTAAACGGTGGACATCTATGAAACCTTGACAAGACTAAAGAGAAGAAAAAGTATCCGAAAAGAGACGAATTAAGCATTGAGTTAGCAAGATAATATTGGCACATCACAACTAGTCCATTTGGTGAAAATTAAAGTTGGAAAAGAAGATAATATTGGCACATCCACCATAATTTGATTGTCCTGATGCCTAGTTACCACTGAGATTCATGAACAATTAGAAGCTATCTGTGGTCGACTGAAATTAGGGAAACGATAGAATCCCTGGGTGATTTGAAAGCGTAACATTGATAATCAATGCTTAAAATTACCACAGAATGAGCGTAAAGTCGTTTCGCAATGACATTTTGACACTAGTTCGCATCTCGATTCATATGAAAGCGTAAGAGTATGCATAAATCAATCAATCGATCGACTACGTTCCTTCCTTGTGCAAATTGGATCCCCAGAGAATTAGAGTGATATAATTTGCAACCCAAAACTACTTACAACACACACACACACAAGGAATCAGAGAAACTAAGATCAGAAGAGGCAGATCTAACATTGCGATTCCACAGCAAATAATAAGATACGCACGGTTGATTGAGAACGAGAAGAAGAAGAAGAAAAGTGGAATCCGTAGATGGGAAAGAATGGCTTACCGCAAAAGGATTAACCTCGCCGTCATCAAAGGAAGTAGACTGGTAGCGAGACATTGCACCACTCGGCAGATCCAATCTGAAGATGAAGAAATTAGATTGTGGGTAAACAAATTAGATTCTGCGTTTCGAGTCGGAAAGTGTGATTAAGCAAATTGTTTGGCGCGCCCGGGGTAAGAATAAGACCGACCGACCGAGTCCCGAGCCGGTGGTTCACTAAACCAGAATTAACCCAACGTTACTAAGGAAGCAAAGACAAGACTAGAGTCACAGTATCTTATCATCAAAGTTAGATTACCGATGATTAATTTTCATTTAAAAAAAAAAAAAAAACCTCTGATAGGACAAGAACAAATAATATATGTACTGAACTTACAAGAACCAACTCGAGATTGCCAATCCTAATCCGGTAGTACAATTGGCAGTCGGCACATTGGGATTGTTGCAGATAGTTTAAAGTGTAAATCAGAGTAACTTAAAGGCCTTGAATGGGAGCATGGTTGCGGTGCGTATTTGAATGTGGTTTACAAAAACCGCTTTAACATCACCAATCATACACAATTCTACATATTTTGCGTTTTATGTATTATTAAAATAAAGTACTATTGAGGTTTTCAATTAGTCATGAATTGTAATACCGCATGTTAAAACGCATATACACATCAAGAGGTGTGGATAAAAGAAAAACGTACATAACTAGATAATTTTTTATTATTTAATAATAAGACAAAGTGCTATATATATATATATATAAATATTATATTTGTAAATAAATGATTCTTTACCTGAAACTATAATCTGTGTCCATTATTTTTTTCACGTTTAATTTTTCTTGTCCACATTTATATCATTATTATATTGTGAATCACTTGTTACTTTTTTACCACTTAAATATTTTTTTTCTGTATTTTTCTTTTTATGTTTTTGGTTACTTGGTTTAGCAATATAGTATGTATAAAAAAAAAAAATCATCTAATTAAACTTTATTATTTAATCTTTCTATTATTTTTCACTATTATTTAAAATGTAGTATTAAATTCAAAATTACTAAAATTGTTGATATATTTGTTTTTAGATTATATATATATATATATTTTATACCGCTTTTTGATTTTTTTCACCAATCAAACATTGGTTTGTACCGCTTATTCTGCATGAACCGCATTTGTTCCGCAATTTAGTTTTATCCGCACATTTTATTAATAAACCGCACCGCACTCTATATTCACTTAATCCACACAACACAAAACACTGTCACCATTCAGAGCCAAAAATAAAGACGAGGATCCCATGACTAACAAAGTTTTCCAAAGACTAAAGAGACTAGCTCCAAATACATGGTAGTCGCCTCCACTACGATGTTCTCTCTGGATTACGTCCGACAGGTCTTGAACCACTTGACATTATTGGCCTCAACTCTGGTTCCGACTGTCGCAATATTTCAGGCGTTAGGATTAGAAATCATGTGTCTATAATATGCGCTTACCTGAACGCAACGCGATATCACGTCTCGTCAGCAAAATGTGACCAGATTGAGAGAGATGGGTCCATCCATCCACGTCATGCAGCTGCGGGAAATGTAAAAAGGCCAAGTTTGGTGACCATTTGAAATGTAATGGGCCTTGTGCATACTAGAAAAGGCCCAAACGAGACCCTCTCACAGAACTGGCGGTTTCACCATCACCTTAAAAATCGTTGCCGTCACCGGTGGTGAGATGCGACTTTTCTTTCTCACAGAGATGCAATCCCGCTCCGCCCTTGTCTCCCGGATCCTTCGTCCGGCGTCGAGGTACTTCTCTTCTTCCTCTCCGGTAACCCCCGTCACCGTAACGCAATCCCCCAGGAGCCTCGAGGCTCTTCGAGCGCGGCTGGCGGATGAGTCGCCTTCCCTCACCGATTTCATCCACGGAGGAGACATTACCTATTCCGTGGAGGTCGGGACCAAGAAGAAGCCCCTCCCGAAGCCTAAATGGATGAAGGAGTCTATCCCCGGGGGCGAGAGGTACGTCCAGATCAAGAAGAAGTTGAGAGACCTTAAGCTCCATACCGTCTGCGAGGAGGCCAAGTGTCCCAACCTCGGCGAGTGCTGGTCTGGTGGCGAAACTGGAACTGCAACGGCCACCATTATGATCCTTGGGGACACCTGTACACGCGGCTGCAGGTGAATTGAATTCATCAATCATCAATCAGTGATCATCATCTCACTTTCTCCTCTTAAATTTGAATTCACCAAATTGCTTGATCATTCTCGGTTTCCATGTCAGGTTTTGCAATGTCAAGACATCGCGCACACCTCCGCCGCCTGACCCAAACGAGCCTAACAATGTGGCTGAAGCAATCGCATCCTGGGGGGTGGATTATGTGGTGATCACCAGCGTCGATCGAGATGATTTACCCGATCAGGGGAGTGGCCATTTTGCAGAAACTGTTGAGAGATTGAAAGCATTGAAGCCGGAGATGTTGATAGAAGCTCTAGGTAATACTATTATCATATATCCCTAATGCTAATGGTGTGGGAATTTGATCATCGTTTGAATCTTGTTGTTGTTGGTTTTCATGTCATCTAGTTCCTGATTTCCGTGGAGATGGTGCGTGTGTTGAGAAGGTGGCCAAGTCAGGGCTTGAGGTCTTTGCACACAACATTGAGACAGTTGAAGAGCTTCAGAGTTTTGTGCGGGATCATCGTGCTAACTTTAAGCAGTCACTGGAGGTGCTGAGGATGGCGAAGCAGCATGCGCCTTCGGGGACCCTGACAAAGACCTCAGTAATGCTGGGATGCGGAGAGACCCCTGACCAAGTCTTGAAGACTATGGAGAAAGTGAGAGCCGCAGGGGTTGACGTTATTACATTTGGGCAATATATGCGGCCCTCTAAGCGTCACATGCCGGTAGCTGAGTACGTGACCCCAGAGGCCTTTGAGAGGTATCGGCTTCTTGGCATGGAAATGGTAATGCTCCCTTCCTTTCAAGCTTTTTTTCCTCCACTAATACATTAGGGAAGAAGGCTAAATGGAAATTGGCAATACAGGGTTTCAGGTATGTCGCATCAGGGCCAATGGTGAGGTCGTCGTACAAAGCTGGAGAGTACTACATAAAGTCCATGATAGAGGCTGATCGAGTTGCTCCTCCTTCTTCCTCCCCATAGATCCACTCTCAAGATATGTGAACCCTTTCACTGTATTGATTTGTTTATTCTGCCGGTAAGCCATTCACAACAATGATGAGAACATGTATTACTCTTATTGTCCAATCTCCCATGTGTGTCTACTCTCTCTATCTCTAGTCTCTACCCTTGTCATTCATTCTGGAATGCTTCATCTTTCTCTGATATTTACTACTATGCTCTTTCCAAATGCATCTACCACTTCCGTCGAGCTCAGTTGTTGAACTTGAAACAGTAGTTGCGGGGACTATTCACTAACTTAATGACCCCTTTTTGTAATTGTAGATCGTCGAATGAAGAAACTTCAGATAATTATTTGCCCATCTTTTGTATTAGTTTTGACAAGGCTTACGCAATTCATGTGCCTTTTTTTTTATTTTATTTTTAGATTGCTGCTCATTAATTAACTATGTGATCATCGAAACCACCGTTAGGACTTGGCATGCTTTTGTCTCTCAAGGCACTCTTACTCCTTGCACACCGAAAAGCCGAGGTTTCCTTATCAATTTGTTTTAACTTTTAACTAAGATGGGACTTGTGAGAAATCCATTCTTCGATCCACCCAGACTCTTTGGTTGCTTATGTCCTGGCCAGACAGTGGCTTCCATTATCACTTTTGCATCAGCGTTTCATATAGTTATGATCGGGTTTAAAGTTTGGTCATTCATTGTCGAGATCAAGAGAATAAGCGATTTGGTTATCTTCAGTCTAGGCATCACAACTTCAACTTTGATGTTCTGCTTTGCTTTGCGTTTCTGCATCTAATCTTTTGTCATCAGTAGTATGAACTGCTGATTGTAGGAGTACACGTATCTGGAAAAACATTTGATATTACGGTATGGAAACAAATGCTTTAGACTTCCTCTGACGACATAAACTGTAATGAACATGACACAAGGTTCTCTCTTCTTTTTTCAGCAGATATAGAGAAGAGAGATGCGGGAAGAAAGAGAGATGGCAAACATACGACTCTAACATAAAGGCTAGCAAACCAGAAGGTTACATATCAAACCAAGACTCAAGACAGCAAAACAGACCCTTTCGCATCTAAGAAATGCTTATTTGTTGACTGATTGAAAAGAAAACTCAGGGTAGTGGCACGGGTGGAACTTGGCCGTTGGTTCCAGCGCCAGCTCCAGTGGTCGGGGTTGGACCTTCAAAACCGGGGTTTGGGACAAGCGTATCATCGCCACCAGGGAGTTGGGTGCGAGTTCCAGCCCCTTGTCCACCACCATATGATGGGATAGACCCACCAGTAAGGGGAGCTCCGGTGACAGGATTGTAAGGGAAGAAGGGCTTCTTACATTTGGGAGGAAGCAAGAACCTTCCGATACCGGGGATGAGAACAGTTGGTTTGGGCTCAATGGTGACAAGAAACTCTGGGTGTTTGACATCAGTTGTCTTATGGGACTTGGGAGTGTGACGCAGTCCGCTCACTTGCTCTGCAGATCCAAGCAGTAGGCAAAGAAGCACAACAGTGACTGCGGCTGCGGGTGTGAGTAGGGACGAAGCCATTTTTTTATATTGGAAAACGGTAAAGTTGAATTGGTCGTGTGTTTGTATGTTTGTTTGATCTTGTTGAGGTAAGGCGTGTGTGTGTGTGTTTATATAGTGAATTGTTGAGCTAACTGTGGAAACATTTAACGAAGGTGAGACGATATGGTTGAAAATAATAGATGCTGTGTAACAAATGGGTAGAGAATACTAGAATAGAGAGAGTGGAGTGTAGTTACTATTTAGAGAGCCTCCAAAGTTTGGTGGCAACAACGTCCATAGACACGTACGTACAACGTGCCCTTTTAAATGTTCTTTGGTAAAAGTAAAACCCTTATAAATATTACTCCAGTATTATACTTTCTACAACTTTGGTTGTTGCAGCCTGAAATGCAGCCTTATGGCCCATATATATACTACACTGGAAGAGCCCAATTAGTTCAGTGGCGGGTTCTCTCAGTTTTTGTAATCTCGTTTGTTTAAGATCTGGAACCTACTAGTGGAGGAATGAGAGCACCAACCATATGAAGAAGAAAAAACAAAGTAAAAGATGCATTTTATACGGTACCTACACATGGTCATCATGTACCCGGAGAAGCAATAAGGAAACACAAAACGGTTGAATGCATAGAATTAAGCGAAGGAGAGGCTAGCTCTTCAATCATCATCATGGGACGGGGTAGGATTTGTTGTTGCACATGCACTTATAAGCCATGGGACAAGTCTCAGCCTCTTCTATCGATGCACACACGAAGCTAACCATCACAAGACGGCATGGAGAGCATGAGCCACACGCGTGTGAGCAGTCCGGCAATCTAGACCCAGCCACCTGCACCGTGTCTGGCCTCCTCTGACGCTTCAGTGTCCCCGTCGTCGTCATTCCCTCATGATGATGACCTGGGCACGCACACAAACACGAACAAGTTAGACAGCTTGAAGATAGTGAAAGAGGTGGGGGAATTATATAAGAAGAGCGAGAGAGACTATATACCATACATACTTGGATAGGGGGGCGTTGGGAAATGCCTAATAGCAAATAGAGAGCCGAAGAAGCAAGAGATGAAAAGGACAAGGAGAAGAAGACACTTCATGATATGTTTTGTGACCAGTAAAATTTTAAATTATAAGCGTGTGTGTGTGTGTGTCTGTGTGTGTTTGTTTGTGTGTGTCATGTACGGCGGAGAAAGAAGGTGTATATATGATATGTGGATCGTTAACATAGCGTTTAGGAAATTGAAGAGGCTCACGGTAGAGTAGAGGAGAGTCACATGGAAACAAGATCGAACGTATGAAATGATATAAATTTCCATGAGATGTAGTAACTAGTAAGAGTAGAATCACAAGAATCGAAGTCTAATTAAAAACTTGAACTTCATTCGTGCTGCTTTGGCGAGTGTCATGAGCTTCCTCTGTGCAAAACTGAAATACGTACTCTTGTATGCAATCACCTTCAATTTGCCTTCTCTGGCCCTTCTTTTGTGTGACATCCATTAATGCCCCAATTAAATGTTCTTATTAAAAAGAAAAAATTGAGCATTTGTCATTTGATGAAAGAGAGAGAGAGAGCGAGATTGCTTTTTGTTATAATGACTTCGGCGAGCCTCCTTTGCGGCATTTGATCTTAGATTTAGCTTTTTGTATCGGTTTGCATTCACCTTTTAGGTATAAAGTTTAGAAAACTAAGAATTTATTTCTCTACAAAAAAGAAAATTGCAACCTTCACACCAAAATATCAATCACATCTGCGTAACTTCCAACTTGTTTTAATTTCACACTTATATTACAACCTACACAAAAATGTATATCTTTTGTTAAAAGAAGTGAGAAACTTTAGAAGCTGATAAGCCTGATATCATGTTTTCCGTTAATGTTTAAGCCTATTAATGGTCAAAGACTCAAAATAATTTGTTAAAGATAAATATTCAAATAGTATGGCATGAAACATGAAGTATTTAAATTTGCGGAAGCAGATGCCACAATTTTGTATTTGGCAGAAACTAATGGTCACAAATCACAATACAGAGCCACACCACTTTGTTCTCTCGGTGGTAAAAGGTTAAATATAAATAGATCTTGCATGGGTTGATATCGCTTTCAAGAGGGTGTATAAGGATCAGCGATGGGAGCTAAAAGTTAGTATACACATATATAAGTCTTTTTCCTCGCATTCTGAATTAGAAACTCTTGTATGAGCCATATACATATGTACTATATGATTGTACAACAAAACGATCATAGCTTTTGAAACTGACCGTATTGAACTTGTGAAAAAATTTACATGGAAGGAGTGAGTCAAGTGACTTGCATTTTTAGTCAAGTCAGTTTGTATGACTCTGTGATTTGGATGGGGACAAGTTTTGGTCATCTCCCTCCCTAACTCCCACATTCTGGTTCTCTACTGGCTAATGGTTATTCATTACCATTTTCGTCTATCAGTATCTGTATAGAGAATTTGTACTTGTTCTTATTCTTACCATACAAACAGATTGAGAAGATCAATAATAATAATAACCCAAAACTATTTTGAGATCAAGCATTAATGGCCGTTGTCTAAAAATTTAGTAATTTACATTCGTGGACGGTGGATCAAGGCAAGTAAATGGGCTTTGTTACGTAGGCCTGGAGGAATTATTGAAGAGTACAGGGAGACACGTGTCATACTTGTGACAACTCGTGGAGTTGGATAAGCCCCTTGTCCTCCCAAGTCTAAAAATCCGAAGATCCAAACCAAGCCAGCCATTGATCCTCCCATGGGTATCACTTGATTACTTCATTAAGCCATCCAATCCAAATCCAAATCCAAATCCCAAACCCAACGACAACTCTCCTTCTTCGATTTTTTCCAATGGCAGCAATCGCTTCTCTTACCTTTCCAGCGTTGGGACAATCGGACAAGATTTCCAATTTCGCGGCTGCTCGTCCTCTCGCCTCCGTCTCCGTCGTCTGCAGGAGGTTTGCTCGCCACTCTTTGACTTCTTCTCGGGCTTCCACTCCCTCTTCGAGATCTATTATTCACTGCATGTCCAATGTTACCGGTGAATTTCTCTCATTTCTTTTTGTACATTGCATTTTGACTTTATCTAGGAATTTTGTTACTAGTCTCAACTCTAGGACGCATGCGACATTGAAAATGACTCACAATTCTCTTATTTTATGTTTACTTGGTTTTCTCGGTCAGATGTGCCTCCTGTATCCGAGACAAAGTCAAATTTCCTAAAAGCTTACAAGCGACCCATCCCCAGTATCTACAACACGGTCTTGCAGGAGCTCATTGTACAGCAGCATTTGATGAGGTACAAGAGGACCTATCGTTACGACCCTGTCTTTGCCCTTGGATTTGTGACTGTGTATGATCAGCTCATGGAAGGATATCCAAGCGATGAGGATCGAGATGCCATTTTTAAAGCTTACGTAGAAGCTTTGAATGAGGATCCTACGCAATACCGGTTAGCTCTCTCACCCTCTCAGGTCTCTTAGTAGAAGCTTGTGTAAAACAATTTGTGCCTTTCTTCACCACAGCACTGATGCCCAGAAGATGGAGGAATGGGCCCGAACTCAGACTTCTGCTTCGCTGGTTGACTTTTCCACTAGGGACGGAGATGTTGAAGCACTTCTCAAGGACATCGCAGGAAGAGCTGGGAGTAAGGAAGGCTTCAGTTACAGCAGGTTCTTCGCAGTTGGCCTCTTTCGTTTGCTTGAGCTTGCAGGTGCAACTGATCCTACTGTCTTGGACAAGGTCATACTCTTTCTTTCTCTTCCATTTCTTATCTAATTTATCTTATGCCATCTCTGCATCAATCGTCAGACAGTTTTGTTTTGCTTTATCGACTACATAGACGGCATGTTTGCGTATCCCCCAAGATTAATCACATTCCTCCTCTGTGTCTCATGGAACAGCTTTGTGCATCCCTAAATATCAACAAGAAAAGCGTGGATCGGGACCTCGATGTGTATCGCAATCTGCTGTCAAAGCTTGTGCAAGCCAAGGAATTACTCAAGGAGTATGTCGAGAGGTATTGCTGCCAATCCATGTCTGACTCAGCTAATACTAATATACTATGCTTCTTGCACCATGATGAAACTTTTGGTATTTTATTAACTTTATGGATATTTTTTTTTACTCAGGGAGAAGAAGAAGCGAGTGGAAAGAGCAGCAGAATCCCAGAAAACCAACGAAACAATCTCCAAGTGTATGGGAGATAGCCTATATATTCCATCTTTCTTGGTTGAACGGAAACGCTAAAACAATCATTTGTGCTTTTCAATTTTTGTTCTTAGTAACAGCAACTACTTGGCCCAAAATATTCTAAGAACACTCGAGACATGTTGCGTGTATATGTTGCTCCGGTCCTTACATGGACAAGGTTTCTTTTTCTTTTTCTTATTCGATTCTACGAGTTTTTACACAAATAAATATCGCTTCATCTGGTATGTAGTTAGAATACATGGAATATAGTGTGACTCGTCTACCCACACGAGAAATTTGTTTAAACTTAGGTGCTACCTTCGGAGGAAATGTGACCAACCATGACCATGAGTATGAAAGTTTCTCCTCCTAGAACTAGGAGCCCTGCCTTTTTCAATATTGTGTTCAGCCTGTATCAAAATGAAACTCCAAAGGTCATATTCCCTGCTAAGGAGTTACAAAAACTCCACTTTTACTTTTAACACTTAAAAGCTTCGCCTTTTTGTCCTGGTCGCTGATGCAACACATGCACCCAAAAGAACAGAGAATAGTGCTAATATAAAACCCAGTTACATTACATAGCTATCTCATAAAAAAAATGGTACCAATTGCTGCTAGCAGCCTCCTTTATGAAAGAGTATATATAAATGTGAAGAATTTAAAAAATCAAAGAATTTGAATCAACAGTGAAAAGTTGAAAACAGCGAATAGTCTAACTAAGGTGAGAAATATCAACCTCGTCGGGAATCTTGAAGGTATCTGCAGCACCAAACTTTCTGAATTCCTCGCCTTCAGCCACTGAGTCGTCTTCATTGTCATTATCATTATCATTATCATTATCATCATACTCTTCTGTTGCATCCTGATTGCGGGGTGTTGAAGGGTCGTACATGCTTCTGGACCGGCAGTCATGAGTTGAAAGCATATTCACTTGTCCAAGATGTGAAATCTCTACCATCACAGTTTCATCATCCATTGGCAGTGGCTGTTTCCAGGGCTCTCCATCCATCCTCATGAATGTATGGTCCGCTGCACCTTTGCGAAATTCGAAGCGAATGCGGTTTGCCTAGTTACAAAAAAAAAAAAAGAGAGAGAAAGCAACTCGTTAGCTCATGTGTCTCTCTCTGTGCCTGTGTGCCTATCACTTCTTTTTGTACAATACTCACCTGGGCAAGACGTGTGCCATGTCCATTTGGAGCGAGTAGGACAAGACCGTGCCAAGCATTTCTAAACCCAACAACCTCAATGAGGCCATCATCAACGAATGGTGGAGTCAAATCTCTCTGTTGTGTCCACAAGAAAGAAATATGCTATATTATTTTACTATGGCGAAGATAAATACTGAAAATTCGAAAATGTCATGAGAATTCAAGACCTACGTCGCGTTGTTTCCTGGGATTTGGTGTACCCCAAGGATTTAGTCCTCCAGAAAAGCTGGGCAGGTTGAGACATACAATGGACCTGATGCTGTGAGAGCAGAAACAAATGTCAGGAATTGGAGTAGTTTTTACTCGAGGTCGAACAGCATATTGCTTGAAACTAGGGCATTATTTTGCCACATTTGAGATGTAATTATACCTAGTTGAGAAACCAACACAAAAATCCCAAGACTATCTAACACGTTCATCATGGACTTTTATGACAGACACTTAGACCAGTGATCCCGCAGGACCATTTCGATTGGATGAATAAACATTACCTATGGGGTATGTGGAGGTCATGCCACTGGCCATTTTTATTTGCAATCTTAACCTTTGCAAGCTGAGCTATGTTCCTACAGGGGAAGCCATAAAGCTGTTCATCACATCGTGCAAGAAAGAGCAAAATCATCTAATACAGAAATGATTTCATTATGGAGAATATATAACCACCATAGTAAGATTACATTGATTTAAATTTATAATATATTAACTCCAACCATAAGGTCTCATAGTCATAGATGCATGTTTGTATATTGCTGTTGAAGAGTATTCAAATTTGACATGGTTTAGCACACAACGAGACCCAAGCAGAAAAATGAACATATGCAGAGAATAATCATTGGTGCGAAGATTCCAATTACTGACACTAAAGCAGTATACTTAAAGCAAAGGATAAGGCTGAAGTGTTGCAGAGCATTGAAATCATTAAGGAAAATGTCAAGCTCCCAGCCAGAAACAAATAAAAATGTGAATGAGAAGTGGGAGCGGAAACTCAGAACCAGAAAACAGTGATCTGGAAAAATAAAATATTCACATCTGACTCACCGTGAAGCAGGATGGAAAAGAGAGGCACAAAACCATCCTTGCGTGCAACCAAGCTTTACATATGTACTCTGGGATTTTGAAAATGGAATGTTTATTCTTTGCTTAGTTTAACTCACAGTAAATGGATATAAAAACACTAGCAAGGAATGGGTAAGCAGACCAAAAGCACAGGGTACCTGATTAACCAGCTGATTCTTAAATTTTTCAGGGTGCAGCTTCCTCTCAGAATGAAACGCATAAGAAATTTGAGCATCCATTCCTGCAAAAGCACAATCGAACTTTCAAGGGGATTTGTCTTTGAAAATTGATAACCAAGACAAGATCATCATCGACCATAGTAACAAAGGAAAAGCACTATCAAATGATAACTCCGTCAGGGAAATCACTATTATGCTTATCCGACTCAAGGAAAATCCAGAGTTAAAGGGAAGCAGATGAGTACAAACAGAATATTCTCACCCAGGCTAAAGTAATTCCAGAATCCCCCGCGAAACGTGTGGTAACCTTCCTGGGAGAGTGAATGCATCCATATAAGAGAAATGACACAAATGAGACAGCTATTTCGTGGAATAGGTATACCATATTTAGTTCATCTGTTGGAGAAACACGGTGAAATGCATGTAGAGAATGTGGTAACTCAAGAGGTGCAAGAGGATCACAAGTGCCTTCTTTAGGAGTCTTCATCCTCATGAGTATGTGCCAACTGAAAGTAGAGAAATGTATTCACCAGTTATTCACCAACAATTGTGGAAAAAAGAGATATGTACGTACTTGTCAATCTTCATCTCTTTCGCCTTCAACACTTTATCCAAAAAGGATTCCACTGAAGTGGTATCTGTTCCGGGATTTTTCTTTCCCTGAAGAAAGCAAAAGACTCTTGTGTTAGTGATGGTAAAGAAACATACCCAAGTATAAGTATTGAGTACTGAGTGATAAGTGATGCCCACCCATCCAAAAGCAAAGGGAAGGTTATTTCCTGTACCCAAAGGTACAGTGGCGACTGGAGGAGGATGTGATAATTTAAGGTCACACACAACTCCAAGGAGCCAGCCAGCAGTTCCATCACCTCCTGCAACCTAAAGATAAGATCAAAAGGCGCTTAGAAAGAATTAGAAAGAAGGAGATTCATGTCATGTCATGTCATCATGCGTGGAGCAATAACTCACAATTATTTTTAACTTGTTCCGAATGTGACGAGCGAGATCATCATCCTTTAGCCTCTCGAGATTAAGATAGATTCTGCGGAGCACCTTATCCGGAGTCTCTTGCCCAAGATCAAACACCTGAGCAGACTCAGTGGGTTTAAGGCCAAAACAAGATGGAGATCATCATTTTCAAATTCAATTTCAGTTTCAATCTCAATACCCACCTGTTTGTCATTGAGAAGCGAGCGGTAGGTGAGGAGGAGCTCCCCACCCAACTGACCACCACTTTTGGAGTTGATGAAGACAAGCACGGGGCTCTCAGGTGGATCGGTGGGCATTGCCGGAGCCTCCGATTCGGGCGAGAGGACGTATGTAGGGATGTAGAATTCCTTGAGAAAATCTGATAAACCGCTGTATTTCTCCATTACGTCGTCGTCTGACTGTAATGGAATAAGAATGGATTCCATTAGGGATTCAGGAAAGTAAAATCATCAGATGAGTTCTCTGATCAACAAAAGGATAACATCACCGCACGTACCATTGATTGGAGAGAGCGTGGAAGAAGACGAAAAGAAGGAATCGGGATCCGAGATAGATAATGATTTAAAATGATATTCTTGTCATATAAAAGGGAAAACGTAGAAGAAGAAGAAGATTCATCCAGTTTGGAATACTTGGCGCTTTGGAGAAAAGGAGGAAAGGTCCCACGTGCGAGATTCTTGGCAGCGACGGCGCCCCCGGAGCAGCTGGCCCCCGTTTCTGACGCGGACTCAGTCGTCGTGCGCCGCGTCAGGATTGTCAAATGGGCTGGCTTTTCAATATATGGCTCGTTACCGTAGAGGCCTACGAAGCCCATTATTATTCGTGCTTCTTTCGATTTCTGGAATTTTAAATTAAGACCTCACCTCTGAAATTCCCAATTGCTTCAACACAACCTTAACCTACCAATCAACGGCATCGTTTAGTTTCCTCTCCACAGCTGTACCATTGCTAGAAATAGAGCACTTGTTATCTGTTTGTGGAGGTTATAAGGTCCAAGGGAACACATTGGCTACCATGAGAAACTCAAGAAGATAAGAAGAGACTAGAGAGACTAATAGTCTATAAATCTAGGAGATGAAAAGATATATAATATATGTTGCAAAAAGGAACAAATCTCTACTACTGTTACACATGTCATCTTTCTTGGTTCACAAGTTTACAATCGAAGTAGTATACATGTTTAATTCCCACATTGGAAATTGGTTGTTTGTTTGTAACTTTTATTGATAAACTAGTATTTTGCCCCGTGCTATGCACGGATATAGAGTTTTATAATAGTAAAATTGTTTTCAAACCTTTATAATAAAAGATAATGTTCTGAGATCAACACCATTTAGTGTTGTATTGAATATTGTGTGAAACCGAGAAGATAAAAACACAGAACTGCATAGTAAATAAGAAAGAAATATACAGAAAATGTAAAATCTAGTGAGAAAGTAAAGTTGGTTTGAAATTTTATTTTTCGAAAGAGAATACACTATCTCTTTATCTTCTCAAAACCAGAACTCATATGAATCACATAAGATAAAAATCAATTTCATCCTCGATCTACACATGCCATCACCAATCAATAAAGTTGATAGCAAAATAAATAGGTGTGGTAGGTGCAGCTTGATTCTCCAGTGATGGCTTTCTAAACATCCAACTGAATCCCAAACTCTTATGCTCAAACAGTTGATTTCTGCAATCGAAATTACACTTAAGAATAAAAGACTTTGTTAAAGTATACATCGGACTTTTGCATGTGTCTCTCTCTGCTGCAACCAATTTAAAATAGTAAATTGGTGATGGTCTTTGCAGAAAGTTGTCGTATATATATATCATAGATATGGTAATTGATTGCACAATTCATGTTTTATAAACAGATCGTAGATAAATTCCAAGCAGTTTATTTTTTCAAAGTTTAGATTAACCACATGAAAAAAAAATCCAATCTTGCTACGGATTAAGAACATAGAAAGAGAGTTTTGTAGTCACCGCTTGGTGCTTCGAGAATCCTGAGTCAAAGGAGCGAGTCGGCGAGTCAAACCGGCGAGGAAGTCTTCTTCGTCGTCACTGCTCTCATCTTCCGTCTCTGTGGAGTCTCCTGGAGAGGTGAAACCAGGGGAAAAAGAGGGTGAATCGAATTCGTAAGGGAACTCGATCGGGAAACCTTGTCATATTATTTCGCTCATCGTTAGGAAAAGTAGAGAAAAATTATATTATTTGCAGTTGAGGAGAAAAATTAGACGGTGATGTATACATCAATATAAGCAAAAATCTTCAAAATTAGATCAATTTTGCTCAATTTCCAGTAATATTTAAACAGAATAATCGAAAACCAGAGATCATGGAAATATGTGGTTACCTGTTTTTTTAAAGTGAGGAAGGGGAAAGTTCAAGTGAGTCTGAGTCTGTAAATGCCCATCCACGCACAAGAATCATCAAAGCTTGGTCTCCAACTCTGCACACAGAAATTTCAGATTCAACTATTCCGGCGGATGGAAGAAGAAGAAAAAATTCAGAGATACCTGATTTAAGAAGAAGAAACTTGATTCATGGATTTGTTTCTCACAGATTTTGATTTTGAAAGGAGGAAAAGGAGGAAGATGAATTTGGAGATCTAGAAAAACAAAACAAAGTAATTGAAGATGAATAGATTTAGGTGGTTTTTTATTTTTAGCACATGGATTTCATAGTTTTAGCAGTGGCTTTAGATCGTGATGTAGCAGTTTCTTTAGATTGTGGTCTAGAAAAATGAATTTTCAGAAAGAAAAAGTTAGAAAAAAAAACAATTGAAAAAAACAACGAAAAAAATAAAATTAAAAATTAAAAAGAATAAATGAAAAGGACACGTGTCGAATGAAGAAGCCATTATGTGACTTTTGCTTTATTAGTATTAGATACCATACAAAGTTGCTCCGAACAAAATGGATTCATAAACGTTTTTTGTGGATAAAAACAGACTAAATAATTTTGTCAACAATATTTTCTTACCAAGTTAATAACATATAATTATTATTTTTCACTATTTTTGATTTTTGGGTTAAGAGTTCAGATATTTGAGTAGATTTTGGGAAATGAATGAATGCAATGTGTCTAAAGTGATATTAAATTGATCCAACAATTTTTCAGTGTAAAATAGTGTCAAAGAAAGTCAAATAAAATACTATTTCAATTTTTTCAAAATTTGGCGAAATCCAAAGGGGTTAGCCCACAAATTCTGAGAAAATTGATGCATTTTGAGGTTTTTGTAAACAAATGAATGTAGTGTGTCTAAAGTTATATTAAATTGATCCAACCATTTCCAATGTAAAATAGTGTCCAAGAAAGCCAAATAAAACACTATTTTATTTTTTTCAAAATTTGGAAAAACTCAAAGGGGTTAGCCCACAAATTCTAGAAAATTGATGCATTTTGAGGTTTTTGTAAATTAATGAATGAATGTGTCTAAAGTGATATTAAATTGATCCAACCATTTTCCAGTGTAAAAGAGTGTCCAAGAAAGCCAAATAAAACACTATTTCAATTTTTTCAAAATTTGGAAAAACTCAAAGGGGTTAGCCCACAAATTCTGAGAAAATTGATGCATTTTGAGGTTTTTGTAAATTAATGAATGAATGTGTCTAAAGTGATATTAAATTGATCCAACCATTTTCCAGTGTAAAAGAGTGTCCAAGAAAGCCAAATAAAACACTATTTCAATTTTTTCAAAATTTGGAAAATCAAAGGGGTTAGCCCATAAATTCTGAGAAAATTGATGCATTTTGAGGTTTTTGTAAATTAATGAATGAATGTGTCTAAAGTGATATTAAATTGATCCAACCATTTTCCAGTGTAAAAAGTGTCCAAGAAAGCCAAATAAAACACTATTTCAATTTTTTCAAAATTTGGAAAATCCAAAGGGGTTAGCCCACAAATTCTGAGAAAATTGATGCATTTTGAGGTTTTTGTAAAAAATGAATGAATATGTCTAAAGTGATATTAAATTGATCCAACCATTTTCCAGTGTAAAATAATGTCCAAGAAAGCCAAATAAAACACTATTTCAATTTTTTTCAAAATTTGGAAAATCAAAGGGGTTAGCCCACAAATTATGAGAAAATTGATGCATTTTGAGTTTTTGTAAATAATGAATGAATGTGTTAAAGTGATATTAAATTGATCCAACATTTTCCAGTGTAAAATAGTGTCCAAGAAAGCCAAATAAAATACTATTTCATTTTTTTCAAAATTTGGAAAAACTCAAAGGGGTTAGCCCACAAATTCTGAGAAAATTGATGCATTTTGAGGTTTTTGTAAATTAATGAATGAATGTGTCTAAAGTGATATTAAATTGATCCAACCATTTTCCAGTGTAAAAGAGTGTCCAAGAAAGCCAAACACTATTTCAATTTTTTCAAAATTTGGAAAATCAAAGGGGTTAACCCACAAATTTGAGAAAATTGATGCATTTTGAGGTTTTTGTAAATTAATGAATGAATGTGTCTAAGTGATATTAAATTGATCCAACCATTTTCCAGTGTAAAAGAGTGTCCAAGAAAGCCAAATAAAACACTATTTCATTTTTTTCAAAATTTGGAAAAACTCAAAGGGGTTAGCCACAAATTCTGAGAAAATTGATGCATTTTGAGGTTTTTGTAAATTAATGAATGAATGTGTCTAAAGTGATATTAAATTGATCCAACCATTTTCCAGTGTAAAAGAGTGTCCAAGAAAGCCAAATAAAACACTATTTCAATTTTTTCAAAATTTGGAAAAACTCAAAGGGGTTAGCCCACAAATTCTGAGAAAATTGATGCATTTTGAGGTTTTTGTAAAAAATGAATGAATATGTTCTAAAGTGATATTAAATTGATCCAACCATTTTCCAGTGTAAAATAGTGTCCAAGAAAGCCAAATAAAACACTATTTCAATTTTTTAAAATTTGGCAAAATCCAAAGGGGTTTGCCCACAAATTATGAGAAAATTGATGTATTTTGAAGTTTTTGTAAATAATGAATTGAATGTGTTTAAAGTGATATTAAATTGATCAACATTTTCCAGTGTAAAATAGTGTCCAAGAAAGCCAAATAAAACACTATTTCAATTTTTTTCAAAATTTGGCAAAATCCAAAGGAGTTAGCCCACAAATTCTGAGAAAATTGATGCATATTAAATTTATCCAACCATTTCCAATGTAAAATAGTGTCCAAGAAATCCAAATAAAATACTATTTCAATTTTTACAAAATTTGGCAAAATCCAAAGGGGTTCGCCCACAAATTCTGAGAAAATAGATACATTTCGAGGTTTTTGTAAACAAATGAATGCAATATGTCTAAAGTGATATTAAATTGATCCAACCATTTTCCAGTGTAAATAAAGTGTCCAAGAAATCCAAATAAAACAATATTTCAATTTTTTCAAAATTTGGCAAAATCCAAAGGGGTTAGCCCACAAATTCTGAGAAAATTGATACATTTTGAGGTTTTTGTAAACAAATGAATGCAATATGTCTAAAGTTATATTAAATTGATCAAACCATTTTCTAGTGTAAAATAATGTCCAAGAAAGCCAAATAAAACACTATTTCAATTTTTTTCAAAATTTGGCAAAATCCAAAGGGGTTAGCCCACAAATTATGAGAAAATTGATGCATTTTGAGGTTTTTGTAAATTAATGAATTGAATGTGTTTAAAGTGATATTAAATTGATCCAACATTTTCCAGTGTAAAATAATGTCCAAGAAAGCCAAATAAAATACTATTTCATTTTTTTCAAAATTTGGAAAATCTCAAAGGGGTTCGCCACAAATTCTGAGAAAATTGATGCATTTTGAGGTTTTTGTAAATT